CTGATCTTAAGTCAAAACCCCTCAAAAAACATGCAAAGCTCTCCATGAAGCGCCTATAATTATTGTAGTTTCTGTAAAAATGCAATGTTTTACATTTGCAGGGTTAAGGGGACAGGGACACTTCACCCAGGGTGCCCAGAGTGTCCCTTTAACACGTTCACAGAATTCTGTCTATACAGAGATATTATATAGACAACTGATGTAATGTTAACAGTGACAGTTCTTATTTATCAGATTTTTTACTTTTTAATAACTCACAATGGAACAGCTTACACATTTGAAATTTAATTGTGAAACATACCCACGCATAAGGATCCAGTTGTTACCTGCATATGCTGCAAGCTTTTAGAAGAAATGAAACCGAAGAAAAGTTAAGAGGATAGTAACAATAAATCTTGTACTAGTATACAAAACAGACTATAGATTGAGCTACGGCAGCAATATGTTTCACCTTTTCACAATTTAATAAAGCTTTTCCTTAACCTAAGAGGGTGGAATCTGTTTTTTTCCATTTTTTTGCACACTTTGTATACATTTTGATTTTTTTTAACTATAGAAAATCCATATACTAAATGCTCTGCTCCATCTCATTACCCATCACCCTAAACCTAACTATTCATTAATGCCATGATGAGCGTCCACTTTCAGCACCAAATAGTAGTAAACGTTATGTATGCAATAACAATTTTCTTTAAATTGTTTGCAGGGTCTGACACCTCCACCTCCCCTGATGTCTGTTATAGAATGCCCTTTATATTTGCTTTTTCATTTATTTACTTTTATTCTGATTACATTAAATTGAACTTTAGTTATGGATTATGGTTTGCCTTATTGTGGCCTCAATATTAGTTTTAATATTTCATTTTAGTGAGCAGCAGGACGGATGTTTTGCAACCACTGGGGAGTAATCTTCTCAACTCCCCTCCCACTCGAGATATGCCATTGTGCCTTCGACTCAGTCCAGCTACTATAGGTGTTTCACCGAGGCAACCTCTGTGGACTCAAAACAGGTCAGCAACAAGGCGTCATATCAGTACTGTAATCTGTATGAAAATATTGATTAGATTGGCTAAAAGGAATTCAATTTGTTGCAGGTTAAATCATTCAAACACTTCAGAACGACTGTCATGCCCCACTCAGGATCCTGAGCACTCTATCACAGAGTACATTAAGCACCTAGAGATGGTGCAGCAAAAGTTGGGTGGGCTGTAAAAAGGTAAGCATCTTCTAGTTTTCTGTGAAGGCAGTGGGTTCAATTGGTGTTCTTATACCTAAATATGTATCTCTAAAGGTGCAATGTGTAATTCAGGTTGAAGTTGGTTGTACTGGATGTTGTAGTGTGCGTATGGTTTGTTTGGTTTTCTTGTCTTTGACAAAATCAGTGCATTTGAGTTGAGCAGACAAAAAGAAATGCTCCACTAGATTGCATGAATGATGCTGAATGTTCAATGTGCCCAAAGTTGGTCCAGAATTATTGGCAATCCTTTATCTTGATCATGGATGAAAATTTTACATATTTCTGTTGAGTATTGTCTCTAAATGTCTCCACTGTTTCTAGATTCTTCGCCGGAGCTTTCTCTCTCTGCTTTATCTGAAACATACAGCCTGAACCCAATCAACTTTTTATCACTTCCACAAAATTTGTATATTTTTATTATGCAAGAAATATGCACTGAAGAAGTTTTAGCACATGTAAAAAGTATGAAGTTTTTATATCTGTGTAATGTGTGGTGGACCATTGTTCACATAAACAATGTTTTGAAAACACGGGGTTCAATGTGGGGTTTTTTTATGTATATCTTGATTAATTTTGTACAAAATAAACCTATATTTACATATTTACTGTGGTAAGACAATTTGTGGTTTTGTGGAAGGCAAACATTTAAAGTTTGGGAAGTGAAATGATGCAAGTACTAGAATGTGAAAACTTCTATTATACTGCAGAAAAGTTAGGTTTGTTTATGATAGGCATGTTTTGTACAAATGCGTTGGCTAACAGCAGAAAAGATACATAAACTGAGAAACAAAATAAATGCACCAGCCCTATTGGTATATGGTATTGTATATACTTGTGGAGTGGGACTTCAAATCATTAAAATAAAAAAAAAGATGCTTTTATTAAGTTATTGTTGGTGCTACACTTGCTTATTCAAATAGCAGCAGCAATTACTGCTCTGATCTGGAAACTCTCATTCTGGTCCAACTGTTCAGATCTTATCCCATGAAACGCCTGTAAACAAAAAATAAAAATATATAATCCTTCATTACGATCATATTGTTTGTGTACTTAACACAGGCAAGCATCAGAGAGCTCATTCCAGACCAGAAAAATGCTATAAAAAAAATGTCCAACAGACTATTATGGGATATGTAGTTTACCTGCAGCAGTAGTTTATTCTATAAACAAGCGTGTCCACAGCCTTTGCCCGGGCCACTGACAGAATGCATGCAGACATAGTTTGGCTTTCCTTGAGAGGTTCGGAGGGATTACAGATTTTGAAAGTCATTGTGTATATTGCACAAATATTTGTATAAATTACTAAGATATTGGCCACCTACTAGAGGCACTTCCTGGTGGGTAACTGACTTTTGGTTTCCTGACGCTGGATGTCCTCACACTCTGCATGAGAATATCCAGCGTCTGTTAAATCCCCATAGAAAAGCATTGAAGCAGTGCTTTCCTGTAGAGGCACATACTCATTAGCACCTTATTGTCGTTGGAGGCGAAGTGCTGATCCAGTGCTGAGGGACCATATAGATGCCCTTTAATACAAATTAGTAAAAAAAACAAAAAAAAAACTAGCAATTGAAAGGATTTTTAATACCTTAAACAAAGACCAAGCTAGCTTCTTATCTGTCACAAAACATAAGCCACTCTGACAGTGGAGGAAAAGCTTTTCAAGAAGCTTTGTGTGTATATACACACCTATCAGATACAACATTCAAATATCATGTAGGTTCCCCTCATGCTGCCAAAACAGCTGTAATGCATAGAGGCATGGACTTGACAAGACCTCTAAACATGTGGTATCTGGTATAAACACATAAGCAGCAGATCCTTTAAGTACTGCTATTTGCGAGGTTGGGCCTCGATGGATCGGATAGGTTGTTCCTGAACATCCCATAGATGCTCAATCGGGTTGATATCTTGGAAATTTGGAGGCCAAGGCAACACCTTGAACTCTTTGTCATGTTCTTTAGGCATTCCTAATCAACTTTTGCAGTGTGGCAGGGTGCATTTTCCTGCTGAAAAGGGCCATGGCCATCAGGGAACACTATTGCCATTAAGGGGTGTATGTGTTTTGCAACAATCTCTAGGTAGGTGGCACGATTCAAAGTAACAGCCACAAGAGTGCACGGACAAGGTTTACAAGCAGAACGTTTCCAAGAGCATAACGGTCTCCTACGGCCTGCCTTCATCCTATTGTGCATACTGCTGCCATCACTTCTCCGGGTAAACAACGCCTATGCACCTAGTCATTCACCTGATCTAAATGTAAAATTAATCAGACCAGGCAACCCTTTTCCATTACTCTATGGTCTATTTCTGATACTCCCACGTTGAAGGCCCTCTCTGCAGTGTACAGGGGTTATCATGAGCACTCTGAACAGTCTGTGGCTACGCAGCAAACTGCGATACACTGTGTGTTCTGACACCTTTTTATCACACAGAGCTAATTATCTCCCAGGAACAGAGAGCCACACACAAAAATAACCGAAAACATAAAATAACCCCACAAATAATACATCTTTAAATAGCCCTGATCTAAATGCTCTCAAGTTCTCCAAATACTGCTCAGATCCATGCAGTGTAGGGGAAACATCACCATGTTAAAGTTCTGACCGGCCACACATTTGGTCCTAAGCCCAAAATAGTTCCAGGGTATTTGGTGCTTTTGTTGGTCAACTTTTGGGAGCTCCTGTGGCCGCAATACGGGGTGTTCCTCCTGGCTCTTAGGTAGCCTTTGTTCTCCTTAGTCTTATGCACCTTCCCTCCAAAAAGTGCTCTCCTGGCGGAAGTGGTTCAAAACTGCAAACCAAGTTGTCCGGGAACCGCACGGTCACCTCATGCCAAAAACGGTTCCATAACATTCGCGGCTAAGTCCCGCTGAGGTGGCCGGGAACCCAAAAAGTCCTCAAGCCGAAATTAGTTCCATAGCGGTCATGGCTAAGTACTGCCAGAGAGTCAGCGTTCGGTTACATTCTCATTAAGGGAAAGTGCCGAACCAGGGGCACCAAGGGCAAGCTACTAATGGCAGCTGGGCAGCGTAACTCCCAAACGGGAGTCGGTGGGCAGGAGGCTGGCTTCCACACTCCTCCAGTAGTCCGTGGCAAACATGCATGGGAAGGAGCGTTTGTCACACAGCCACTATCGGAACGTCTCACAAAATAATAGAGTAAAATCCTGCCATTTCAATCAGATAATTTTTAACTTCTTATGGGGTGAGGGAAGGATCTAAGCGTTTAATAAGGCACACAAGTTCTGGGCTGTCTGTGCATTCATTGGCCGAGAGCAGTACTACTTACAGCGCCTGCAGCTCTGCACAAGCCACATGACATCACTAGCCGAAGGAAAACAGTCGGCGCAGGTAAGAGGGCAACCTACTGCAAAATGGTTCGCCCTGTTAACGGGAAACAGGTAATAGAGGCGATATTAGCTTGTTACCCCACCCACCAGCTATTGAGGCTTTTACCAGTGAGAATAAATCATCAAATGACGCGTACCTCTGCTACTCTTCTATGTTAAAGGCAACAGTGTGACCCATGACGGACTGAGCATTGTCAGGCGTGTACAGCTCCCTCTGGTATTATTTAAATAGTGCTGTGAGCATGTATGAGTGAATGCCATGCTTAGCAGGCCATGTGAATTAAAAACAGACACATTTAAAAGGAAATAAGTAAATAAATAGAACTGCCTACAGCTCATTTTTAAGCTTGCGCCTAAATCTCATTATTCGTACTTCAGCTTTAAGACTGGCAAAGCATCATGGGAGTTGTGCCTCCAGCACAGCAGCTTTGGGTCTGTCTAGCTGCAGTGAGTGCGCCCCGACATTTGACAGAGCCGAGCCGAGCACGCGCCGCTAACGTCTCATGGGTGGCACGTGCGAAGGTGCGGCGACAGCGACCCAATGAGACCGCAGCGATTTACGGTGCGACCAAACAGCTGCTAGAATGGAGATGACGTTCGAAAATCCAAGAGCCGATAGATTTCTGTGCGCGCGCACTCCAGGCACGGCAACCTGTGGAAGGCCACGCCCTCCAGGGGGTGATCCGAGACGTATCCCGTCAACGCTCTCTGTCCTCTGCGGTTGCCAGGCAGATTCCGTCCTCCTGGGTGCGCTCGCGCGAAATCACACGCCTCGTATGCGCGTGCAAGGACCGCTCCCATGCGCGGCCCCGCGGCGGGCCGGTCCTGTGGGGACGGGATCGGATGAAGCGAGAGGAGAGGCCTTGACAGAGCGCAGGCTGAACGCAGGGTGTGAGGAGAGGACACATTGAGGGAGGACCCCTGGCAGTCACACAGCTGACACATCCCGCCGGGTGGAGGAGCACGGAGAGGGGGGCTCTGCACTGGGCATGACGGGTGTATGACAGGGGGCTTGGCATGGCGGAGAGGGGGGGCTGCGCGCTCCTGGACTCCTTACCGATGGAAATAAGGGAGAGTTTGGCCGAACTGGAGCTGGAGCTCTCGGAAGGTAAGATTGTGCTGACCTTAAAATAGGGAATTTATATTGCAATACATCTGGCAATGCTCAATGCTGGCTACCCCCTGGCAATGCTCAATGCTGGCTACCCCCTGGCAATGCTCAATGCTGGCTACCCCCTGGCAATGCTCAATGCTGGCTACCCCCTGGCAATGCTCAATGCTGGCTACCCCCTGGCAATGCTCAATGCTGGCTACCCCCTGGCAATGCTCAATGCTGGCTACCCCCTGGCAATGCTCAATGCTGGCTACCCCCTGGCAATGCTCAATGCTGGCTACCCCCTGGCAATGCTCAATGCTGGCTACCCCCTGGCTATGCTCAATGCTGGCTACCCCCTGGCAATGCTCAATGCTGGCTACCCCCTGGCAATGCTCAATGCTGGCTACCCCCTGGCAATGCTCAGTGCTGGCTACCCCCTGGCAATGCTCAATGCTGGCTACCCCCTGGCAATGCTCAATGCTGGCTACCCCCTGGCAATGCTCAATGCTGGCTACCCCCTGGCAATGCTCAATGCTGGCTACCCCCAGGCAATGCTCAATGCTGGCCACCTCCTGGCAATGCTCAATGCTGGCCACCTCCTGGCAATGCTCAATGCTGGCCACCTCCTGGCAATGCTCAATGCTGGCCACCTCCTGGCAATGCTCAATGCTGGGTACCTGCGGCATCAGGCTCTGCTGGGTTTCTTTATACTCCCTTCCAATAGTGCACCTTCATGATGTCAGCCGTGTGTCCCTTAACACTGCATTCTGTTGAATCCAGGTAGGCTCAATCACCAGTGCATTAGCTTGATTTCCACTATCTAGCAAATCTATGTTCCTTCTGAAGTCAGCAGCTTAGATCTAAGTGCCTGGTTTGAATACCCAACTGCTGGCATATCTGTTCCCGTGAGACATTCAACCATAGCATCCATGACTATCATTGAGCTAACCACAGTCCATCCTTCTACAATCCCTCTGCTCCCTAGGATGAATAGCAATTACCTGGTCTTGGTACAAGGGTAAATATGCCAAACACAAAACTTTCAGGCGCCTATATAGTGTCAGTACAATGCACTTACATGTAACACTGGCTTGTTAATATAAATTATGGTCCCTAGGGTGATAATCTTATTTTTCCAAAGGTTTTGGGGGGATACTTTCACATTACTTGTGAATATAAGCCCTTAAGTTTGGACATTTAGTGTTAAGAGTCAAGATCTGTGCTAGGCACATAGTTCACTGTCTTGATCTGGTGTGCAGAAAGCATCATTTACAGTGAGCTAGATATCTATCTATTTCCTTTTATATTTCATTCTGCAAACATTGAAAGAGTCCTGCTAAATCCTAGCTTCCTTGTGATTAAGGCAAGTATGGGACTGCTACACAAGGACCCCTCACCATGTGCAGGGGACGCCACTGTGGATATAAGGGATACTAACCTAGTACAGTTTAAAAGCTATAGCATACATCTCTTTGAATTTGTTTTACACTCTGAGTCCATAGATCAAAATATCAAGTAAACATCTTCCCAAAATGTATGTACTTAGTGGGATCCTTAACTTATTTCAAAGTTGAAGCCAAACATAAAACATGTTTATATGTGTGTATGTATGTATGTGTGTGTGTGTGTGTGTGTGTGTGTGTATATATATATATATATATTGTTATCTTTGTTTTACTTTCATCCACAGTGAGTAAATGGTGCGAAAGATTTAAGTCTATACATATAAATGATAATGAAGGGTATATATTCTCGGAACAGTGTTTTTCTATATAAGGTTTTTAACCAGTTATTTGATGGAATCCCAAGAGCAGTGGGTTATCACTGGACTTAGTTACTACCCATCTGTTTTTCCCAGACTTTGTTGATCAGTACTTTGTCTCATAAAATATACTAATTATGCATCATTTGAGGTGTTGTGGTAAGATGGAATTGAATGGGAATTAGACATTGTTTAACCATGCAACTTTCACTTTGGATGATTGCTTTCCATGTGCTTGTCTCAGTTTGATGTCACCATTCCATTTACCTAGCAGGCCAACTGCTTTCCTTCTAATCCTCTCAGAACTGGACTATAATGTTAGACTTTATTCCCTGGCAGTTCTGGAGCAAATGCTATTGATGTGACATTATTTCATGGGGTGCAGAATCCCTCCTGCAGTGAACTTCCCCCAACAGATGATGACTTGTCAGTATCTGACCTAATGCTTTCATGTACTTGCTGGCTGCATAGTGGCAAGAAAACCCTGGCATTGCAACAGCCCAGCAGATTGGCTAAAATTAGGTGGAGACAGGTCCATCTCACAAGGCTCTAAACAAGTTTCACTTAACTTTGATACACTAGGGTTGGTTGGCTGGCAATGTTGGCTTTTTATAATCTGTGCATTGAGGAATATTGTTCATTTCATATCCACTCTGATGAGTGTTAATTCATTTCACTTTGCACAATATTGTCTGTATCCTATAGTTAAAAATATGTCTAACTTTACACTATACATAACTTTTTCTACAGATGTTTAGTGAGTACAGAAATTCTGCTTGCTGTAACTTCCCCCTCCCCCCTCCAAGTAATCTATGGAACTGGTACAAAACATTTTTTTTAGACTAGGGACTTTGGCTTAAACACTGAATTTTATCTAATTAAATCCTAGTGGCAAAATGGAGTTTAAAATCGGTAAAATGTCAATATAGCGGAGTTGGGGATTTTTTTCCAAATAAACTTTTTTTTTTTTTAGTCTGTTTTGACATTTAAATCTAATGCACCAACATTGAGTTTTGTGTATAGTCCTGTCAGCCAATATGACAAAATACATCTTGTAAGAACTATAGACACATCTTCATTGCATTAGATGTGATGACACATGATTAAAGGGTTACTCCAACCACCATGACCACTTCTGCTTTTTGAAGGGGTCATGATGGTAGAAGTCTGGATGTGCAGTGTTCAGCTTGAAGCACTGCACGTCCAGAGTGATTAGTACTTGTTGGTTGGGGAATTGTTGCATCCCCAGCACACGTGACATTTGCAGCCCCAATATCAATTCTGTGCAATTTTATGTGTGTCATCAACGTGTAATGAACACTGACGACAGATGTAATGTGACGTCATTTGTGTGTCTCCTCCCTGCAGCCCACCCACCTCCTGATCCCATCATTGACATTTTTTTGAGCTCCCTCATTCTCCTCCTATTGCTGGCTCAGAGCTCATTAAGCCGGCTAAATGGTCCAGTCAAATGCTTCTCTGTGAGAAGCGTCTGATTGGATACTCATCGGCTGTCGTGATGCCAGGAGGCGGATTTCAGGTAAGATAAAGCATTTAGGAGGGGGAACATAAAAAAAAATGCCTAGTAGGGCATTATTCATTAAAAAAATATATAAATAAAATTCATAAGGCTTGGCGTAACCTTTTCCAATCAATATCTCATGTGAATTTTTACATTTGTAAAGTCCGATTGCTCATAGATTTTATGGAAATGCAACTTGTGCATCGAAAATTATACATCTAACAACTACAGTATTTTACTGTTTTAATGTCAATATTTTATTTTTTTATTAAACATTTATATATTGCATCTTCAAGATCCTCTGTCTACACTTTCCAATCTGCAGCATTTTTTCACAGCCATAGTAGAGCCGTGACATCATCATAGGTAGCTTGTACTAACCTAAATAGGTGTATGGTTTAACTACTTTCTGTGAGAAAAATGATGCAGCCATTGGAGCACACATCTGTGGTGTGTTTCTTTTATTTAAAAAAGGTTTGAAGGTATAACATCAGGTCACTGGCTCCTCTTTACCTACTTTTGTGGCTATTTTTGCCTTGCAATGTGTCTAATGTCCTTTTAAAGGGCAGGTTTATAGCTGTAATTGTTTTTACAGTTTACTGAAGTAATAAGCTCCTATGTGCAGAAAGACCGGGACAAATGAATGCCTTGCACCGTAAACAATGTAGCATAGATTGTGAGGGTGCTTGGAGTGTCCTTTTATTTGTTAGCTAACTGTGTTTCAGTTGTAACTAAAAGTCTGCAGGTTCTTTCTACTGGAGAAAATAATCCAGAAATTACCAACTGCAATACTACCTGATTTACAGGAAGCTATAACAAAGTTTCCTTAAAAAGATTTACTAAAATTTCTGGGTCTATAATCACCCACGCTCTCGTCTTGGCATTTGTACCAACTTGCAGAGATCTTCTGTGTGTAGACTAACATCATCGTTAAGTGAGTGAACAGGTTTTATATTATATTTATGTTTTCATTGTCTAACTCTTTTGGATTTCCTTCAATTAAGTGTTGGTTCAGGAATTTGTGAGGCCTGAATCATATTATTTTGTGTTTTGCTAATGTACAGGTGATACTCAAAAAATTAGAATATCGTGCAAAAGTTTATATCAGTAATGCAAGGGGAAACTAATATGAGATAGACGCATTATATGTAAAGCAAGATAGTTCAAGCCATGATTTGTCATAAGTGCGATGACTATGGTTTACAGCTCATGAAAACCCCAAATCCACAATCTCAGTAAATTAGAATATTGTGAAAAGGTGCAATATTCTAGGCCAGGGATAGGCAACCTTCGGCATCCCAGATGTTGTGGACTACATCCCCCATAATGCTTTTACACCCATAATGCTGACAAAGCATCATGGGAGGTGTAGTCCAAAACATCTGGAGTGCCTAAGGTTGCCTATGCCTGTTGTAGGCTAATAGTGTCCCACTCTAATCAGCTAAGTAAGCCATAACACCTGCAAAGGGTTTCTGAGCCTTTAAATTGTCTCTGTCTGGTTCAGTAGGAATCACAATCATGTTGAAGACTGCTGACCTGACAGTTGTGCAGAAAACCATTATTGACACCCTTCATAAGGAGGGAAAGCCTCAAAAGGTAATTGCGAAGGAAGGTGGATGTTCCCAAAGTGCTGTATCAAAACACATTAATAGAAAGTTATGTGGAAGGGGAAAGTGTGGAAGAAAAAGGTGCACAAGCAGCAGGGTTGACCGCAGCCTGAAGAGGATTGTCATGAAAAGGCCATTTAAAAGTGTTGGGGACTTTCACAAGGAGTGGACTGAGGCTGGAGTCAGTGCATCAAGAGCCACCACAGACAGACTGATCCTGGACATGGGCTTCAGATGTCGTATTCCTCTTGTCAAGCCGCTCCTGAACAACAAACAAAGTCAGAAGCGTTTTACCTGGTCTGTTGCTCAATGGTCCGAAATCCTCTTTTCTGATGAGAGCAACCTTTGCATTTGATTTGGAAACCAAGGACCCAGAGTCTGGAGGAAGAATGAAGAGGCACACACTGCAAGATGCTTGAAGTCCAGTGTGAAGTTTCCACAGTCTGTGTTGATTTTGGGAGCCATGTCATCTGCTGGTGTTGGTCCACTGTGCTTCATTAAGTCTAGAGTCAACGCAGACATCTACCAGGAGATTTTGGAGCACTTCATGCTTCCTTAAGCAAACAAGCTTTATGGGGATGCTGACTTGATTTTCCACCAAAGCCTGGTTCAATGACCGTGGGATTACTGTGCTTGATTGGCCAGCAAACTCGCCTGACCTGAACCCCATAGAGAATCTATGGGGCATTGCCAAGAGAAAAATGAGACATGAGATCGAACAATGCAGAAGAGCTGAAGGCCGCTATTGAAGCATCCTGGTCTTCCATAACACCTCAGCAGTGCCACAGGCTGATAGCTGCCATGCCACGCTGCATTGAGGCAGTAATTGCTGCAAAGGGGGCCCATACAAAGTACTGAGTCCATATGCATGCTTATACTTTTCAGAGGTCGGGTATTGTTCTATGTACACTCCTTGTTTTATTTATTGCATGTAATATTCTAGTTTACTGAGATTGTGGATTTGGGGTTTTCATGAGCTGTAAGCCATAATCATCGCATTTATGACACATCACGGCTTGAACTATCTTGCTTTGCATGTAATGCGTCTATCTCATATATTAGTTTCCCCTTTTACGTTGCATTACTGAAATAAATGAACTTTTGCACAATATTCTAATTTTTCGAGTATCACCTGTATGTACTATTCATGGATATGTATGCTACAGTCTGCCTGTTCTGAATGTTTCTTCTGAAGATGTGAAAACTTGTAACAATACCTTGATGATAAAGAGTGTTGTATGTGTGTGTATGTATGTATACATACACACCACACACACACCAATTACTAATAAGGTTTGCAAAATGGGGAAAAATTTAACTTGGAAGTGAGTTCAAAAAATTTTTCTACTAACCTTAAAATGTACATTATATTATTATTATTATTTTTTTTTTTTTTACCCCCTTTGTATTCATAGTTTTAACAGCATTTTAAAAAATCAACTTCTTCTAAACATACCTGAATTTACCAACAAAATTGTCAGGTGGATAGATAGTAAATACAGTGTCTGCTTTTTCATACAGATCTATAATGTGCAAAAACCTATTATTTTAATAGATATCAAATAAAAAAAAAGTATACTGTGTGTGTATATATATATATATATATAATGTGTGTGTATGTAAAAGCTGTTGAGACTTGTAGGGTGGATCATAACTACGACCCCTTTCTTTCTGCCTATGTTATTGGCACTCTTATTATTCAGCATTTTCCATGTCTGTCACCCCTTTCAAACTTGTCAAAAGTCAGAGCTTTAAAAATGGACCCCCGCTAGAACAACCACAAGAAATGGCTCTAAAAGACTCATTTGCACAATACTTTATACAATTAACTGTAAAGATTGAGTCATGAACTGATGCTTTAAGGAGCTCCATTTACTAATTTAAATTTTTTTTGTGTTCAGAAACTCAGTTGTATGTAGTCTTTTGATGTATCCTTTAAAACATGACATTAAATAGGCTTTGATGCTTTGTTCGTGGGTGTAACCATGGACAGAGTGGTTACACCACCTGACACATTCATCTTAAAGCAACTCTGTCACCTTTTGTCACTTGTTAAACCCCCCCCTCCCCCCCTCCCAACAACCCAGCGCTGATACCCTTTAATGGTATACTCTAAGCACCAGAACAACTTTGGATTAATGAAGCAGTTTTAGTGTATTGATGCCCCTGCAGTCTCACTTCTCAATTCTCTTTTATGAATGCATTAAAGATGCTCTGTCACCTCAAGCCTGACTGTCCTCTTTTAGAATCTGTTCCTTTTTATTTTATTTTTTATTTCTGATTTTTGTCTTTAAAACTTTAGACAAAATAGGTACTACTTGGTGTTTTTTTTGGTGTCATCTTGGTGTATTTTTGGTGTCATCTTGACAAAGGGTGGATTTTAAGGCAAGCTCCAATATATTAACAAAGAAATGGGAACTTGACTTATGCCTTAAACTCCATCCTTTAAGATTGTGAATCGTAGGAAAAATACACGTCATAGTAGTCCTTACTTTGTATTATGGTTTAGGCTGAAGGGGGGAAAATGGGGAGATTCTGAAAGAGGAAGAGAAAAGGAAACAATAGGAGAAGGGTATGTTTGAACTGTTACTTTAACACACACAATGTATATACAGGCTCTAGCAGGTTATTAATAGAGTAGGCGGTAAGAAATTCTAAATTAGCAGACTGCATTGAACAAAGTCTAAACATTAGATCAGGGCTTGACCGATTTACTTTGAATATAAGAGCCAGCTAAGAAAGTTAGGAGCCAGTTTTTTATTTTATTTTTTATACTAACAAAGCTTTATTTTCAACAAAACAAATACAATGAAAGGGACACTATAGTCCCCAGAACCACTACAGCTTGTGTTTATAGCTTGTCTTGAAGGCTTTTCAATGTAAACCATGCCTTTTGGCAGTCATTCAGTTACTAAAGTGCCTTCTATCTCAGTGCTGCACCTACATTCAGCATCTCCACGCTGTGCAAGGAGGTGCTGAATGTTACCCTGAATGTTACCCAGATTTAATGTACATCTATGGGGAGATGCTGAATGGCGCAGTGTTTTGCTGCACATGCGCAATATGCTCCCAGTGCTTTCTTATTAGATCATCAAGCTTGATTATCTCAACCATGAAGACAGGGCCAGCCTTGGTGAGGCCAGCACAGCGTGGTAAAAACACCTTTTCTATGTGATCTGAGGGGGACTGGTCACCTAAACAGACACACACATTCACAAATTATTAGTTGTTTAAATACATTTTAAGTCCACCTAGTCCACTCCAGAGAGCTGGAGTGGAATGGTTTTCCCTGGGGTCCAGTGTGGGGCTGCTGTCACCTTCCAACTCTTCTTGCTCTGCTCCCTCGCACACTGTTTAGTGATGCTGGGACATCATATTTCAGCTGACCAAGAATATTACAGCAACCTCGCAGCCGCACGTACACCTACACTCCCCCTCAGCCTGTCGGTCGTCTGCCTGCCTTGGAAGGAACAGGCTGACAAATACCCAGGCGCAATAGGCCTTTCCTGTAGGAAAATATTGACTTAAAGCAGGAGGACGTCCAGCGTCATTTCACAGAGTTAAAACTCTATGAAAAAGTAGAAGGCACCTCTTGTGGCAATCTGGTAGACCGCTACTAATGGCAGTGTTTCATAAATATAACATTTTATGAAATACTTAGAAGTTGAATGTGTTGGAATTTTTTTATTGAAAGCCTAGCAGATTTTGCTTCCAGTTTGGCTATAAAGGGATACTATAGACACCAGAACAACTGCAAGATTGTATATTGGACTTCAGTGTTGTACCGGTCGATAAAACGCCATCAGGTGAAGTAGGAGTAGAATGGACACAAGAAAGACAACATAAATACTTCTTTTAAAGCTTATTTTTTGATTCTATACTATTCCAGGAGTAACTTGAAACAAAAATCAATATCCTATTAAAATTTCAAAAAAATATTGTCTGTTTGAAAGAATATTACTGACCTCTTGTTGCTGCCCAAGTATCTGCTGGGGCTATCTTTCTAAGGTCATATGATAGCCTTATGATTTGTGTGAGGTCAGCTGATTTTAAATGTGTTTGTTGGGGGCGGGGGGGGTTTGTTGTTTTGTTTTGTTTTGTTTTTTTATTCTTTTTGTTTCAACAGCACCAGTGGTACGGCTTGGAATAAGGAAAGCAAACTCGGAAGCAAATTTATTTTGACACTATGCGTACAGCCCATCCAAAAAGATTGGCCTATCACCTAATTTTACCTTCAGAATTCTAACCAATAAAATATGTATAAAACTCCAAGTTGCCCCACCTCCATTCCAGCAGACATAGTACCGTGTTTCTCCGAAAATAAGACCGGGTCTTATATTAATTTTAGTCACAAAAAACACACTAGGGCTTATTTTCAGGGTAGGGCTTAGAGCCAGTCTGTCAGCTGGTGTCCGCGCTGTGTAACCCCCCCCCAGAGACCCTGACCTCCCCCTCCCTGTAATATTCTCCCCTCCCTCCCTCCCTGTAATACTCTCCCTGTAATATTATCCACCCCCTCCCTCCCTGTAATATTCTCCCTCCTGTAATATTCTCCCCTCCTGTAATATTCTCCCCCCCCTCCCTCCCTGTAATATTATTCCCCCCTCCCTCCCTGTAATATTATCCCCCTCCCTGTCTCCCCCTCCCTCCTGTAGTACTCTCCCCTCCCTCCCTGTGGTACTCTCCCCCCCTCCCTCCTGTGAGTACTCTCCCCTCCACCCTGTAGTACTCTCCCCCCTCCTCCCTGTGGTACTCTCCCCCCTCCTCCCCTGTAATACTCTCCCCCCCCCTCCTCACTGTAATACTCTCCCCCCCTCCCTCGCACTGTAATACTCTCCCCTCCTCATGTCTCTCCCCCTCCCTCACAGTAATATTATCTCCTCCCACTAATATTATCACCTCCCCCCTCCCTCCCTGTAATACTCTCCCCCCCTCCTCCTGTAATGCTCTCCCCCTCCCTCCTGTCTCTCCCCCTCCCTCCCTGTAATGCTCTCCCCCCTCCTCCCTGTGTGCTCTCCCCCCCTCCCTCCTGTAATACTCTCCCCCCTCCCTCCCTGTAATATTATTTCCCCCCTCCCTCCCTGTGTGTGTTTCCCCCCCTCCTCCTGTAATTATCCCCTCCTCCTGTAATATTATCTCTCCCCTCCCTCCTGTAATATTATCTCCCCCCACCTCCTCCCTGTAATACTTTACCCCTCCTCCCTGTAATACTCTACCCCTCCCTCCTGTAATACTCTGCCCTCCTCCCTGTGTCTATCACCCCCTCCTCCCTGTAATACTATCCCCCCCTCTCCCTCCTGTAATACTATCCCCCCTCCCTCCCCTGTAATACCATCCCCCCTCCCTCACTGTGTCTCTCCCCCCCTCACCCAGTAATATTATCTCCCTCACAGTAATATTATCTCCCTCACAGTAATATTATCTCCCTCACAGTAATATTATCTCCCCCCCCTCCCTCCCTGTAATATTATCCCCCCTCCTCCCTGTAATACTCCCAATCTTCTCCTCACCTCCCCTGTAGTGTGGCCGAGCTCCTATCCGGTCTGCGACCCGGCCGGACTGACAGGAAGTGCACTTCCTGTCAGTCCGGGCGGGTCGCGGACCGGAAAGGAGCTCGGCCACGCTACAGGGGAGGTGAGGTGAGGCAGTGCGGCAGCCGTCTGAGCGCTCTCTATAGAGGGCTCAGGCGGCTGAGGCATTTAAAGGGCCGGCAGCCGCCGGCCCTGTCTAGGTCTTATTTTCGGGGTAGGGCTTATATTGCTGCCCACCCCGATAATCCAGCTAGGGCTTATTTTCGGGGAAACACGGTAGGAAGCTTTCTGTCAGAACACTATAGCATTAGAAATGCACACTTATTCACTATAGTGTCACTGTCCCTAACATATTAGCCTCCTAATATGTCCCTAACATATTAGCCTCCTAATATGTCCGAAGAATAAAAAAAGAAATTCTCGCTTCCAATAGGAGAGCATTGGGAAGCTAATGCGCACCCGCTGTAAAACGCTGTGCTGGCCAATCAGCAGCTCCTTGTAAAGTTGCATTGAATCAATGCATCTCTATGGGTAAAGAGCATGGAGACGCTTAACGTCAGTGTGTGCAGCACTGACCTAGGATGCACCTCTAGTGACCGTCTGAGTGACTGGTACTGAAGGTGTCGCTAGGCAGTAATATTTTTATAATTCTTTCACTTAAACAACACAATGTAACTCAATCACACTTCTGTGAAATCAAACTGTCCACTTAAGAAACAATACTGAGTGACAATCAATTTCACATGCTGTTGTGCAAATGGGATAGACAACAGGTTGAAATTATAGGCAATTAGCAAGACACCCCCAATAAAGGAGTGGTTCTGCAGGTGGTGACCACAGACCACTTCTCAGTTGCTATGCTTCCTGGCTGATGATTTGGTCACTTTTGAATGCTGGCGGTGCTTTCACTCTAGTGGTCGCATGAGACGGAGTCTACAACCCACACAAGTGGCTCAGGTAGTGCAGCTCATCCAAGATGGCACATCAATGCGAGCTGTGGCAAGAAGGTTTGCTGTGTCTGTCAGCGTAGTGTCCAGAGCATGGAGGCGCTACCAGGAGACGTGGAGGAGGCCGTAAGAGGGCAACAACCCAGCCGCAGGACCGCTACCTCTGCCTTTGTGCAAGGAGGAACAGGAGGAGCACTGCCAGAGCCCTGAAAAATTACCTCCAGCAGGCCACAAATATGCATGTGTCTGCTCAAACAGTCAGAAACAGACTCCATGAGGGTGGTATGAGGGCCCAACGTCCACAGGTGGGGGTTGTGCTTACAGCCCAACACTCTGCAGGACGTCTGGCATTTGCCAGAGAACACCAAGATTGGCAGATTCGCCACTGGCTCTCTGTGCTCTTAACAGATGAAAGCAGGTTCACACTGAGCACATGTGACAGAGTCTGGAGACGCCGTGGAGAACATTCTGCTGCCTGCAACATCCTCCAGCATGACCGATTTGGCAGTGGGTCAGTAATGGTGTGGGATGGCATTTCTTTGAGGGCCGCACAGCCCTCCATGTGCTCGCCAGAGGTAGCCTGACTGCCATTAGGTACCAAGATGAGATCCTCAGACCCCTTGTGAGACCATATGCTGGTGCGGTTGGCCCTGGGTTCCTCCTAATGCAAGCCAATGCTAGACCTCATGTGGCTGGAGTGTCAGCATTTCCTGCAAGACGAAGGCATTGATGCTATGAACAAGCCCGCCCGTTTTCCAGACCTGAATCCAATTGAGCATATCTGGGACATCATGTCTCGCTCCCTCCACCAACGTCACATTGCACCACAGAGTGTCCAGGAGTTGGCAGATGCTTTAGTCCAGGTCTGGGAGGAGATCCCACAGGAGACCATCCGCTACCTCATCAAGAGCATGCACAGGCGTTGTAGGGAGGTCATACAGGCATGTGGAGGCCACACACACCACTGAGCCTCATTTTGACTTGTTTTAAGGACATTACATCAAAGTTGGATCAGCCTGTAGTGTGTGTTTCCACTTTAATTTTGAGTGTGACTCCAAATCCAGACCTTCATAGGTTGAAAAATATGATTTCTATTTTTTTTTAATTTTTGTGATTTTTGTTGTCCGCATATTCAACTATGTAAAGAACAAAGTATTTCAGAAGAATATTTAATTCATTCAGATCTAGGATGTTATTTTTGTGTTCCCTTTATTTATTTTTTTGAGCAGTGTACAAGCAGAAACAGTTGTACATAGAAATCAGCACATTTTTGTTATGAGATTGCCATAGCGCAGATTTGGGTAGACTTTACTAAAGGTTTAAGTAATTGGTGAGGCTTGCTACTAGATAAGTGATGAGAGATATACCACCAGGTTGTGGCTAACTTGCTTTGGCGTAGTTAGTGACACTAGAGTGACAAAGTTAGATGCCACATTGACTTAAAACACAAGTAATATATACACACTGCGTTACATGAAAATGTCTGCAGGGACTGCCTATAGATACCAGAACAACTACATTAAAGGACCACTATAGTGCCAGGAAAACATACTCGTTTTCCTGGCACTATAGTGCCCCGAGGATGCCCCCACCCTCAGGGTCACCCTCCCGCCTGGCTCTGGGGAGAGGAAGGGGTTAAAACTTACCTTTTTCCAGCGCTGGGCGGGGAGCTCTTCTCCGATCCTCCTCCTCCAATTCGGCTGAATGCGCACGCGCGGCAAGAGCTGCGCGCGCGTTCAGCCGGTCTCATAGGAAAGCATTGTAAATGCTTTCCTATGGACGCTTGCGTGTTCTCACTGTGATTTTTTTACAGTGAGAATCACGCAAGCGCCTCTAGCGGCTGTCAATGAGACAGCCACTAGAGGCTTTGAGGGCTGGTTTAACCCATTTATAAACATAGCAGTTTCCCTGAAACTGCTATGTTTATAAAAAAAAAAATGGGTTAACCCTAGCTGGACCTGGCACCCAGACCACTTCATTAAGCTGAAGTGGTCTGGGTGCCTAGAGTTGTCCTTTAAGCTATAGTTCTTCACGTGATCATAGTGTCCCTTTAAGACCTCAAACTATTATAAAAGTTTGACTATTTAAAATGCAGGGGGTGCCAGAGCACCTCAGAATAACCATTACTGTGCACTGTAGTAGTTATGGAGTAGTGTTCTTTTAAAATAACGTGGTGTAGTGCTTTGCATTTGGATGGCACACCTCGTCTGTGCATAAAATTGAATACAGTATACAAATGTCTTTGACATATACTCTGTTCACTAAATAGCCTGCAAATTGAGTAGATAGAGGCCAATTTAACACACGTTAATACATTGGAAAATATTTTGTTGGCACTAGTGGTGTATTTTGGATTTGTGCTGCCCTCGGCAGAACGGTGCTCGGGCACCTCACTCCTTCCTCTCAAGGCCGCACTTTGACTGACAGACACTTTCTTACTGATCCATTTACTGACAAACACTCACTAAAGTCATTGGCACACACACTGTTACCAACACACACTTTCACAGACAGACACACACACACACATACACTCATTGAGACACACTCGTATACACTGACAGACACACACACACACTGAATCACAAACACAGATTTCCTCCAACACTCACACATTATTTTTTTTTAAATTTTACTTTAAATCCACCCAGCCTGGCTGGGAGAGCTGGAGTGGATTACTTACATGTGGTCCAGTGGGGCTGCTCCGCGGGCAGGCACGGGGCGGACAGGCTGAGCAGGCAGCAAGGGAGCTTTAATCTTCCTGCTCAACTCCCTTGCGCGCCTTTTAGTGATGCCTGGAGCCGGAGTGACGTCATATTTTGGCTCCCGGCTTCATTTAGCGGTGCGTGAGGGACCTGAGCATGATGGGCTCACGTGAACATGCTCCCTCTCTGCTCGACCGCAATAGAAGCTGCTTCCCGCCTCGGGGAGGCGAGGGTGGGTGGGCTCAAAAGTGGCCAGCTCTTGTGCCCCTAAGGACACGAAGCAAACAAGGCAAAGTGCCGCTCAAGGCAAATGCCTTGTTTTCCTCGTGTAAGATACGTCACTGGTTGGCATCATTTAGACAGCTAACTCCTTTAGAGAAATGTTTTTTGTTTTGTATATTTTATTGTAAGAACAAACCTTTAGTAAAGGAGATATTTAGCAAGCCCAAACTGGTGCTATCGTGGGTGCAAAGTGCTAAATGTTAAGATATTTTATTAAGGAGGAAAGCCTCTAGCGGTAGTCAGACTGCCAATAAAAAACAAGCATCTCTATTCCTGTCTGCTGCAGGACAGCATGGTATGCTGGCTCTCCCGCGGTGCCATACTCACCTTGTGAGGCGCTCCGTGGCAGTCCTATTCGGGTGACTCAGGCATTCTGACCCTCCCAGGCCATGTGATCGTGATGTAGGGGCTCTGCCTGGGTTATTTTAATAAATGATTAAATGTATGTCTAATACATTTTAATAAACAATTATTGATGGGAATTTTTTTTTATTATATTAATATCATTATTATTTATGTTCACTTAAAATCACCATTTCACTGTCTTTCAAAAGTTCTGTGTTCCGTATTTGGTAATCTGATTAAATGAATGTAGTTTGGCTGTTTTTGCCCTTTCCATATGGGAATGTATGTTGGATATTTGCCTCTGTCCGGCTTTATTGTTATTACAGGAAATGTAAAAGGAAGAGGACCCAGATGTTAAAGTGTTTATTGTGTGCGCAGCCACACTGACCTCGCTTTGCACTGTCGATTCCTTTCTTTGTTTGTCAGACACTTCTTATCCCTCTTATGTTTCATTTCCAGCTAAAGGATATTGTGCAGGCATCTCACGATTGCTCTCACAAAGGGCCAAACTTCGGCATACCTAGGCAGGTATGTACACTGAAGTGCCTGAAGGCATACAGAAGTGTGTCACAAAAATTTTTGTTTTTCCTTTTCTGCTTTTGAAATGATTAGAGGCTTTATGGGCCTGTCATCATGCTTTAAATTGAACAATATATGATGTAGAGTTTATAGTAAGGTCATGAAAAGAAAGTTTAGATATGACTAACCATTGTATGAGTACCATTCTCATATTGGTGCAGTGTTAAAACTGAATGGAAGTAGGGATCGACCGATATTGATTTTTTAGAGCCGATACCGATAATCTGTTAACTTTCAGGCCGATAGCCGATATTCTGTACATTTACCATTTTGAAAAAATAAACTATTTCTAAAAGGTAAAGGCACAAAATATGAAAGCCACATGCACTGGATGCAGTGTGTTTAGACAGTGGAGCTGTGTATATATAATGAATGCAGGGTGTGTTTGCGTAGTGTGTATAGTTAATGCAGTGACTGTGTAGTGTGTATATAATGAATGCAGAGTGTGTGTGTTTGTGTAGTGTGTGGTGTATAAAGGGATTGTAGTGTGTGTAAAGTGAATGCAGTGTTTAGTGTGTATAGCGAACGCAGTGTGTGTATAGTGAATGCAGTGTGTTTGTATAGTGTGTGTGTGTGTATATAATGAATACAGTGTGTAGTGTGTGTATATATAAAGCAGTGTTTGTAGTATGGGTGTATATATAATGGGGGGGGTGTGTGTGTGTGTGTGTATATATATATATATATATATATATATATATATATATATATATATTATGCAGTGTGTGTGTGTAAATAATGCAGTGTGTGTATTAAACACACACACTTCATTATATAGAAACACTGCATTATATACACACACTAAACTATATAGACACACTACACTATATACACACTCTGTGTTATATACAGAGTGTGTAGTGTGTGTGTGTGTTTTCCTGAAGGGATGTGATTTGTGTAAAATGGGGGGGACATTTTTTTTATTGAAATTTTTAATGTTTGTTTTATTTTTTAATATTTATGTTTTAATTTTTAATATTTGTTTATTTAAATTTTTAATATTTATGTTTATTTTATGCTTATTTTTAATATTTATGTTTTATTATTTTTGTTGTCCCCCCTCCCTGCTTGTTACCTGGTCAGGGAGTGGGGATATGACAGTCCCTGGTGGCCCAGTGGCATTGGCTGAGCTGGGGGTGGGCGCAGGTAGCATTTACTTACCTCCCCTGCAGCTCCTCCAGCTCTCAGTGTAAATCTCGCGGCCCTTAGTGCCGTGCAGAGCGTTGCCATGGTAACCCGTGGCAACGCTCTGATGGCCGCGGGTCTCGCAAGACTTACACTGGGAGCTGGAGGAGCTGCAGGGGAGGTAAGTAAATGCTACCTGCACCCCTCCCCCCCAGGATCGCCGGGCTTGTAATGAGCCTGGCGGTCCTAGGAGGTATTATCGGCAATATCGGTATCTATATTGGCCGATACCGATATTGCCGAAAATACCGAATATCGGCCGATTATATCGGTAAAACCGATAATCAGTCGATCCCTAGATGGAAGCATATTGCTTTATTTCCTCACTAACCTTTACCTGCTTTTCTTTCCCTTCAGTTTTTCTTATCCTGGAATGGTGAAAGGCTGAGTTGGTGCTTTTGGGAATTTGCACTATGATTAAAGGGATACCAGATCTACAATGATACCATAAACTTATAAAATGTATCAGAACATTTAACTCCTTAAAGGACCACTATAGTGCCAGGAAAACATACTCGTTTTCCTGGCACTATAGTGCCCTAAGGGTGTCCCCACCCTCAGGGTCCCCCTCCCTCCCGGCTCTGGAAAGGGGTTAAAACTTACCTTTTTCCAGCGCTGGGCGGAGAGCTCTCCTCCTCCGATCCTCCTTCGTTACGCCCCGTCGGCTGAATTCGCACGCGCGGCAAGAGCTGCGCACGCATTCAGCCGGTCACATAGGAAAGCATTCATAATGCTTTCCTATGGACGCTGGCGTGCTCTCACTGTGAAAATCACAGTGAGAAGCACGCAAGCGCCTCTAGTGGCTGTCAATGAGACAGCCACTAGAGGATTAGGGGGAAGGCTTAACCCATTTAAACATAGCAGTTTCTCTGAAACTGCTATGTTTATTAAAAAATGGGTTAACCCTAGCTGGACCTGGCACCCAGACCACTTCATTAAGCTGAAGTGGTCTGGGTGCCTAGAGTGGTCCTTTAAGGACACATCTTCAAAAGCTTCTCTTACCCTTAAGAATACAAGCCATTTTTGCTTTATTTGCAGTTTGTGTTCAAACACAATTTGCATCTCTGTCATTTATTGCACCAACACATATTATATACCGTTTTTCAGAGGGCAAACAGAGTTTTAATTTTATGTCACATATACATAGATACATGCTCATTAATTATAAAAAAACACAAAATGGGGGGGAAAAACAAACAAATTTTTTTTCGCCGTTTTGGCAATAATAGCGCATGCATAATATGTCTAGCTTAGAAAAAGTAATTCAAAATAAATTCATTTGTGTCTTGATTTATAGAATACATAATATGTATAGAATTTCAGCTTATTTTGAAAGTTACAGGTCACAAAATACAAGGACTAAAATAAAATTTTAATGTGAAACAATTTTAGAATTTGGTATGTTTGTAGGTTTAGTAGCCACCACAGAAAAAAAATTTGCCACACAAAAGTATATATTTATATAAAGTAGACATCAAAGGCTATTTACTTAAGGTTAGTTTGACACTTTTTACGTAACCATTTCATCGCCAATCTCTGCTAAATATTGGAGTAAGATTGTGTTTTTTTCTCTATTTTGGCATATACACATATAACAAAGTTTTTGTAGTGTGTATTTCCTAAAGCTGGAGTATGCTATTCCTGCACAGAAATATTGTGTTTAGCTACATCTGCTGAGTATAACGATACCCCCATTGTATACCTTTGGCACTTTTCTGTAAAGCTACAATGCCATATAAGAGACAAGGCTATTTCAGTTTCCATTGTTAGAATTTTCCTAGATGGATTTGATGGGCCTATGTCTCATTTTAAGGTATTATAGCAGTGTGACTGTTCAAATAACCCTACAAAGGGGTTTCATTTGATAAAGCAGATACCCCAGGGTATCTATTATGGTGTATATTATGCCTTAAAGGACCACTATAGGCACCCAGACCACTTCAGCTTAATGTGCCAGGTCCAGCTAGGGTTAACCCTTGAGAAGACGCCAGCGTCCATAGGAAAGCATTATAAATGCTTTCCTATGAGACTGGCTGCGCGCGCAGCTCCTGCTGCGCATGCGCATTCAGGAGGAGGAGAGCTCCCCGGCGCCCTCAGCGCCACGGGAGTGGGACCCTGAGGGTGGGGGCACCCTCAGGGCACTAGAGTGTCAGGAAAACAAGTATGTTTTCCTGGCACTATAGTGGTCCTTTAACTTGTCAACATTTTTTTCACCAATTTATGTCAATGTTTGTGGTGAGGGGGGAAAAAAATTGCATTTTTACATATATGTTGCATTTTTGCTGAGTATATTTCTTGCATTTGATATGTACCACTGTCATAAAAATCCACAAATTATGCTCAGTTACATCTTCTGAGTAAAACAATATGCCCACCGTGTGACCTAGACACTATTTTGTGAAGTTACAGAGCTGTAAAAGAGACGTGACAAGTTCAGGTTTTTAAGTGTGAATTTTCATGGAGGGTTTTGATGCGTACAATTACACAGTTAAGGCATACCATTTCTTTTAAGAAGACATCCCAGGGCAATTCAAAAGGCATATTTTGAACCTTAGCGTGCGATCATTTTTCCGCTAGCTTGTACCAAATGTAATGGTAATAAGCATTTTTTTTCTGCCTTTTTGACACACAAAGTGAGTTTGCACAGTATATTTTGCAAACCTTATGTGTGCTACGACTGTATAATACTACATATGTTGCTCAGCTATGTCAGCTGAGTACAGCAATACCCCCGTATGTACCTTTGCCAGGTATAAGTGGATGATGAAGGGGCACATTTGAGACGCAGCCATTCTGTGTTTTTTTTTTTCTAACTTTGAAGTTTTACGCTGTGTCCATGTTCCATTTTGGAGTAGATTAGCTGGCTGGTTATTCAAACTTCCCCACAAACACATACTATTTATTAAAGAATACACCACAGGGTAATTCAAAAGGCATATTGTGAACCTTGGCATGGGATAATTTTTTCGCTAGTATCCAAGTGTAGTGGTAAGGAGCATTTTTTTTATTATTATTTTTTTTTTACTTTGTAAAACTTTTTTATACTTTGTAAAACTCGTTTTTAAACTTTTTTTTTTTTTTACACTTTTAAAATCTTTTAGAAACTTTTCTTTTACCGTTAACCCCTAAATAGCAGTAAACAGCACTAACAGTAAATTCCCCACTTTCCCATAACTCCAACCCACCCCAGCTAGCAAAATATATAATTATTAAATATTTAAATTAAATAAATTAAACCCCTGAGGGTTAAAAAATAAATAAAAGTTTAATCCTCAGGGGTTAAAAAAAATTAGATCATAGGCAGTGATCAACTGGCAGGGAAGGGGTTAATTTTTATTTGGACTGGGTAAAGGGGGGTGTTTTTTGTTTTTTCTCTTAAACATTACTAAAACTTTTTTTTTAAAAAACTGTTTTTAACTTTTTGAAGCTTATTTTAAAACTTTTTTTAACGTTAACCCCTAGTTAGCCTAACACCAAGTCCCCCAATTCCCCACTAACTTCCACCCATTCCAGCTAAATATATAATTTTTAAATATTTAAATTAATAAATAAAATAAATTTTAACCCCTGAGGGTTAAAAAAATAAAATTAACCCTCATGGGTTAAAAGAAAATCAGATGACCGTAAAATGTAATCCCTGCCAATTGATCACTGTAGTCAGTGATCAATTGGCAGGGAAGGGGTTAATTTTATTAAAGCAGGGGAAAGGGGGGGGTGGGATTTAACTTTAATTTATTTTTATTTTTTTACAGGGAGAAGAGTATCAGCACTGATCCGTCCCCCTGCACTTCACAGTAAACCCGGAAGCGCAGGGAGGCGGATCGTGAGTCCCTGCAGCACATGTGCTCGCTCTGACAGCCTGTCAGAGCGATCACTGCTGCAGGGGCAACGTGATCCGGTGCTCCCCGTCAGACTGGGTGAGCGTTAACACTGCGATCGTCGCGATCTGGAGTAAACTTTAGTAAGTGACGGAAATCTTCCGTCAACGGTCCTTAACTTAAGGACAAGACTGACGGAAAATTTCCGTCTCCGGTCGAGAAGGGGTTACTCTGGTAGTGGATTAAGCACCATATTTTCTTTCTCTGATAGAGGGATAACCGGCTTAAGGTCTCCTGGAGCTGTATCCCGTATTTGCCAAAAGTAGGGAGCTTGTGTGTGGAGGTCACTTGGCAGCCATTTTCCCTCTTTGTCTGACAGACTGAGCATGGGGCACATGTTCATCAGGAAATCCTCTATTCTTCCATTGTATACAGCAATTTTATTCAATGTGTAAAGGTTCTTGTAATGAATGCGAGTTTGGAGAACCCTGTTCTAGTTGAGGGGTCTAGTTAAAAAAAAATGTTTTTTGGGGTTTTTTTTTTTAAACTGCTAAGTGCCTGCGATTTGCAAACGTATGTGTTAATCATCAGCTGTTTGATCATCCATCTAGGATCATTAAATGTTCTCAATTGCTGTAAGTGCCTTTGCCTAGTTTGTGTTTTTCACATAAAAGAAAAAGTAGGGAGGGGGGTATAGCCAGAAAATGACAGGAATGTACGCATGGCAGAAGAGCTCCGGATCGAGGGCCCTATTCCACTGTGATAAGCCACAGTGCACTAATTCTCTAATAAGAAAGCTAATATGACCCAGAAACCCACAAGGTAGCCCATGGACAAATAGGCATTCTTGGAAAATGTAGGCAAACTCGGAGGACCCTCTTAGGCTGGCAACCATGAGATCCATGCTCGATGGCATGGCAAGCAAAATTATAGCTGAATTAGCTTCATATCGGATCTGCTCAAAGACATTCAGGAACTGGGAAATGGAACTGCACACATGCAGTCCAGATTTCAAGCATGCCACAATATCAATGTACTACATTTTTGGTGGTTCGGTCGACGTTGTGGCAGGCTTATGCAATGTGTGATCATAAACTATAACTAAACCCCTATTATTGTTTCCCTAGTGAGATGTTTTTAAATAAAAATTGCATTCTGTGATACTTGAAATCAAATGTGGGGGGCACAGCCTTGCTGGCAACCTCAAAAACATGCCCACTGGCTGTACACTTTATTTAGCTTGCCCAAATGACAAACTCAAAAATGAATATTTACTCACATAACATAAGGGGTTTAAATACCCGTACAAAAAGCAAATGATTCTAAAGGGTGTCAAAAAAAAGACCTCATATTTGTGCAAGAAATACCTTCTTTTAAAACCAATCTTACAACGCTTTATCCCCTGGATTACCCTCCTCAATACCATGCTGCACCCACAACCAAAGCTAGAGGGTCATCTTTATTAGGAAAAATGTTGCTTATTTGCTAATAAAATTGGTGGTGTGCCCGAATGGCCTTTTTTTTTTTTTTTTTTTTCCCTCTAGTTATAGTAAGCACTATAAACGACCTCACATACACACTAATAAATATATACACTCCCAACGAAAGACACATTTGGAGTGTACCCCAAACAAATCTACTCCTTATAAATGATTAACACTACATATGGTGCATATTGAACCCGAGGGCTGACAGTCTACATATGACTCCAACGTCCATAACTCTTATTCACGTATAGATGTTATACTTATGAAGGGATCAAATTTAGAACAAATCGTTTGGTGCTCCATTAGAATCGAGGTGTGGTCAGACCATTCACTGGTCATATTAGAATCCAATGACAATAATGACTTTAAAGGAAGGGCCATAGAAACCAGGCCATTTCCATAAAAACCCCTCCCCTGACATATCCTCTTCAATGCTGTGGCTGACCCACAAACCATTCATTATGGGCTTAAAGGGTGAGCTTTCTTAAAGAGAAATCAAAAACTCAATATTTGAAACTGACAACCTTCAAAGGCTAACTAGACACAACCAAGGTTCACCTTCTGTTGAGCTAGCAACCTAAATTAGGGACATTAAAAAAAATGGAAGTGTCCAGTTTACAACAGGTGGGTTACCAATTGAGGAAAGCCAAAGCAAAATATTATGTACAAGGGAATAGAGTAGGGGAAATTTTTACTCCGCAGCTTAAAACTAAACCAGCACAATTAAAAATTCAACATTTTCTGCATCTGTCGAGACTAAAGGTTGTAAAACCCAAAGATTAATACTTATTTAGATAAAATAAACCTGCCATGCTTGTCCCCAGACCACCAAAAAGCCCATTCTGACCCATGAACTGAAGCCCCTATAGGCCAGCCTCAAAGGCCACAGGCCTTTAAACACACCCTAACCCCACACCTCACTAAACTTTTTGATGACAAAATAAAACATAACATAATCTACACCTGACATACTCTCGGCCCACATTATTACCATGCCAACATTGGATAAGCCTCTGACAAAATGCCCACATTTTTACCCCATCTCGCTATTCAATACCAATGCTAAACTATTTCAAACTGACTGAAAGACATTACCAATGCTTATTAAAAATGACAAGGTCAGATTTATTAAAGCAAGGATGGGAACAGACTCCACTAGGAACGTCCTACATATTCTCCATTTGGAGCACTCGGAGTGCAGAAAGGAAAGCAGTTAAGGCTGGCTTGGAGCACTGGGAGTGCAGAAAGGAAAGCAGCAGGCTCGCTGAGAGCACTAGAGTGCAGAAAGGAGAGAGAATTTTGTTTCTTTCTAGAAGGAATGGAAGCCACATGTTAACTGAGTGTGGAATGCAGAGATCTGACAAAGGCACTAGCTCAACTTTATTCCTATGCTGCTTGAGAATTACAAGAGCATCCAGAAGATGGACGGGGACATCCCATTCAAAAGTCCCATTGCGCTATTCATGGGAGCCATATGATATTACTTGGCTCCAGGCTTGTGAGTACATGATCTCTACGTAATCCATATTAATATATTTACAGACAATATTGCACTATATGGTTTTATGTTTCTTTTTAGACGCATCAAGACGTGTGATCCACCATTGTATGTATTATACTTGGGTAACAGAGAATGTATGCTTAATTTGGTTGCAGATAACCGTTGAATCTTCACTAATTCAACCATAATGTTATAAATAAATTTGCAAAGCACAATACTAGAATATAGCAAACACTTATATTATAAAGTAAACATAACAAAAACACAAGCAATGAGAAAACAAATTAACAAACCAACTTCACTACAACTCCAATCTAACTTCAGTTGTGACTGGAGACAGAAATACTTGACGTTCCTAGGGATAAAGTTGATGGAAAAACCCAGAGGGACTTTTTAAACATAACTATATAAGACTAAGTAGAGAAATTACCTGACTAATAAATACTTGGCAAAACAAAATAATTTCTTGGGTTTAGAGAATTTCAGCCATAAAAATGCTAATCCTGCCTAACAATTTAGAAGCCTGTTAATTGGCATACCGTACTTAAAACATACCCATTAAGTGAACACAATGTGTTTGGAACAAGAAAAAAAAAACAGGAGGGTCTGTAAAGTCTTACAAAAAACTGTATTGAAAGGCGGACTGGGGCTTCTGGACCTACATACATATAGGTAGGCAAGCATATTAGAGGTGGTAGTGGTGGCCCATCAGGACCAGAATACACCGCAGCGTATTCACTTTGAGTTCTCGAATACACTTTATCAATTGTTACACTTATTATGCTTTTATTATTATTGTTATGCTAAGGACTACAGGCCGGTGAGGCAGGATTGGCTTCCCATTACTAGGGTGATACTTGAAACTTTGGATTTGCTGATCACCAAGTATCAGAGCCTCAAGCCATTATCCCTGGCAACACCTATTAAAGCAATATATGTTATCCCAGATTCAGCATATAAGGCCTGGGAGTCTATCGGCATCACACATCTTTACAGCTTTTCAATGTTGGCAAACTAAAAACCTTCTCTTACCTTACATGCTATCACACTGAAAATGCATTTTCATTACAAACACATGCAATCCTTCCTGAAATCACAAAAAAAAAAAATTACATTGGAAAAGAACGCCTGCCTCAGGGACTAACCACATTGGAAAAGATATGTTTAGGTCTCCAACTGAACAAGTTGAGTTGTATTAGGATACCAAGAACTTAAAAACCCGAAAGACATTAGAAGTTTACCCTTCGTGTCTTCATTGGTAAAAGAACAAGGCTATCAAGTAAACTACACACTGTGGTAGCATTCATTTCTGGCTATGAGAGGGATGGCCATTTGTGCTACCCACATGGAACTTAACAAGAAGGTACTCTAGAGGTGGTACCTAATCCCATCTACACTGCAACACCTTGGAGGTTCTGCCACAGATGGATGTTGGCGATGTGATGAAGAGAAGCAAACTATGATGTATATCGGGTGGAGTTGTGGGGCAGCACACAGGTGTGGAAGGGAGATTAATTGAGTTACAGGACCCTATACCCACAGCAGCAGAATTGCACTATTTATGAAGCTGCACACAATTACCAAACTAGCTAGAAGGGTGAAGGTGCATATCCTATTGGCTTTATCTCTAATGACAAGGTATTGAGGTATACAGATCTGCCACATGAAAGATGGCATAATAGACCAAGTCTCCCTAAATAACAAATACAAATTAATGATGGTAAAGCAAAAAACAGAAGAATCTAAGGCATTACAATCTTGGAGATGTATAGTAATTTTATACACACCGATTACTGGAAAACTACATCTCTGAGCAGAAAGAGAATGAGGATCATGGCTAATGCAGATCAATGCCTATGTGGAATACCCCCTCCCACCCCTCCACCGTCCAAACCTTACTGAGTGGGTAAATCGGTTTTCATTAAAGAGAGTGCATTTGGCAACAAATAACACATAGCACAGAAGTCAAACAAACATATGGTAATCTTTCATGTCAATTCTGCTGTAATTTAAAACAAAGTTTGTATTTTATGTTGCTGTATACAGGGAGTGCAGAATTATTAGGCAAATGAGTATTTTGACCACATCATCCTCTTTATGCATGTTGTCTTACTCCAAGCTGTATAGGCTCGAAAGCCTACTACCAATTAAGCATATTAGGTGATGTGCATCTCTGTAATGAGAAGGGGTGTGGTCTAATGACATCAACACCCTATATCAGGTGTGCATAATTATTAGGCAACTTCCTTTCCTTTGGCAAAATGGGTCAAAAGAAGGACTTGACAGGCTCAGAAAAGTCAAAAATAGTGAGATATCTTGCAGAGGGATGCAGCACTCTTAAAATTGCAAAGCTTCTGAAGCGTGATCATCGAACAATCAAGCGTTTCATTCAAAATAGTCAACAGGGTCGCAAGAAGCGTGTGGAAAAACCAAGGCGCAAAATAACTGCCCATGAACTGAGAAAAGTCAAGCGTGCAGCTGCCACGATGCCACTTGCCACCAGTTTGGCCATATTTCAGAGCTGCAACATCACTGAGTGCCCAAAAGCACAAGGTGTGCAATACTCAGAGACATGGCCAAGGTAAGAAAGGCTGAAAGACGACCACCACTGAACAAGACACACAAGCTGAAACGTCAAGACTGGGCCAAGAAATATCTCAAGACTGATTTTCTAAGGTTTTATGGACTGATGAAATGAGAGTGAGTCTTGATGGGCCAGATGGATGGGCCCGTGGCTGGATTGGTAAAGGGCAGAGAGCTCCAGTCCGACTCAGACGCCAGCAAGGTGGAGGTGGAGTACTGGTTTGGGCTGGTATCATCAAAGATGAGCTTGTGGGGCCTTTTCGGGTTGAGGATGGAGTCAAGCTCAACTCCCAGTCCTACTGCCAGTTCCTGGAAGACACCTTCTTCAAGCAGTGGTACAGGAAGAAGTCTGCATCCTTCAAGAAAAACATGATTTTCATGCAGGACAATGCTCCATCACACGCGTCCAAGTACTCCACAGCGTGGCTGGCAAGAAAGGGTATAAAAGAAGAAAATCTAATGACATGGCCTCCTTGTTCACCTGATCTGAACCCCATTGAGAACCTGTGGTCCATCATCAAATGTGAGATTTACAAGGAGGGAAAACAGTACACCTCTCTGAACAGTGTCTGGGAGGCTGTGGTTGCTGCTGCACGCAATGTTGATGGTGAACAGATCAAAACACTGACGGAATCCATGGATGGCAGGCTTTTGAGTGTCCTTGCAAAGAAAGGTGGCTATATTGGTCACTGATTTGTTTTTGTTTTGTTTTGAATGTCAGAAATGTATATTTGTGAATGTTGAGATGTTATATTGGTTTCACTGGTAATAATAAATAATTGAAATGGGTATATATTTGTTTTTTGTTAAGTTGCCTAATAATTATGCACAGTAATAGTCACCTGCACACACAGATATCCCCCTAACATAGCTATAACTAAAACAAACTAAAAACTACTTCCAAAAATATTCAGCTTTGATATTAATGAGTTTTTTGGGTTCATTGAGAACATGGTTGTTGTTCAATAATAAAATTAATCCTCAAAAATACAACTTGCCTAATAATTCTGCACTCCCTGTATGTGAACCTTAATAAATGTAAAATTAGAGAGGGAAAAAAGTAAGTTGTACAAAACGATCACTAAACTTTGAATTACAGAGAGCTATATTACGTATATTGCTTGCTTTTAATGTACCACTGTATTTGGCAGTCTGTGCAAAACATTGTTGGGCATGATCTAATTTGGATGATAAATGATACTTACAGGGTTATTCACTATAGACTATACCAGGAATCGAAGTTCCAGGAGCTGAAGAGGCCTGGACGGAAGAGTATTTCATAAGGCACCCTGCTACAATGTCTGCAAATCAATAGCTGACATGGAAACCTTCTCCCAGTCGGCTAAGCTTTTAGTTCGGCTACGTTTGCCTTTAATTTGAAATATACTTTGAAACCCCTACAATTCTTACTTTAGTGACTAACCCTGCTGGTTTCCAAAATCCTATGTATGAGACATAGCATAGTATGGAAAGCACATTTCTCGGTCCTCATAAATATCTGTTACTAAAATGACAATTTTGTTTTTATCTGGGTAACTGCTACCCATGTGTACCATGCTAATAATCTTCTCCATGTTCTCTATTTCCTTCCTATCCCTCTACTTTTACCTTGGTAGTTTACATTTTTTTTAGGTTACAAAAAAAGCCTTTAGCTGGATTTAATATAGATTTAAAGGAATCCTATACTGCCAGGAAAACAAACCCATTTTCCTGGCACTATAAGCTCCTGTAGTGCCCCCCTCCCGCAAGGCTGATGGGGTTAAAACCCCTTCAGCCACTTACCTGAATTCAGCGCCGATGTCCCTTGGCGCTGGGCCACGCTCTGCCCACGCTCCTCCCCCGCAGACAGTAGCCAGCAGGGGAGACCCAATGCATATGCGCGGCAATAGCCACACGCACATTAGACCTCTCTATAGGAAAGCATTATTCAATGCTTTCCTGTGGGGAAAATCTGACACTGGTGGTCCTTGAGGGCGTCCGACAACGGACCAAAAGTCCATTTAGATTCCGGAAGCCCTCTAGTGGTTGTCTGATAGACAGCCACAGAGGGCAGACTTAGAACTGCAGTGTAAACATCTGACACTGGATGATGTGAGGACATAAGGTCTGTTTCAAGTGGCTATCTGGTATACAGCCAGTAGAGACTGACTTAGTGTTGCAATGTAAACATTGCAGTTTCTCTGGAACTGCAATGTTTAACATTGCAGCACTAAGTGCAAAAGGGACACTGCACCCAAACCACTTCAATGAACTGAAGTGGTCTGGGTGCCTACAGTGTCCCTTTAATCTCACTGCTGACATTTTAAATTTGAACGTATATGCAAGCCATTCAGCTGAAAGGGGAACAGTCACTTCTTTAGAAATTACAGAATTTAATAAAACCTTCAAAATCACCTAAAACTTGTGTTGACCTATTTCATCAGATGCTTTGTTTTCAAAGTTTTAAGTTTATTTTTATTTAAAGTTCAACAAAATAAATCTCAATCTAGTTGAGTCCAGGCACAGCCATGGCACATATAACAAACAAAGAGAGAAATTGAAACATTCACATTGTGAATGCGTTCTCTGTGCGGATTGCCAAAATGCAGTTACCCATGAATGGTGTCTCATTTTGGTCTACCAATTAGAATGTTACCCTTCACTTGTATGATAGATGTCCTAATCAAAAGCTGCTTAGATCTGACCTCACATAGAAGGATCTGTTCACTAACTGCTGAAATTGATTCTGCAAATTCAGCTCATTTAGGTTCAACTGATAACTTTTATGTGAGCTTCAATGAGGTCACATTCTAATCGTCCAAGAAGCCAACTGATATGACATGTAGATTTTGTGATAGTGCCAAAGAGCTAGTTGATCCATTTAGTATACACATGTTCAAATCACAGACTGTACATTTTAGTTTTATATCTTTGCATAAGAAAAAAGAAGTTTAGAAACTAAAACGGGCCGCAGCCATGAAAGATTGCCTTTGCAGTCACAGACAATTTAACCAGAATGTCATGAAAAATATGCAAGCAAGGAAACATAGTTCAGTTTTCAGACTCCCTTTCCAGTTGGCCCCTGTAGCAATTGACCTGTTTTATGGCACTACCTTTTATGCCTATGGATAGGTTTTTGAACTTGCTACAATTTTAATAATTTTTGTTTTATTTAATCAGCGATTTCCTGAACTGAAAGTGACCACAAGCAGGAAAGGCCCAATGGGGGAATTTGTATAGTCCTTTTGCAAAGCCATACTTTGGCTTTAGGACTTCACCAAATCCTATGCAGAGTTTTAGTATCAAAATGGAAAATGCATAAAAGTACTTGCCAAGCTGGCACATATAAGTAAGTAATAAAAATAAAACAATATCCAATATAACAAGGCCACCTCAAACCAACAAATCAGAAATCTACAGACTTCTATGGTCTCAACTTATGTCAGCATTCATGCCTCTGCCATTATAAACACTGTGAAGAACTCACTCAATAAAGGCTAAAACCCACTAAGCTCCCCCTGATTATCCCCCTCCTCCTTCACACCATCACCCCCTCCTCCTCCTTCGCCCCATCGCCCCACTCCTCCTTTGTACCATCACCCCCTCCTTTGCACCATCACCCCCCCTTTCCTCCTTCGCACCATCACCTACCCTCCCTCTCACCATCTTGCTTCATAACCTCAATATCCGTTATAAAACCAGGAAAAGGTGAGCATGGATGGTGAGATGATTCGATGGTGCAATGGGCCACTTGACTGGATTTGCCCCCCCCCCCAAGGCAGGGGCGTTTTAGCCGCGAGGCAAACAAGGCATTTGCCTTGGGCGGCATTTTTCAGGGGGCGGCAAAAAACGCCGCCCCCCAAATGCCTTGTTAGCTTTGTGGCTAACAGACAGGCCGGGCTGGCGAGGGAGCTCTTCCTCTGAGCAGTCCGCTCAGCTCCCTCGCGCGCTGCAGAGTGAGGCTGGGAGCCGGAATATGACGAGCTGAGCGGACCACTCAGAGGAAGAGCTCCCTCGCCAGCCGCCCGCCCGCCCAGTGCCGCCCGCAGCCACTGGACCACCGGGGAGATAGAAACCCCCCCCCTCCCCCAGCATTCCCAAAGGTAAGGAGGTGGGGGGGGGGTAAATTAAAAAAAAAATATGTATTAATGTGTGTGTGTTTGTTAGTGTGTCTGTTAATGTGTGTGTGTTTGCTAGTGTGTGAGTGTGTCTGCTAGTGAGTTAGTGTGTGTCTGACTGTGTCTGTTAGTGTGTGTGTGTGTCTGTTAGCGTGTGTATGCGTATCTGTCAGTGAATGTGTGTGTGTGTGTGTACTTAGAAGGCGGGGCGGGGGGAAGGGTTAGGTGGGGCTGGTGTGCACACTTCCTTTCAGTCCCGCCGGAAACCGGAACCTGAAATAGAAGTTCCTGGACCGCGGAGCGCGCTGTGAAGCCGGCCCACGCTCAAAGACAGGTAAGTAATTCTTCACATTCGCTCCATAAGACGCACAGACATTTCCCCTCACTTTTGAGGGGAAAAAAAGTGCGTCTTATGGAGCGAAAAATACGGTAATTGAGTAAAACATTGACATACATCTACAACTTGTATTAGTATTCACTTTTTTATATTTTGAAAATGTCTATTACCAAAAAAAAAAAAAACATTTTATCTAATCTGCTTCTGCATATATCCCCTCTGTCTGAATCTGTTTTTGGTTGTTAGAGATTTTTTCCTGAGTACTGTTTTTTACCCTGTAAAATACACAAGGATATGTAGGGTCTTCTTTTCCTTCTATATAGCAGTTAGGTAGACAAAATCTGACAATGGGTGGGGCTTAAAGCAACAATCTGTTTCAGTTGCCAATCAAATTTACCCATAAGCATCAGTAAAATAAGTCCTGCAGAAGTGCAAACTTCAGACATCATGGGCAGAGAAGAACAAAATTGAGATCTGGCACAAAGAAGAAACGATGATAAATATAAATGCAACTGGCAACAAGAGGGAACATACAAGCAGGTGCAGGAGGCATAAGGAAAGGAAAACCAAAAGGAGAAGAAAAACATGACAGTGCAGTTTTTAAAGGACCACTCTAGGCACCCAGACCACGTCAGCTTAATATAGTGGTCTGGTTGCCAGGTCCAGCTAGGGTTAACCCATTTTTTAATAAACATAGCAGTTTCAGAGAAACTGCCATGTTTATTAATGGGTTAAGCCTTCCCCCTAATCCTCTAGTGGCTGTCTCATTGACAGCCACAAGAGGCGCTTGCGTGCTTCTCACTGTGATTTTCACAGTGAGAGCACGCCAGCGTCCATAGGAAAGCATTATGAATGCTTTCCTATGTGACCGGCTGAATGCGCTCGCTGCTCTTGCCGCACGTGCGCATTCAGCCGACGGGGCGGAACGAAGGAGGAGAGCTCTCTGCCCAGCGCTGGAAAAAGGTAAGTTTAAACCCCTTTCCAGAGCCAGGCAGGAGGGGGTCCCTGAGGGTGGGGGCACCCTCAGGGCACTATAGTGCCAGGAAAACAAGTGTGTTTTCCTGGCATTATAGTGGTCCTTTAAAGATTTAGCAAGTCGCTTATCAATACAGTTCAGCCATTGAACAAATGTTATTGTAGGATTAGAAAATGTAACATGGTTTATACTGACAGAGAACTTCTAACTGGTTATAGACAGCCAAGATGGAGGCACTTGGTTGCAGGACAGATCTAAATACAACTTTGAAGATTTAAATGTATTTTCAGACCACGCAAAGGCATATTTCTTAAATATAGTCGATAGGTTCCCCTATAAAAGAAGGTATCTTCTGTAAAGGTTTGTCACGATGTGGCCCATTGGTGGCTGGTTTATTCCTGTACGATGCATTTTCTTGTGCTAGCACTTGCCTGACTTCCCTGTTTTTAATAAGCTGTATTACAGCTCTTAGAGAAGAATGGAAAAGCCACATTTGTGCCTGCTGTTTCAGCACCGAGGTTTCTCAATGAGAAGCCTCATATTAGAGTGTTCCGCAGAACAGCTTTTTAGTCTCTTTTAGGAAAGGTGGAGGGCTTGCAAAGGCAGCAGACGAGAGTCTGCTACTTTTGCAGGCTGTATAGATATACCAGCAATAGGAAAAAAACATAAATAAATGCATGTATATTTTTATCTGGGTATTTCTACCAAATTCTTACTCATTTCAATGGAGTCTTTTTAAGAGTAAGGATTTTATATACAAAAAGCAGACTTTTAGGTGCCTATTGGGCTGAGCTAGTTTGATGCATTTTGTTTCAGATTTTGAGCAGTGAGTGCTGTTTCAACAAGCAGATCTGCTTTAATCCCTTAAGGACACAGCTTCAGAAGCCTGACTTACGCTTAATGACACAAGCAATTTTTGCATTTTCTTGCTGTTTGCGTTCAACTGCAATTTGCATCTCTCTCATTTATTGCACCGACACATATTATATACTGTTTTTAAAGGACAGAAAGGGCTTTAATTTGATATAACATATATATATATAAATGCTTACTTATTATAAAAAAAATACAGAAAAATGCAAAAAAAATGAAAAATATTGTGTTTTTTTTTACAGTTTTTGCAATAATAATGTGTGCATAATTAGTGCAGGTTAAGGAAAGTAATTAAAAATAAATTTATTTATTTGTTCTGATTTACAGAATATATAATGTGTCTGGGATTTTAAGTTTTTTTTGGTAGTTACAGGTCACAAAGCACAAGGAGTAAAATAAACTTTTAATGTGGAGCGATTTTAGAATTTGGTATGTTTGTCTTGTAAGCTTAATAGCCATAAAAGAAAACAAAATTGCCACACAAAAGTATATATTTATATAAAGTAGACATCACGGGCTATTTACCTAAGGTTGTTTTGACACTTTCTACGTAGCCATTTCACCGCCAACCTCTGCTAAATATTGGAGTAAAATTGTGTTCTTTTTGGTTTTTTGCACACAAACTTATAACAGAGAAATTCTCGTGTATATTTTGTAAAGTTAGTGTGTGCTATTCCTGTACAAAGTTTTATTTTGTGTTCAGTTACATCTGCTGAGTAAAATGACACCCCCATTGTATGTCTTTTGCACTATTTCGTGAAGTTACAGTGCCATACAGGATACCTGTCCTTTTCAGTATTCACAGTAGAATTTTGAGAGATGAATTTAATGAGCCTTAGCTTCCATTTGGGGTATTATAACAGTTTGACTGTTCAAAAAAACCCCACAAAGGCCTACCATTTGTAAAAGTAGACACTCCAGGGTATCTTATAAGGTGCATATTGTGCCTTAACATGCCCCCATTTTTTCACCAATATATGACAAAGTATGTGGTAAAAAAAAATGTTGTGCATTTTTTACATACGGATTGCATTTTTGCTGGGCGTTTTGTATATTTCATATGTGCCACTAAGTTCAAAACCCCCAAATTATGCTCAGCTAAGTCTTCTGAGTAAAATGACACCCCATATGAATGTCTTTGGCACTATTTCGTGAAGCTACAGTGCCATATAGGAGACCTGTCCTTTACAGTATTCACAGTAGAATTTTGAGAGATGGATTTAATGAGCCTTAGCTTCCATTTGGGGTATTATAACAGTTTGACTGTTCAAAACCCCCCCACAAAGGCCTACCATTTGTAAAAGTAGACACTCCAGGGTATCTCATAAGGTGCATATTGTGCCTTAACATACCCCCATTTTTTCACCAATATATGCCAAAGTATGTGGTAAAAAAATTATTTTGTGCATTTTTTACATACGGATTGCATTTTTGCTGGGCGTTTTGTATATTTCATATGTGCCACTAAGTTCAAACCTCCCAAATTATGCTCAGCTAAGTCTTTTGAGTAAAAATACACCCCCAATGAATGTCTTTGTCACTATTTTGTGAAGCTACAGTGCCATATAGGAGACCAAGCCATATCCGTTTTTACCAAACTTTGAATTTTGACGCTGGGCCTATGTGCAATTTCCAAGCATCTTCGCAGGTTTTAAATTCAAACTACCCCACAAAGGCCTACCATTTCTTAAAGTAGACACCCCAGGGTGTTTCAAAAGGTATAGTTTGAACCTTAGCGTGGGATCATTTTTCCGCTAGCTTGTACCAGATGTAGTGGTAATAAGCGTTTTTTCTGCCTTTTTGACATACAAAGTGAGTTTGCACAGTATATTTTGCAAAACCTTATGTGTGCTACGACTGTATAATACTTCATATGTTGCTCAGCTATGTCGGCTGAGTACAGCAATACCCCCGTATGTACCTTTGCCAGGTATGTGTGGACATCGGAGGGGCACATTTGGGACACAGCCATTCCAGTTTTTTTCAAACTTTGAATTTTTATGCTGTGCCTATGTCCCATTTTAGAGTATTTTACCAGGCTATATAATCCAAATTCCCCATAAAGCCATACCATTTCTTAAAGAAGACATCCCAGGGTATTTCAAAAGGCATATTTTGAACCTTAGCGTGGGATCATTTTTCCGCTAGCTTGTACCAAGTGTAGTGGTAATAAGCATTTTTTCTGCCTTTTTGACATACAAAGTGAGTTTGCGCAGCATATTTTGCAAACCTTATGTGTACTATGACTGTATAATACTTCATATGTTGCTCAGCTATGTCGGCTGAGTACAGCAATACCCCCGTATGTACCTTTGCCAGGTATATGTGGATGTTGAAGGGGCGCATTTGAGACGCAGCCATTCAGTTTTTTTCTAACTTTGAAGTTTTACGCTGTGTCCATGTTCCAATTTGGAATAGTTTAGACGGTTGGTTATTGAGACTTCCCCACAAACACATACTATTTATTAAAGAATACACCCTGAGGTAATTCAAAAGGCATATTTTGAACCTTGGCGTGGGATAATTTTTTCTCTAGTTTGTTCCAGGTGTAGTGGTAATGAGCGTTTTTAAAATGTATTTTTTTACTTTTTATAACTTTTTTACTTTTAAAAACTAGTTTTTAAACTTTTGTTTTGCTTATAAATTTTTTTTAAACTTTCCTAAACTTTCTTAAAACTTTTTTACAGATTTAACATTTTTCTAAGCTATTTTTTTTACTGTTAACCCCTAACTAGCAGTACGCAGCACTAACAGTAAATTCCCCATTTTCCCATAACTCCCACCCACCCCAGCTAGCAAAATATATAGTTATAAAATATTTAAATTAATTAATTAAATAAATTGAACCCCTGAGGGTTAAAAAAAATAAATAAAAGTTAATCCTCAGGGGTTAAAAAAAATTAGATCACAGTATAATACTGTGATCTCTATTTGATCGCTGTAGGCAGTGATCGACTGGCAGGGAAGGGGTTAATTTTTATTTGGACTAGTTAAAGTGTGTTTTTTTGTTTTTATTACTTAAATGTTATTAAAACATTTTTTTAAGCTTAATTTTTAACTTTTTAAAGTTTCTTTTAAAACTTTTTTTTAACGTTAACCCCTAGTTAGCCTAACGCCAAATCCCCCAATTCCCCACTAACTTCCACCTACCCCAGCTATCTAAATATATAATTTAAAAATAATTTAATTAATTTAATTAATTTAACCCCTGAGGGTTAAAAAAAAAAAAGAATTAACCCTCAGGGGTTAAAAAAAAAAATCAGATCATAGTAAAATGTAATCCCTGCCAATTGATCACTGTAGTCAGTGATCAATTGGCAGGGAAGGGGTTAATTTTTTATTAAAATGGGTAAGGGGGACTTTAAATAAACTTTATTTTTTTTTCAGCAGGGGGCAGGATCAGCACTGATCCGGCTCCCTGCACTTCACACAGAACCCGGAAGTGCAGGGAGCCGGTAGGTGAGTATACAGAGCACATGTGCTCGCTCTGACTTGTGGTCAGAGCGAGCACATGTGCTGGGCAGCTTGACCGGGTGCTCCCGGTATGCCTCTAATGCAGAGGCATACCGGGAGCACCATTAACCCCGCGATAGCGGCGATCCGGGGTTAATTTTACCGCGTGACGGACGAGGTCCGTCACCCGTCGTTAAGGGTCTCCCCTGTGTGACGGACCTCGTCCGTCACCCGTCCTGAAGGGGTTAAAAATGAAATTAATAAAAATACAAACCATTTGTTGCCACATTTTTCTTGAGTATATCTCATCTCAGCTATGTCAATTCCCATACATTTCAACACTTCCCGTCTCTTGCCTCTTCCCTCTCGTACTTACTGATTTACTCACACATACACACATCCAACTCCTGAAGCATAGTGGAAGGGGCAAGGTGATCATAACTCTACTCCATCTTATAGTGCCTGAAGCCAATACACAGGCCATAATTCCTATACCACCATTGAGAGTAAAAATATAAATAGTGCATGTCTAAGGCATGATGATGGGACCACCTGTTCCTAATGGCAGGGCTTGACAAATTTGCTTGGAATATAGGAGCCAGCTAAAAATGTTAGGAGCCAGTATTTTTTTATCTAACAGCTTCATTTTCAGCGACAAAAATAAAATTCCTAAAGGAACACTATTGTCACCAGAACCACTGCAGATTAATGTAGTTGTTCAGGTGGCTTTAGCCTATCCCTTCAGGCTTTTCAATGAAAACACTGCCTTTTCAGAGAAAAGACCGTGTTCACATTGCTGCCTAGTAACACCTGTAGTCACTCAAACGGCCACTAGAGGTGATTCCTAGTATAGTGCTGCACAGTGACTCCACATTCGGCATAGAGTCGCTGAATATTCCCCATAGAGATGCATTGCTTCAGTGCATCTCTAAGAGGAGATGCGGATTAGTGCATGCGCAATCAACTCCCAATGCTTTTCTATGGGAAAGCATTGGCTTGGCTGAGGTCATCAATATTGATTAGCACAGCCATGAAGGTGGGTCCAGCCATGGCAAGACCGTCATGACTTTGGAATAAAAATGAGAGTAAAATCGCCTTTCCCATGCAATCAGAGGGAGACCGGTGAAAGGGACACTGTAGGCACCCAGACCACTTCTTCTCATTGAATTGGTCTGGGTGCCTATTCCCATCACCTTTTAACCCTGCAAGTATTTATTTACCTTGCAGGGTTAAGTCCTTATCTAGTGGCTGTCTACCACACAGCCACTAGAGGGACTTCTGGCTTCTTAGACGACTTTTAGTCGTCTAAATGACGCTGGACTTCCTCATGCTATACCTTCCTATGGAGAGGTCTAATGCAGGTGCACACACGCGGCCATTGCCACACATGCGCATTAGGTGTCCCACGTCGGTGGGAGAGGAGCGTGGGTGGAGCCTGACCCAGCGCCGAGGGACATCGACGCTGGATTCAGGTAAGTGTCTGAAGGGGTTTTAACCCCTTCAGTGCCATGGGATGGGAGACAGGAGGGAAGGGGCACTCCAGGATCCTCTAATGCCCGGAAAACGGGTTTGTTTTCCTGGCACTAGAGAATCACTTTAAGCTAAACAGACATTCCATGACCGACACACTCACATTCATACACACCACTCAGAAGTTGCATCTTTTTTTTTTTTTATAATTATTTTAATTGAAATCCACTCAGCCTTCCTACCTTTGGAGAGCTGGAGTAGATTGGCTTACCCTGGGATCCACTGGGGCTGCTGTCATCTCCCTGCTCTGCTCACTGTCGCGCATTGTTTAGTATGACGACATATTCCTGCTCCCGGCATCACTGCAAGGAGGCAGAGCAGGGAGATGACGGCTCTCTCCCTCAAAATGCAGATCCATTGCACACAGCGGCCGCCTGCCCACCTCTGCTCTCTCACAACACTGGCTGGCCCGGCTCTGCTCTACCACAGCCGACTGCTTGCATTCTCCCTCGCCGATTCGGCTCGACATGGTGACCTGGCTCCTGGGATTTGTCGAGCTTTGGCTTATGGTGCCAGTTGGGGATAATTAAACACCAGAGAGTGACAATAAGCTGCACCCATTCATGTGCTGCCTTGATCCAGTGGATGTAGTAGGACCAACTTTGCTGATACATGCACAAACTATATATGGGTCAATGAATGTTTGTGTTTTTGTTTTGTTTGTTTCTTTTATCCAACAGGTTATTTCCCTAAAGTGAGAAAATAAAAATACTTGAATTGTATTCATAATGCATAGAAAAATGTAAACTGTTTCAAACTGGTGTGTCCATAAAGTTCTCCAATGTGTGTTTTCTTTTCAAATGCAAATAATCTATATCTGTAGTGGAGCATAACTTTTCATCTATACATTGTACTAGCATTCTTGCTAGTTAATGTATAGTTTGGGAGAAAAACCTATTTTAAAATAGTTTGGTTTTCTCCCAGCTGTCAGTCAGTGCCTCAGCAGACCCTGAATGCTGAAGCATTGACGGACCAGGGAGAGCAGAAAAGACACAGGAGATCCCTTTGCTCACCCATGCATAGAAACTGCAGCGCATGTGCTAGAAGCGCCCGCTAGGGAGTATAGTAGTGATGGTCCAGAGGTTGGTGTCAGGTTAAGAGTACACCCACTGAGCGGTGCTGGAACCAAGGAAAGGTGAATAAATCTCTATATTTTACATTGAATACATCAGATTTCTTAGTGATATATGATCCATTCAATGTATGTGGGAGCATTGAAGGTGTTTCCTTTTTCTCTACAGGTTTACTTTAAGATATGCTAGCAGTGTTTATCCGTTGATAAGGGAATGGGTTTTGTTTTGTTTTTTTATGCCCTTGTGCTCTTCCTGAATAGGAAATTGCTATACAACATATCAGGAAGTGAGACGGGCAGAGAAATATTTCTTCCGCATTCTGTAAAACACCATCAGTTTCATCTTGGTGGTTTCAGGTGGAGGCTTTAAAAGGAACATTACACTAAGTGTAGAGAACATAATGTTATTTAAATTTAATTCTGTATACCCAGACATAAAATAACAGGAGAAAAAAAGTGTGATGGTTGTGTCAAAATTTAAAATGGTGCAAACCAAAATACAGTGTGTGTGTGTGTGTGTGTGTGTGTATATATATATATATACCGGTATATATTGGACTGCAGATTTTTCCTAATGATTCTCTAAAAGCATTTGGACAATGTCCAGCACCAACAAGGAAGTGCTGGGCACTAGATCCTGTGATTATTAATCATGTGCTTTAAAAAAAAAAAAAAAATGCCTTTTGGAATTAGTTTCCCTTTAAAGACAAGCTTGGAATGCAAAATATGCAATCAAGCAATGCAACATTCAATACAAATGGGAGAAACCCTGATAGCAAGCATGGGTATCGGGTGAAAGCCAACGGTGGCGGGGTGGGAGGTGGAAGTTGAGGGTCTGGCATGCAATAGCCGCATGACTCCTTATTTATCTCACTATTTGAGAAACACCACCTTGGTTCCCCACAAGCATAGATTGTTAACCATTCTATAGATGCCTGTTTTATGTTTTCAGTTAGATTAGCATGTCTCTTATGCACACACGCACACATACACATTCTGACCTACTAGTGCATATGTATTGATACTCTGCTGACCTATTTGGCCTCCTGTATTTACTAGCCCAAGCTTGTGCACAAGTACTCGACTTTCATAAAAAGAAGCAGTCATGGGAGAATGTATCCCTGACATTGTATACAGCTTATATGCCTTTTTTTTTTTTTTTTGCTGTTATATCCATTTTTCTTTCTGTACTGAATTCACTGTGCTTCAATAAAACAAAGATTAACAAAAACTAAAAATAGGAGGAATATAGCCCTATTAGTTAATGGCATACTTCAAAAACAGAATCCAACTATCCATATATAGAAACATAGAATGTGACGGCAGATAAGAACCATTCTAGTCTGCCCATTTAAAAAAAATACGTTTATTAGTCCCTGGCCTTATCCTATAGCTAGGATAGCCTTATGCCTATCCCACGCATGCTTAAACTCCTTTACTGTGTTAACCTCTACCACTTCAGCTGGAAGGCTATTCCATGCATCCACTACCCTCTCAGTAAAGTAATACTTACTGATATTATTTTTAAACCTTTGCCCCTCTAATTTAAGACTATGTCCTCTTGTTGTGGTAGTTTTTCTTCTTTTAAATATAGTCTCCTCCTTTACTGTGTTGATTCCCTTTATGTATTTAAATGTTTCTATCATGTCCCCCCTGTCTCGTCTTTCCTCCTAACTATACATAAAAAGAGATTATGAAACCATGTTTTGACTTACCTGAGATTAAATCCAACAGGTTGTGCCATCAATAGCCTGTTGCCCTGAAATGTTCAGTTTGTTTATTTAATTTTTTTTAAATTCTTTATTTTTTGAGTGCAGTGTTAAATGTACATTTCAACATTATCACATGGCTTTATAGAAAGAGTAACAATATGGCAGTTAGCGTCATCATGGTATGCTGCACTTTTTTTGTTTTTTTGAGCACCCGTAATAGCAAATTATAAACAGGCGTATTAACAAACAAAATGATCAAAATAATCATGTCTAGTCCGAGCTGGAGTTGCGTGTCTAACTGTATGGACTTGCTAGACAGGTGAGTGAAATTGAAGGTGTAGCTTAGAATATACATGCACAAGCTTTGCGTTTGTAATTCAGTTTAAGTGAGTAGCGAGATGTTAGTAGCGTGCTGGTTTTCTGTTAACTTAGGCATCCATATGTTGTGTGATGGGTAGAGCTATGCTGGGGTTTGGATATGTTGTGTGCAGATAGGGTGTGTGTCTTCTAGTAGGTGGTTGTGTGCCTGTGTAGTGTCAGTCGTGTGGTTAACCCCTGAGCTGCCTAAGTGTGTGGAGTGTAGTTACCTGAACGCATGCGTTAATTGCTTATGTGCATAAGATACATCTGCCTTGTTTAAGATGGGAACATCGGGTTTCTATGGCAGCAGTTCTAGATGTGTGAATGTCCGTGCTTGATGTATGTTGTGGGTTATGTATACTCTTGCGTAGGGTGGTGTATCGCCTCCGTCCCGGGAAATGACTCAAGTTAGTCTGTGTTTAGAGTGTCCATCTTGGGATGCTCAGCCAATGCCTGTTAGCGGTTGGCAGGTAGTTTTAAATGGCATAAGTCCACTTTGGTATATGGGCTGGTTGGATAGGCCGGCCTCTGCTGCCCTCTGTGTCATGCTGGTGCTGGAGCCACCATTAGGGCTGTAGGTGGCCTTGATCATTGGGCGATGAACTATTTGAGTCGTTGGTGCCCTTGGGCGGTGAGTGTAGGAAACCCTTGTGGTTCTCTGGGGCTGAGGGTGTGCGGGGCCTCCTGGTGCAGCGCCATCTCTCTGATGGAGCTGGATGCTTGAGGGGGGAGTATTGCAGGGGTAGCCTCCAGATGAGTCCCTTTTGAGGGTTTGGGCGACTCACCCGTGGTCGAGCGTGGCGGTGTGGTAGCTTGTTTCGGGCTTCCCGCCTCCTCCCTGCTGCCCAGGTCCCTCTCGAGTTTCGTTTTGGTGTTGCGTGCATCTGTTTGGGGTCTCTTGGGGCTGATGCCGCTGACGCTTCCTCCGTGGTGACCCCTGCAGCTCGTGATCTTGGCCCAGAAGCTTGGGAATAGTCGGTTTAGCCTTTCCGACAGTGGGAGCAGGCAGGTCTCGGATGTTGAGGCCCGCGTGGCTGCCGCCATGTTGATTGTCGCTGGCCCTGCGGCGTTGGTAAGCCGAGGTTGGTGCCTCCATCTAAGGTTACATGCTTTGGTTGCCTGGATATCCCTCACCGGCGGGGTGGGAGGAGGGGGTGGGAAGCGGTGTTCCGGGGAGACCTCCGGCAATGTGGGCTGCAGTTGGCTGGGGGATTGGCCGTCTCCCCTGTGCCTTCTGAGTAGGCCGCAGGTAGGCCTTAGGTCTCTCTCCCGGTCGCGGTTGCCTGTTTTGCTTTCAGGGTCTCGATTTATCTTCGTCTCCATGTTGTACCAGTGTTGCTTGGGCTGAAAATCAGTCTGTGTGGAGATTTGTAGGTTTTTTTTTTTTTGGTTTTTTTTTAACAGGTTTTGTGCGGTTTTGCCCGGGGCTCATCCACAGTGCAGCCGCTCTGTTCGGCGTTCAGACTCCGCCTCTCAGTTTGTTTATTTTTAATCCTAAATTATTGCCGTATTATATTCCTTCAGCTGCATTCACCACGGTGCTTTGTTTAATTAATAAATTACTAGTTTTATAGCTGAACAATGCAGTAATAAAGAGGGATTGTGTGCACTGCGCTGTTATAGGTTCCTTTTTGATGATCATACCACCTTTTTGCCTTCTCACTTCTTAAAAATGGATTTCCATCACACATTCCTAAAGCCATATCGGTCAAACTAGGGGACCGTATCTATGACACTACCTACGAGGCCAGGGCACTACGCAAACAAGCGGGAGTAGCTATACTCCTACATAAACGCTGCCCATTCACAGTGACACACAAACAGACCCAGAGGGCAGATTCATAGCCATCACTGGCACTCCCTATAACACCAAACTACATATCTTAAACATATACGCACCCAACAACCCAGAACGTGCCTATTAGGATACCATAGCATCCCTACTCACCACCCTGCAAGGGGGCATACTGGTAGTGGGAGGAGACCTCAACGCTGTCCCGTGCCCAGCAATCGACCGCAGCTCCAAACCGGGGACACAACGATCTCAGGGCAGGGGGGGGGGACAAGACAAACTTCTACACTCCTTTCTCCAACACACCGGACTCGTAGACGCTTGAAGACTCCAACACCCAGACACAAAAGACTATACATACTACTCAGCTCCACACAACACATATTCCAGAATAGACAATATACTCAACGGAGCAGGTATGGCCAAACTCATTCACTCAGAAATAAACAGCATCACATGGTCATACCACGCCGATGACGCGATCACATTGGGGAACATTCAATACCACAACAACTGGACATGGAGGCTCAACACCAACTTACTCACCGATGAGGCAATACTCACCACGACGCGACAGAAAATCACAGACTATTTTAGTACCAACGACACTATGGGCAGCGCACAAATCCGTGTTGAGGGGACATCTCATACAGGCAGCCAAACTCAAACAACACCACAAACAAAATCCCTCCACCAACACATACAACAAACTCCAAGGCATACGACACTCAATCAGAGAGCACACTATAGCAGAAGTGACACGTTCCATACTATGGTCAAGGCGCAAGTTTTATGAAAAAGCTAATAAAATGGACACATTACTGGCACGAACACTTAGACCCAGACAGGGACACAAACCCATCACAACGCTTCGTAACAACGCCAATAAACTAGTTAACACCCCAAAAGACATCGACGCCTTCACGGAATACTTCCAGAAACTATACAGCCACTCACCCCAGGAGGGCGACGCCCAGACCCAATATATCACCCGCATAGCTGACTTCCTAACTCACACAGACCTACCCAGGGTAACAACAGAGGAGACCAACACTCTAGAAGAAGAGGAGGTAGAAGCTGCGATATCCACCCTTAAGGGAAACAAAGCACCAGGACCTGACGGCTACAATATGGGCTATTACAAAACATTTAAGACGGAACTGACACCCCCCTCACCAAACTATGTAACCACTTCCTCCAGGGGGGAACCCCAGACCGCGACATGGCTACCGCCAACATAATCCTACTACCCAAACCCAACAAGGATGCCACGCTTGCCACAAACTACAGACTTATTTCCCTCATCAACACTGACTTAAAAATATTCGCGAAAATATTAGCGAAGAGACTGACGCCTCTGCTGCCCAAATTAATACACCCAGATCAGGTCAGTTTCATGCCGGGACGCCAGTTATATGAAAATACACGCAGAGGTGCAGACTTGATGTGGCATGTATCAAACTCTAAGCTCTTGTCCTTTCCCTTGACGCTGAAAAGGCCTTTGATAGAGTGCAATGGCATTTTCTGTTCAATCTGCTCCAAACGCAAGGCTTCCCCGACCCCTACATCACGGCAATAAAGGCCCTATACACAGACCTACAAGCACAAAACATAATAACAAGAGCACCAAAATCCCCGTTCCGAGTGAGCAACGGAACGAGACAGGGATGCCCACTTCTATTCGCAATCGTTTTAGAGCCGATTCTGCACCTCATTAGAGCCAACCCAAACATAAAAGGGGTGCAATTAGGGGATGAACAATTTAAAGTAGCAGCATATGCGGATGATATACTCCTAACACTCACAGACCCGACCCTATCAATGGCAAATCTAGAAAAGCTCCTGCAGGCATATGGGGACGTATCAGGATACAAAGTCAACCTTACAAAGTCAACAGCATTAACATTCCATGTACCTGACCAGGAGACACAACACATCAGACATACCTACCATATCAAAACCAACACAGACACACTCACATATCTAGGCGTCAGACTCACAGCAGACCACAACACACTATTCAAACATAATTATACACCACTGATCACGAAGCTCAAGACCGACTTGGAAAACTGGACGGACAAACCCATCACATGGCTAGGTCGCCTACACTCAATAAAAATGAACCTTCTGCCAAGATTCCTATTCCTATTCCAAGCACTCCTGACTTGAGTTACCAAGAGCGACTTAGCTGACATACAAAAGGCGGTAGACGCCTTTATCTGGCAGAGAAAGCGGCCCAGAATAGCCAAAACAATACTATATAATCCCAAATGGAGAGGAGGCCTGGGAATGCCCCACCTCCACCATTATTATATCGCAGCTCAAGTAGCCCAAATAGCCCACTGGCACTGCCCCAAAAATCAACGCCGATGGGTCGACATAGAATCCCTCTTGACAGGCGCAGACCTCCCACAGTTCCTCATATGGACACCAAGAAAACCTAGAGTACTCTTACGGACCGATTGCCCTGCCATTCTAAACTCCATCAGCTTATGGGACCAAATCGCACAGAAATTTAAACTTACAAACCTCCCGTCCCCAATGACCCCAGAGCATTCCCACCGGGAATTAGGGCAAGAGATTTTAAAGGCATAGAAGCCACAGGCCTACAACGCTACACTCACCTGTATATTGACAACCAACTAGTACCATACCAACACTTACAAACCCTTGCCCCATTAAAAACCCGCGACTTCCTCTGATACATCCAATTGCGAGATTTTGCACAAACCAAGGAGGTCAAAACGGCAAATGCCAAACCCATTACTTTCTTTGAACAAATCTGCCTAAAAGAAAAAATGCCAGTGAAATTAATCTCACTATTATACAACCACATATGCTTAGAATCAGGAATGTGGGGAACACAGACATACACAGACAAATGGGAAGCAGATCTGGGTGAAACGTTAGAGGGGACAGACTGGCAAGATATATGGGAGGCAAACGCAAAAGTGTCTATATGCACGACCCTCCAGGAACAAGCATACAAAACAATGCTACGGTGGTATACAACCCCCGTTAAACAATGGTACATGCAACTATGTCCCACAGACACCTGTTGGCGACTATGTGGGGAAAAAGGCACATACATCCACATGTGGTGGCACTGCACCAAAGTAAAAGAGTTTTGGGGAAAAATAGTATCATGAACACTAGAATCTTACACCGACGAGTAACACTGGACCTTTGGGCATGTCTTCTATCACGTCCGACGGAAGGACTAGACAAACATGACCAAAGACTAATGAATATGCTCAATCTAGCAGCTCGAAGAGCATTGGCACAATACTGGATAAAACCTGAGACACCCCCAATCTCTCTAGTAATTTCCAAAATCAGGGATAATTATTTAATGGACAAGATGACAGCATAGGTCTGCAACACCACTACCACATTCGAAAAGGTATGGGCCCTTTGGGAACAATATGATGAAAAAACACGAGACGAATGAGCACCCACTCACAGACGACTACTCACTCGTGCAGATTTAACTATATTTTCCTTCTCTTTTGTTATTCTTTTGTATATATTTTCCTGTACATGTTATGCATAAAATAAAATAAAAACTTTGATAGGCGAAATGAAAACTGCGCGATGGCGGCTTCTACGCAACCCACATGGACTATACCAACAATATATATTATGTACGCTAATAACCTAACCTTCCTTTCTGTAACATGATCAAAGCGAAATCGGTGACTGGGCTTCTGCGTAAGCCGACATTGATGTCACACTAAATGTCTGTCAATGCATAAATAAAGAATTTTTTTTTTAAAAATGGATTTCCCTGCTTCGTTTCCCACCCAACCCTTTATATTCCCTTTTCATTTTCTTGTATTTGTTTTCCTGTTATGTCAATTACCCTATCTCCTTTAGTCTCTTCCCATTTATTTTTTTTCCTTAGTCCCTTTATTGCACATTTCCGCCTCTCCTCATGCTAATATCCTTCAAACCGCTTCAAAGTACTATGTAAATATTCAATTTGTCCATTTTGCATGCTTCTGGACATTCCTAAAAATTTGAGAAATGTCAATACAAGAAATCAATGTTTAGACCTGTCTAAAATGACTATATAGTAGAATATTTTATTTGAGCTGGTGCAGACTCCTCCCCCTCATATGCATCTGGACTACATATCCCATCGTGCTCTGCCTGAGTATCATGGAAGGTGTGGTCCATGTCATTTGGAAAATGGTTTGAGAAAAGTTAGCTAGCAGAACATCATCGGAGATGTAATCCAGCATAGCAGAAGTTGCCTAAATCAGATTTAACACATACATATTGAAATTTGAACTATGTGAGCCTTTTCATTTGCCCATTATTTTGCCAGTAGAGCACAAATCTGAAAAGCTTAGATTACTTTAAACTGTTTACATGTATACCACCTACTAAATTATGTCTCTCCTAGTGTGACTTAGTGACTGGTGTACATTCTGTCTGGCTGTGTAGCAACATAAATACTGTTTCCTACCCTGACCATATGGCTGGTTCCTTGCCAAATGGTGATAATACAGCTGGGTAGTTGGTAGTTTGAGGATGTGGGAAGTTTGTTCAACTTTCTTATTATATGTCTGAGAATAAATTGACAAAGGCTGTGAGCTCTTTGTATAACCAGTGCCTGGTTAAATATTACTTAATGCATTTTTTTGGGTTCATGTGCTCCCAAGGGGGATGGGGCAGTATTTCCCAGCTTCTGTGCTAGGGCATTGTATGTCTGGTCGGTTGAATGTCCGGTCAGATGGATGGATTCTGTCTTTAAAGCTCTATGAATGGGTGATGCTTTGTGTATTAGGAACGCCTGCTTATTACCATGAATGGTGTGACTGATGATGAATAGAGGGAGGCGGCTGTGGTCACTGTAACTATAATTTATTTTTTATTTGGCTTTTCTTTGGAAAACCAGTGGTCAGTGAAGCTTCTACAAGCTTTCAGGATAACTCAGTCCATTTGTTTTGTTTTATTGACTTTATTCTTATTTAAACCCTTTAGGACATGAATCACCCAACATATAATTGTATCGGTTTTTGCAGTTATTTTGTTATATGATTTGGGTTTAATGCTTTACTGTTACTGATACCACACTCTTTCCTGGTGTATAGGATAGCTATTGATAGCCAGGGATACAGCTGTTTGATGATAACCCCTATGAGCTTATGGGACATTAAAGGGATGTTGGTTGTGGGGTTGCTCTGAGACTGTGAGTGTGTGATGGGTTAAATTCCCATTGCGGGGTGGAGTGATCATCTCTCCATAGTTTCTATTCATAGAGGAACAAAGGGATGTGATCCCAGTGTGTTGAGCACAATCACTTGCAGCTCACATAGCTCTGCTGTTCACTTGGATGTTTTCGGGGCCCTTTTTGTGTGAACAATATGCCTACAGCCTTGCATTTGTGTCAGATTTTGGAAAATGGTATCTTCGTGATGTAAGACTGGAGTTTATCACTTCCACAGAGAAGAGAAGCATTGACTGTAGGTACAGCTATTCGTATAAAGGGGATTCTTTTAGAGGTTTACCCACGAGGGGACTGCTCCAAACATCCATGTGCATAACTGATGGAGTTTAGACTTTGGTTGTAAAATGGAAAGGACTTTTATTGTGACAGTGGGATGTTGATTTGGGATTTACATAAGTAGAACGTATAACTGTCATATATTCTAAGTTCAGCTATTGCTGTGCATTTAGCATCATGTTCCTTTGTTTTCTTCATTATTGCATGTTTATACATAGAGTAATCCTGTTCAGTAAACTCCCTGGCCTCTTGTGTCAGGAACTACTGGGTGGCGTTAAAATGAAGGCTTCCTCTTTCTTAGCAGTATTCTCAGGTGTCCCCTGTGAGCACTGTCAGGTGGATGTGGTCCATACGATGCTAAAGGGTCACAGACTTTGCAGATTATTTCTTGGTGAACTCTGCAGGACATTGCCTAGTGTCTGAGCCAGCTGCTTATCGTTGTTTGAAGCCCAGCCATGGAATCCTATTATAGGGCTTACTTTGAGGCTTTCTGTGGCTGTCTTTTCCCTCTGCAGGGTCTCAAGAGATAAGCTGCCTAGTAATAAAGAGATTTTCAGTGCATTAAATTAAACCTCCCCTGGGGACCGTCTGTCCAAAGCAGATTTGTTGTTGTATTTACATTTGTTGTGCAGCTACTTAATATGATACATTATCTGTTGTTTGCTACTGTAAATAGTTTTTACATTCATTTAGTGATGAACAGATAACCGTATTGCATCCTTTTCATGTTGCATTCCTACTTACTCCAATGCTATAAGTAATCGTACAGTCTGGACAGCAAATAGATGTCTTCTCATATATTGTCTGCCATGGGATTTACCTTGCTTTTGCATCTCATGTTTTCCAGGAGATATAACTCAAAAGGGATATGAGAAGAAGAGAGCCAAATTGCTTGCACGTTACATCCCACTCATTCAAGGTACAGTATATGGTCCTGTCACAGTAGGAAAGCACTGCTTGGGGTTCACATATTCTATATAGGAGTGCAGAAGTGACCCTGTAAGACTAGGCATTGTATTTCTCTAAAGAACTATTGTACGGTTATGATCCAGCGGAAGAAAGGAGAAGACTTGCACTTGCTTGTTGCTTGAAAAAAAAACCATTTTCTTAATTAAGACTACTGGTGCCTAACTATATGCACCTCTTTCATATCTCTAAAAGACAATCAGATCATCCATTTCATAGATTCATATCTCTCCTGCAGACTGATGGATTTATTTAGGCAGTTCTGAAATAAAGCACTTCTTGAGGACCTTAGAATCATATTTGCAATGGATCCTAAACATTTTAATTCTCTGTCTTATGTTGGAGAGTTTTGTACAGATTCAGACTGTGTAAATAAAAAATGCATTTCAAGCCATTAAAACAAATATTGTCCTTAATAGGTTGGGCTAAATTTTAATTTGTGCAAAGCTTTGTGGTCACATCGATTCATAAACGCCCCTGTCATGGATCTTTCTCCCCCCTCCCTTTGGTTATCCCTTCCTTATGCCCCGTGTATCTTAATGATCATACTCTCACCATTTACGCTTGCCTTTATTTATATGTATTCCATTTTCTTCCTTGTGTCAGATCTTAATATCTTGTTGCAGCTATTTTGTTCTCTCCTACCCATTATGTCTGCTCTTTGCCCTTCTGTGTGATTTTACTGATACATTTTGGGTAAATTCGATTGGCGACTGAAACAGCTTAAAGGACCACTATATGCACCCAGACCACTTCAGCTCAATTAAGTGGTCTGGGTGCCAGGTCCATCTAGGGTTAACCCTGCAGCTGTAAACATAGCAGTTTCAGAGAAACTGCTATGTTTACAATAGGGTTAATCCAGCTTCTAGTGGCTGTCTCATTGACAGCCGCTAGAGGCGCTTCCGCGCTTCTCACTGTGATTTTTACAGTGAGAAGACGCCGGTGTCCATAGGAAAGCATTGACAAATGCTTTCCTATGGACTGACTAACTGCACGAGCGGATTCAGCGGATGACGTCGGAAGAGGGAGGAGAGTCCCTAGCGCAGAGGGAGCCCGGCACTGGTGAAAGGTAAGAATTTAACCCCTTCGGCCTGGCAGGACGGGGACCTAGAGGGTGGGGGGGACCTAAAGACCCTCTAGAGCCAGGAAAACAAGTTTATTTTCCTGGCACTATAGTGGTCCTTTAAGGGACAACTGTCATCAAGTCTTCAGTTCTCATGCATTTAGTGAAAGAAAGTGTTTTTTTTTTTCATATATATTGACTTCTTTTAGAATAATTCACTATTATTTTTTATCTGGCCAAGCAGCCATGGTTTTTCAGAATCTGTCCAAATGCTGTTCAGTCTATCTTGCCTGCTGCTGCAGATTAAAACATATGAATCACATCATTGGCCTTTGTGTGAATTCATAGCAGTAGCAGTCATCATCTGTCATGAAGGGGTTAATAAAAATTATGAATTTTCTTTCCTTGTATATAGGTTAAAGCAAGAACTAGTTTGCAAAAGTAGGCTTTCTTTGGATTATGAGGGCTGGAAAACATGTTCTCCCATAAGCAGAAGACGTTATGCATGTAAACTGCTAAATTGATATAGAAAAATTCTATTCACGCATATCATTTCTACTCTGTGCTAACATTGAATACATTGGAGAGTTCTGCTTGATTATGGGATAGTTGGTGCTTGTCCAGGTTGGAATTATTCAGCATGCGTAGTTAGTGGGAGGTCTCATCTTCCCTCTGGTTTGCCTTTCTGGGAGATTCTAGCCACTCCGCTTGCTGAGTGAGTGTTTTTTTGCTTAGCTCTGATCCCTGACCCAATATATCAGCAAAACCATGCAGAGTTTGCATATTCATTCCTGTTCCAACCCCACCCAAGTGAACCCAGCTGATTGTTCTCAATTATAGCTAGAGCTATATAATCTCACAAGGGCTTCTCAGATTTATATAAAGCACAGTTGCCATCTACTGTCTATTGCAGGGAATATTAAAACATTTTAATGCATCTACTGGTTTACCATTGTTTTTCCTGGTAGCAATCTAAGGTCTTTGGTTAGAAGTACAGTTTATGTGACCAAATCTGTGCAGGCAATAAAGATTTAAATTCCAGGCATTTCATATTTGCACTCCAGGTCCATTTCACAAATTGTGCATGATGCGGATAATTGTGTTTCCAATCAGCGAAGGGCTAAAGATGGATGGCACTCTAAACCAGAATATTTGCTAAAAAATAGTTGTGTGTTCATACTACTAGATAATAGATAACATTGCTATATTATTTAATATTTTTGTCTGTAATAATAAAATATTATTTAAAGGAGCACTACAGGGCCAGGAACATGTATTCCTGACCCTATAGTGTTAAAACCACTATCTAGCCCCCTTGGCCTCCCTAAAGATAGTCAAATCTTACTTGTATTCAAGTCTGAAGCTCATGCCTCTGCCTGTTAACTTCCTCTGACATCATCAGAAGTGGTGGCCTGATCCAATCAGAATGCTTCCTCATAGGATTGGCTGAGACTGACAAAGAGGCAGATCAGGGGCAGTGCCAGTAGAATTCAAACATAGCCCTGGCCAATCAGCATCTCCTCATAGAGATGAATTGAATCAATGAATCTCTATGAGGAAAGTTCAGTGTCTGCATGCAGAGGGAGGAGATACTGAATGTTTGGATGCATTTTAGGCAGCCATGACCCAGGAAGGATCTCTAGCAGCCATCTGAGGAGTGGCCAGTGAAGTTATCACTAGGCTGTAATGTAAACACTGCTTTTTCTCTGAAAAGACAGGGTTTACAGCAAAAAGCCTGAAGGTAATGATTCTACTCACCAGAACAAATTCAATAAGCTGTAGTTGTTTTGTTGACTATAGTGTCCCTTTAACATGTATAGCTTGGAGGAAAGATGAGACAGGGGGGATATGATAGAAACATTTTAAATATATAGGAGAAACAACACAGTAAATGAGGAGACTATATTTAAAAGAAGAAAAACTAACACTACAAGATGACATGGTCTTAAATTAGAGGGGCAAAGGGTTAAAAATATCAGGATGTTTTACTGAGAGGGTAGTGGAAGCATGAAATAGTATTACAGCTGAAGTGGTAGAGGTTAACACAGTGAAGGCTTTTAAGCATGTGTGGGGTAGACATAAGGTTATCCTAGATATAAGGTAAAGCCAGGGACTAATGAAAGGTTTTAGAAAATTAGGCAGACTAGATGTGACAAATGGTTCTTATCTGCCGTCATAGTCTGTTTCTTTGTTTCTAAGAGTTTGGTTAAACATATCTGACTTGTTTCTTCTCCACCATTGTTAATCTTGTACAAACCTCATTGCAGGAGTAGATCCATCCTTGCAAACGGAAAGCAAGCTTGCAGGATCCTCACAAATTACTTTAACCACAAACAAGCAACAAAGGTCCCGTTCCACCAGCTCACGGGATGAGCGCTTTCGATCGGGTAAGTGCACTCCATAAAGTAAGTGCATTTTTCCATAAAGTATATTTTTCCATAAAGTAAGAACATGTAATTGCATCGTTTTTAGAGCATTGCACCTTTGTGATGTGGTGGTGTACAAATTAAGTGTTCATATTTTCCACAGGTCTTCAGTTCTTACTATTTATTGAATTGCCATTTTTATTTTGTTCTTGTTTTTATGCACATTGTGAGTTCTGACTTGTCTCAGACTTCTTATCAGGCCAACAATATTCCCCTAAAAATATGATGAAATTCTCTTTCAAAGGGGCACTCCAGGCACACACACATACTAGTTTTGTTTTCTGCTTTTTTTTCATTCTTAAGGTGTTTTTAAAAAGTTAACTAACCAGTATTCCTTTTTAAGCACACATTTGTTTGCCCATTTCTCCCAACCTGTACTTCAACAGGGAAGCCTAGACAGAACCAGGAGAAACCAGCAAGACAAAAATCACATAGGGCAAAGGAAAAAAACCTTACAAAAAGACACTCCAACCTGGAGTGTCCCTTTATCCCTTAAGGACTGGGTTATGTTCTGGTACTGGGCATTTTAGGTGGGATTTTTGGGGGTTTGCTTTTTACCTTCAAACTATTTTTTCTAATTTTGTCCTTGTGCATTTTTTATGTAGATGTTCACACAGAAGCCGTACAAGCAGCTTTGGCCAAATACAAGGAAAGGAAAATGCCAATGCCTTCCAAAAGACGTTCTGCCGTTCAGTCCTCTGTAGAGACTTACACTCCACCTGGTAACTAAACACTTTCACCTGTCCCAAATATGCAGAATAAATAGTGCAAACCCCAATAATTGGCCACCATTTGAGTAATTCAATTCTTATTGAACGTTGTTCGCTTCCTTCCCAAGAAATGTTTTCTGCTCCCAACTTTCTTGATGATGTTTTTTTGTTTAAACTTTATCATTGCACAACTATCATGGTTATTTTGCTCACAGACACCTCGTCAGCCTCGGAGGATGAGGGCTCATTGCTCCGTCAGGGACGCATCACATCCACTCCGCTCCAGGGTCATTCTAACGTGGAGCCCTGGATTAGCAGGGTAACCCAGGGCTCCTCCACCTCATCATCAGCATCTTCCACCTCATCTCACCCAGGAGCCAAGCCTGATGCCTCCAAAAGCTGCTCTGTCACCGCAGCTGCCAACTTGCTAGCAGACCTCATGGCACATGCCCGGATAGGTCAGTATCAGGGCATGTGCTGCCAAAAGTTACAACATAAATTAAGAACTTTCCTACGGGCTGACATTTTGGTAGTTACAGGATACCTGTTGGTATGGTGCATGGAGACTGGCTAATCTTTATTTTCATTATATATTTTATTTCCAGAGCAATCTAAATTCTTGAGAGTCCAATGTAATCTTGGTGTTCATGATACTTTACACATTACTTGGAAATCTGCAGTGTAAATTTTGTTCGGAAGGGTAACTTATAGTCATGAGCCAATCTTGTCTCTTGTGTTTTGGGCATTTGTGGTGTACACAATGAAATTAGCGACTACTAACTTAAATTAAAATTGTTAATGTACTTATTCTTATTTTTTACGGACGGTTGAGCTAAGGAGGAAAAGTAGACATTTTAATGTTTTCTATAGTTTGCAAGTGAAATGGAAGCCCTAGCAATCATGGGCTGTTTAACACATGATCTTTAAACCATTTTTTGGTTTGTTTGCTAAACAGGAAAGTGACCAAGGATTGTAAACGAGTCAAATTAGAAAGGCTCTTGCACTATTCTAATTTTGCAGCAAACTGGTTGAGGCACATGACTACACTCAGTCTTCCTGATCACCCACAAATCTGCTCTGTCACACAGTGTTGGGAGGGCTGATGTAGAGTGTAGTGCGAGTGCATGTTTAACTGTACTCACACCATAGCTCCTATAAAATACAAGGCAGTTTATTAGTTACACAAACAATGAAGCAGTGCTTTGCATTTGGGCAGCCCCGACTGACTGCACAGCTAAGCAGTCTTTCACTGTGGTGCACTTACTTACAAAGATTGCATACACCCTTACAGACTGACATTATATGGGCTCAAAATTTCCACTTGCTCAAATTGATGTGTGAAAATTCAGCCATGACAAGTAGAAATTCACCCCTGGTGAGTGTGTCATTGTCCTTCCTGGCTAACTAGTAGCATCAAACTTTAATTTTTAAGTCTTGTTACAGGGACCTTTAACCACCCTTGTTGAAGTTGATATGGTGCCTGGAGACACTCTTACCTCAAGGGGTTAAACTATTCTTGAACAGTTTAACCCCAAAGTGGCCTCCAGCAGCAATGTCCCAAATCATTAAACTGGCTTGGAAAGAAATGTACCTTTGCCAAGCAAGTTTTGTGAATGGGGAGTTACTGATTGGCTGAGAGCATCAGCCGACCACTCTCAGCCAATTATAAGTGTCCCTGCCCAGCAGCACTTAGCGTTTCCTGAATCTGAACATTCAGAAGGCAGAGTAGGAGTGGAATTTTGAGATAAACTATTCAAGAACAGTTTACTCTTTTAGGCTAGGGGTGCCTCCAGGGACCTTCTGGCACCATAACAACTTAATTTAGATGAAGTTGTTTTGATGCCTGGAGTGTCCCTTTAAAGATGATGCTAAATGTTTCAAGGTCACACCCACCTTTTACTGTGCCCTTTGCTTTCTAGTTAAGATCTTCCAAACTGGGCAGGTGTGTTACAGCTTAGTAATTTCTTACAGTTTCTTGTTTATGGAATAAACCTCATATGAGTATTTGTAGGGCACCACACTTGGCATGTTTATTGCCCCCACTTATGATTATTACTTGTTTACCGTAACATGTCTGTGTACCAAGTGTAGGGACTAAAATGTCAGGAGTTGAAGAAGATGCAGCTTTCCTAGTCAGTTCTCATTCCAATGCACTATAAATGTATTTCCTTGTGTACACTTCTTATTGGGGAACCAATGCTTTATTGAGAAATGCTATTCGTATATTAGACTGTGGTACTTTGTATGTTACTGTGCAATATAATAAGTTTGTATTTGTGTTTCTCTAGTTGTGTGATGCACTCTTTCAAATATTTAACTAACCATGGAGAAATACTGACAAAGGATTTTTACGTTTTAAGCTTAAATAGCTAATTTAGAGGAAAAAAACTCCAACTTGCCCATTTTAGCCTTAAAAGTCCAGTTCCCTCAGTGCTTAACAATTGTAGTTTAGTAAAACAAAAACACATATGAAACCAGCATTTTATTAAAGAACAATATATATGTATTTGTATGTCTGCCCAAAGGGAGTTTTTATTTTCATTATCTGACTTATGTTTATTTTATTTTTTTTCCTCCTTCTTAATAACCAGAAAGTATTTCAGCACCACCGGATGTAACCACTGGGCTCATAGGACATCCACATCATGAGCGCCCACAGGTTGCCTCTGTGCGTGGTGTGCCGAGGGGATTCAATAGTAGCATCTTGGAAACCGCAAATGGTGTGTTAAGTATAAACCTTCCCTTTGTGTAGACATACTAGAATGCAATGTATGCTAGGTTTTGAAACTCTGCTCATTGTCCATCCAGGGGTGCCAGTGAACAGCAGAGTATCTTCCAAGATTCAACAACTCCTCAACACTCTAAAAAGGCCGAAGCGTCCACCTCTCAGAGAGTTCTTTGTGGATGATTTTGAGGAGCTTCTTGAAGGTATGTTCTAAACAGTATTTAGGTTCCATTGTGTTTATCTAGGATAAATTAAGCACTTTGTTCTTCTCACCTTACATTTTAAATGTCCTTATGTAGTCCAGCAGCCTGATCCCAACCAGCCAAAAGTAGAGGGCACGGAGATGGCTCTGCTCAAAGGAGAACCCATCGGAGTTGTATCTAACTGGCCTCCTTCATTGCTTACTGCTCTCCAACGCTGGGGTACTACACAGCCAAAAGCTCCGTGTCTGACATCTCTAGATACTACCGGAAAAGCCGTGTACACACTCACCTATGGTAAATCCTACATGTTTTACAATATCTGCCCTAAACCATTTACCATAAAAGGTCCATGAGGACAAGATTGAGAACCACAGCCCAATACTTCCTCTGGAAGAACTGCTAATGTAATTTTTGTTTTCTCCACTCAGGCAAGTTATGGAGTCGGAGTGTTAAACTTGCATACACTCTCCTAAACAAGATGACCAATAAAAGTGAGCCAATGCTCAAACCAGGAGACCGGGTATGTAATGCTGTGCATGTGCAAGGAATACTGAGGCTTGACATTAGGGTACCCGCCCAGAGAAAATTACCTTGTAAGAGTTACAAAAATGTGATATATAAAATGTGGTTTGGTTTTTTTTAGTTTTTTTTTTTTTTAGTGAAATCTGGCTGTATTCAGAGATTGTCATGATGTTTTCTTCTAATATAGAACAAGCTAACAAAAACACAGACAAATGTACAGTGAGGGAAAAAAGTATTTGATCCAGTGGTGATTTTGAACATTTGCCCACTGACAAAAAAATGATTAGTCTATAATTTTAATGGTAGGTGTATTTTAACAGTGAGAGACAGAATAACAAAAAAAATCCAGAAAAAACGCATGTCAATGAGTGAAATAAGTATTTGACCCCTTTGACTTAGTACTTGGTGGCAAAACCCTTGTTGGCAATCACAGAGGTCACATGTTTCTTGTAGTTGGCCACCAGTTTGGCACACATCTCAGGAGGGATTTTGTCACACTCCTCTTTGCAGATCCTTTCTAAGTCATTAAGGTTTCGATGCTGACGTTTTGGCAACTCAAACCTTCAGCTCCCTCCACAGATTTTCTATAGGATTGAGGTCTGGAGACTGGCAAGGCAACTCCAGGACCTTGAGGTGTTTCTTCTTGAGCCACTCCTTTGTTGCCTTGGCTGTGTGTTTTGGTTCATTGTCATGCTGGAATACTCATCCACGACCCATTTTCAATGCCCTGGCTGAGGGAAGGAGGTTCTCACCCAAGATTTTACAGTACATGGCCCGTCCATCATCCCGTTGATGCGGTGCAGTTGTCCTGTCCCCTTTGCAGAAAAACACCACCAAAACATAATGTTTCCTCCTCCATGTTTGAGGGTGGTTATGTTCTTGGGGTCATAGGCAGCATTCCTCCTCCTCCTCCTCCTCCAAACTTGTTGAGTTGATGCCAAAGAACTCGATTTTAGTCTCATGTGACCACAACACTTTCACCCAGTTCTCCTCTGAATCATTCAGATGTTCATTGACAAACTTCAGACGGCCTGTACATGTGCAGGGGGACATTGCGGGCACTGCAGGATTCCAGTCCTTCACGGCATAGTGTTACCAATTTTTTTTTCTTGGTGACTATGGTCCCAACTGCCTTGAGATCTTTAACAAGATCCTCCTGTGTAGTTCTGGGCTTTTTCCTCACCGTTCTCATGATCCTTGAAGCTCCACGAGGTGAGATCTTGCATGGAGCACCAGACCAAGGGAGACTGACAGTTATTTTAGGTTTCTTCCATTTGTGAATAATTGCACCAACTGTTGTCACCTTCTCCCCCAAGCTGCTTGGCGATGGTCTTGTAGCCCATTCCAGCCTTTTGTAGGTCTACAATCTTGTCCCTGACATCCTTGGACAGCTCTCTGGTATTGGCTATGATGGAGAGTTTGAAATCTGATTGATGATTGCTTCTGTGGACAGGTGTCTTTTATACAGGTAACGCGCTGAGATTAGGAGCACTCCCTTTAAGAAAGTGCTCCTAATCTCAGTTCGTTACTGGGAGCCAGTAATCTTGCTGATTGATAGGGGATCAAATACTTATGTCACTCATTGACATGCAAATCAATTTGTAACTTTTTTGACATCCGGTTTTCTGGATTTTTTGTTGTTGTTGTTATTCTGTCTCTCACTGTTAAAATACATCTACCATTAAAATTGTACACTGATCATTTCTTTGTCATTGGACAAACATTCAAAATCAGCAGGGGATCAAACACTTATTTTTCCTCAATGTACTTATAGAGACTTAAACAGGAGACAGGCAAGACAATTTGTCCTTGGTTTAGTGTGTGCCTGGACTCACTCCACACACCCCTTGTGCTTGCCTATGATGCTTGATACAGTAATTACTTACACTTACATGGTTATTCAATAAAGTGAGAATTCAAAGTGAGTTTTAATTTAAAGTAAAAATAGCCAAACTGGAAAATTAGTCTGCTATGCTTCCAGTTCAACTACTATGACCTTAAATTTAAATCTCACTTTAGTGAATAACCCTTATAGAGTAGTCTATAAAATAGATGTGTGTGTTTGTACATTATGACTATTTATTGCTGTATTTTATTTTTTTGTGGTGTTTTGCTTCTGCTTCACGATATGACCGCCTTTTTATTTTCACTACTACCCTACTTTTTATGAATGTGCTGATATTAAGCTGAAATGTGTGCATTTTATTTCAATGTGTTTCTTTGTTGTTTAGAAAATAACCCCTATTTATGCTACACTGGGCAGTTCCTTGAACCAATAAACACTAAGGAATGATGTAGCAGTGGGACGTTTACCTCTGCTGCATATTCACTAGTGATATTTTTTAAAAATAAACAGCACAACCGCACAGCACAAATCTCACAACTTACAGTTCATTTTAATTCACAGCAACCATACATTGATTGATCTGCTGTAACTTGACTTGTCCTATTACTAAAATTAAAGATGTAACATTGTATTGCCTAATTTAAGTATTGTGTAATTTGTTTTCTTTTTCTTTTCTTTTCAGGTGGCTCTTGTGTTTCCTAACAGTGATCCTGTGATGTTTATGGTAGCATTTTATGGCTGCCTCCTTTCTGACTTTATTCCTGTACCCATAGAAGTGCCATTGACCAGAAAGGTAATGTCATGAACAATTTTTTTGGTCATATTCATTTGAAAATCTGCAGATCATCATTGAATTAAACTTTTCATGTTGTCCCATCCTATAGGATGCTGGAAGCCAGCAGATTGGTTTTCTTTTGGGAAGTTGTGGGGTGTCTCTGGCTCTTACAACAGATGCATGTCAGAAGGGACTTCCAAAATCTCAGACCGGTGACGTGGTGTCATTCAAAGGTGAGAACCAGCCCATGTGTCAGTCATATAGAAATAAAGTTAGCTTCTCTTGGAACGTTCAACTCTGCTGGTGGCATTAATCGCAAACGTCTTTAGTAGCTAGGAGAAATCGCCAAATTTATTGGGCTTTGCGGAAGTAGATGTATTCTGCCAGTATTAAAGGAAAAAATCTGGGTGGCGTGTGTGTCTGTATTCTGAATCCTTTTTCTGTTTGCAGGATGGCCTCGCCTAAACTGGTTTGTTATTGATGGAAAACACTTAATGAAGCCTCCCAAGGATTGGGCACCCCACATCAGAGATGCCAGCAGTGATGCAGCTTATATAGAGGTGAGCTGTGTGGAGACTTGTAACAAATCCTGCTAAAATAAATCTCTTTAACCCCTTCCCGAACATATATACGAAATAAAAACGTGTGTGTATGTATGTGTGTGTGTGTGTGTGTGTGTGTGTGTATATGTATATATATATATATATATATATATATATACACACATACTGTAGTTAAAATATATATACACACACAAATATATTAAATTAAATAAAATGCTTTTATTTATTTATATTTTATATAGATTACTTGCGCGTGTGTGTGTGTGTATATATATATATATATATTTATGTCCCATTGTACAGCACGACGGAATTTGATGGCACTATATAAATAATAAAATTCTATATACATACATACATACACACACACACGTATATATATGTGTTATATACACACGTAATATGTGTGTGTTTGTATATATGTGTGTGTGTGTGTGTGTGTATATATATATGTATAAAAAAATATATAATATAATATAATATAATATAATATATATATATATATATATATATATATATATATATATATAAAAATAACAAAATAGTTCCTGCACTCAAGCTAACACATCCTTACGTGACCGGGTGCCAGCTCTATATAGCTAGTGTATCCAAGAAAAACCAAGTAGATGGCTGCACTCACGGTTCTGTATAAAAGTCCAAAATTTATTGAAGATACATATAAAACTTCTAAGAGGACTTTCTTCAGGATCATAAAAGCAAGAATCAAACATGCAGCGTTTTTATATAAGACATAATTAGTAAAAAATTAAGTGAATAAGCTTACCCCAGGTAAACATTGCCGTCTGACTGGCGTCCCTGTGTCTCCAGTGCGCATGTGCAAGTATGTTCCGCCCAACTTAGTGACGTCATAATGCGCCGACGTGACCGTCCGTTACCATAGCGACGCAAGCGTGCAAAACGTCGCTATGGAAATAAAGTAAAACGGACATATGGAACATGTGTGTATGTAAAGGCACCGTGATTAAAATAATCAGTATGGCTGATAACTATTATATCAAGTGTATTCAATTAAGTGAAAGAGCAAAATACTGGTATTACTGTAGGGAATAATTAATGATTATCCTACATTGTAATATTATAGCTAAGTGTCATTAAATCGATTAATAAAACCTGAATTAATATAAAGTGCAATGTAAAAGTGAAGTGTTGAAGAAAACTTCCGTTATAACACCAAATGAGAATAGTGAAGAAGTACTTATAAAGCATATGAATGCTGTGTTTAAAGTGACAACTGTGCTGTAAAAGTGCTAAATAGTGCTTTAAAAGTGACAAAGTGATGAAAATGCTAAATATATACTACAAATATATTGTGAGCAATGCATAATCTTTAAATATTAATGAAAGACTAACTATATACGAATTCTACAAAAAAGCCACACTTATTGATATACACATTAAAAATAAATCTGAGGTATACATGTTATAGATTTAAACAAAGTTGAAAATTTACAAAATAGTATATATAAAGTTGAACACTACACTGTTAACTAATGTAATTACACTAATTGTATAGTGCGTTGAATCACTACTCACGATATCTCAGACTATATCATTAAAACCATAAATTAAAATTATATGACAAGCTGAAGCACTATTTTAGTTAGACTACTAAATTGATAAATATTCACTGAGCCAATTTCCTCAAATACATAGAAGCAAAAAAATAGAAGCAAAAAAATTGCAAGAAATGCCTGCAAAAAACATTGTATACTAATTATAGAAAAACAATTTTTTCTTAAAAATTTTTTTTTAAAACAGACATACATCCTGAATAAAGATTGTGCCCGTTTCTTTCAGAAGACATTTAGTGGGCTGTTAGGAAAACTATTTTTACTACATCTCAACAGTAGAGGATGAAAAGTCCTGCCAAAAAGAGTACTATAAAAAAGAATGGAACGAAATATGTTATTTTAACATTAACATTTAACATTAAATGAACATATTTCTTTCCATTCTTTTTTATAGTACTCTTTTTGGCAGGACTTTTCATCGTCTACTGTTGAGATGTAGTAAAAATAGCACTATTTAGCACTTTTACAGCACAGTTGTCACTTTAAACACAGCATTAATATGCTATATAAGTACTTCTTCACTATTCTCATTTGGTGTTATAACGGAAGTTTTCTTCAACACTTCACTTTTACATTGCACTTTATATTAATTCAGGTTTTATTAATCGATTTAATGACACTTAGCTATAATATTACAATGTAGGATAATCATTAATTATTCCCTACAGTAATACCAGTATTTTGCTCTTTCACTTAATTGAATACACTTGATATAATAGTTATCAGCCATACTGATTATTTTAATCACGGTGCCTTTACATACACTCATGTTCCATATGTCCGTTTTACTTTATTTCCATAGCGACGTTTTGCACGCTTGCGTCGCTATGGTAACGGACGGTTACGTCGGCGCATTATGACGTCACTAAGTTGGGCGGAACATACTTGCACATGCGCAATGGAGACACAGGGACGCCAGTCAGGCGGCAATGTTCACCTGGGGTAAGCTTGTTCACTTAATTTTTTACTAATTATGTCTTATATAAAAACGCTGCATGTTTGATTCTTGCTTTTATGATCCTGAAGAAAGTCCTCTTAGAAGGACTGAAACGTTGATCGCAAGTTTTATATGTATCTTCAATAAATTTTGGACTTTTATACAGAACCGTGAGTGCAGCCATCTACTTGGTTTTTTATATATATATATATATATATATATATATATTTAATACAATGTTAAACAAAAATCTGCACACCAGTCAAGCCATAAGACTTGCTTTTCCCACAGAAATCACAAATCTGCAGTGATGTTACAACCGCAAAGGATTCAGGGTGGGCATATGCAAATTAGTTTAAAGGACCACTCTAGGCACCCAGACCACTTTAGCTTAATGAAGTGGTCTGGGTGCCAGGTCCAGCTAGGCTTAACCCATTCTTTTACAAACATAGCAGTTTCAGAGAAACTGCTATGTTTATGAATGGGTTAAGCCTTCCCCCATTCCCTCTAGCGGCTGTCTCATTGACAGCCGCTAGAGGCGCTTGCGTGATTCTCACTGTGAAAATCACAGTGAGAGCACGCAAGCGTCCATAGGAAAGCATTGATAATGCTTTCCTATGTGACCGGCTGAATGCGCGCACAGCCAGCCGCATGGGAGGAGAAGAGGAGGATCGGAGGAGGAGAGCTCCCCGCCCAGCGCTGGAAAAAGGTACGTTTTTACCCCTTTCCCCCTTCCAGAGCCGGGCGGAAGGGGGACCCTGAGGGTGGGGCCACCCTCAGGGCACTATAGTGCCAGGAAAACAAGTATGTTTTCCTGGCACTATAGTGGTCCTTTAACAAAGAATCACATTTTTTGCCTCATTCCATTTTAAACATGGATTCCTTTTAATCTGTGTTTGCTGTATACAACTGCTTGGAACACAATTTAGGAAAAAATGCAAAACCAGTGAACCACTCATGGACAGCTGTTTCGTTGTTAATGCAACTCATCAGCATGAGGTTGGTTACTGGTTTGCTTATTGAGGCTTGGTAGTGCTTGGGAAGCAAAATCCAAATCGGTTATGGTGGGGAAAAATTGTGATTGAAAACCCCTTCCACCTGAAGTCTGTGGATAGTTAATACAATGTTAAACAAAAATCTGCACACCAGTAATCTATATAAAATATAAATAAAAACTTGTGTGTGTGTGTGTGTATGTATATGTATGATACAGTATATATAACTAGTGATGTCCCGAACGGTTCGCCACAGACTCATCATTGAGCAAACTTTGACCCTGTACCTCACAGTCAGCAGACACATTCCAGCCAATCAGCAGCAGACCCTCCCTCCCAGACCCTCCCACCTCCTGGACAGCTCACTAAGAATGCAGCTTCACAATGAATGTAAAATGGATGCTGTCCAGGAGGTGGGAGGGTCTGGGAGGGAGGGTCTGCTGCTGATTGGCTGGAATGTGTCTGCTGACTGTGAGGTACAGGGTCAAAGTTTTCTCAATGATGAGTCCGTGGCGAACCGTTCGGGACATCACTAATATTAACTACAGTAATACCCCGGAATTCGCAGGGGATACATTCCAAGATCCCCTGCTAATTTTGGACGGACAATAATAATACTGTTCGGGGGAGAAAATAACTTTAATAGGGGGGGTGAAGTCTTTATCATGTAATCACCAGAAGGGAGTCCATGATAAAGATTTCATCCCCCTTCTTCATTCCATGCACTTACCTGGTTCTGGGAGCTCCTCTCTTTTTCCTCATGCGCAGCCATCTGCAAAGAGCGCTTGGAGGAAGCGACGTCGTCACACGTGACCTCACTTCCTCGAAGCGGTCACAAAAAAATCTACGGATTACATCTGCTGGACCAGAGGGAAAAAATACGCAAATCCGTGAAGCTGCAGATTTAGAATGCGAATTTTCGGGGTATTACTGTACATAATTATTAGATTTTTTTTTTTGAGGGATCTGCCTGACAACGCAAGCAGACAGTCCAGAGAATTTCATTGGCAAGCCCTATATTTAACCTTGTAACTTTCCAAAACACCATAAAACCTTTACATGGGGGGTATTGTTATACTCTGGAGACTTCGCTGAACACAAATATGAGCGTTTTAAAAAGTAAAACTTATCATGACGATGAAATCACCAGTAAAAGTTCAATTTTTGTTTTAAAAAATGCAAAAAAACAAATAAAAATGCTAACTTTGGACAGCGTTTGTAACTAGGTGGCTACTACAAAAGACTGGAAATACCCCATTTTGAATACCCTGGGTTGTCTACATTTGAAAATGATATGTCATGGTGGGGTTAATTTTCATTTCTGGACTGCCATACTGTTTTAAAGGCAAAAATAGCCAATCTGGCAAATTGCAATTTACAAAAACAGAAATTGACAAATCTTATGTTTGACCCTGTAACTTTCCAAATCACAAATAAAAACCTGTACTTGAGGGGTACTGTTGTACACGTGAGACATTACTCTACACAAATATGCGCATTTTAGAGCAGTAAAATATATTATACTGATATTGGTGAAATGGCAGTTTGTGTGAAAAATGCCCAAAAAACTAATATAAACGCAAATGTTGGCCTGGGCTTTTGACTAAGTGGATACTAAAAAAGACTGGCATACCCCATTTTGAATACCGTGGGTTGTCTACTTTTACAAATGGTATGCCATGATGATAATTTTCATTACTGGGATGCCATATGGCCTCAAAAGCAACATAGGCCCAGCAAACCAATCTGGCAAATTTCAATGTGCAACATGGAAAAGGGGAAAGTCCTACATTTGACCCCTGTAAGTTTGCAAAAACACATAAAACATTTGGGGTACTGTTGTACTCAGGAGATGTTGCTGAACACATATTGGGTGTTCTTTGTCAGTAGCACATAACAGGAACTGAGAATCCATGCCTAAAGTACAATGTGCAAGAAAAATAACACAAACAAATGTCCCAAATGGGACATGGGTGCATTATGACTAGCTGTGAAAATTCCAAGTTTGAAAACTGGATTGCACACTCTCCAAATAAGGTCTTCTAGCCCCCAGAGAACGCAACACACCTATACATGGGTGGTATCCCTGTACTCAGGAGATGTTGCTGAACACATATTGGGGTGTTCTTTGGCAGTAACCCTTAAAGTTCTCAGTAAATGTATTCTTAAATTGCTATGTGTGTCAAAAAAAATCACCAATTATTATTTATTTATTTTTTTATTATTTGGCATAGATTGGTGGTAAAATGGTTGCATGAATAGAGTCAAAATACCCCAAGTCTAATACCTTAGGTTGTCTTCTTTTAAAAAAATATATACATGTGAAGGGTTATTCAGGGATTCCTGACAGATATCAGTGTAACAATGTAACTTGTGTTAATTTTGAAAAAGAATGGTTTGGAAATAGCAAAGTGCTACTTGTACTTATTGCCCTATAACTTGCAACAAAAAAAAGCTAAGAACGTGTTAACATTGGGCATTTATAAACTCAGGACAAAATTTAGAATTTATTTAGCATGGGTGTTTTTTGACGGTTGTAGATGCATAACAGATTTTGGGGGTCAAAGTTAGAAAAAGTGTTTTTTTACATTTTTTTTACATCATATTTTATAAAATAAAATTTATAGTGAATTATATGATATGATGAAAACAATGGTATCTTTAGAAAGACCATTTAATGGCGAGAAAAACAGTATATAATATGTGTGGGTACAGTAAATGCGTAAGAGGAAAATTACAGTTAAAAGTAGGAAGATAAATGAATTGACCGGGACTCAAATGGAATTTTAAAATTTACGCCAAATTAGAAAAATTCTCCAGTTCAATTCTGTTTTCAGTTTGGCTGTTCAATTTGAAATTCACTTTGAATTCCTGCCAGGTCTCCATTAAGTGAATAACGCTGATAGTTTATCTGGAGACTTTTTTTCCAGTTTGTTTATTGTGGACTAAAACATGGAATTAATGTTGAATTCACTTTAAACATGTGCCATTTTACTGCTTAACGATAGCCCTGACCGCAAACATGTTTTTTGCAGAATCACAATCACTTAAACCATATCTTAGTGTTCTCTTACAGCTGCCTAATTGTAACCCTTCATTTTGATATCGATTCTCTTTTGCACAAATAGAAAGAGCATTGTTCCCTTTTAATCTTATGCCTGCTCTTGTACTGTACTCCTCTCTCTACAGTATAAAACCAGCAAGGAGGGCAGCACCATGGGAGTCACCGTGTCTCAGGCTGCCATGCTGGCACATTGCCATGCACTGACACAGGCATGTGGCTATTCTGAAGGTATGAGTGAGTGGACAATGGTTTCGGTTCTGTATGCATGTGTTAGAGTTGTCAACTTTACAATGCTTTCTGTTCCTGCAAATCATATATTCTTGCTCCACGGTTACTCTGTGTAGCATAACATGAAGGAATGTTTTGGGCTTTTGTTACATCATTTATTATGGTGGCACTCACTCATATATTTTAGTGTATCTTGCATGTTATGTTATATGTTGCCTGATCATATAATGTATTATAAAGCACAAGAAAAGAAAGTTGGAGAATGAGATTTATCGTGTGTGGGTTTTTTTGTTTGTTTTTTTTCTTCAGCGGAAACCTTAACTAATGTTCTAGACTTCAAGAGGGATGCTGGTCTGTGGCATGGAGTGCTGACGGTGAGTTGTTGTCTTTTGATGACAACATCTAGACGATAATTAAATAGGTTGAGATCATAATTGTTATGTGATTGTTTTCTGGACAACTGATTATTCAGTATCAACGCATTGTTAATTTGAGTCTTTTTAATTGTATTCTTCACGTTCGGTTTGTAAAAAACTGACTATCCTCAGAAGTGTTTACATTATAATAGATCACTTAGAACATGTCTTTATCTTCTGTTGATAATGGGTAAAGATTTATATAGTTATATATAAATATATGGTTGGCTGAATTGTGATTGCAAACCATTCTCACTGCTTCTCTTATTTTGAAAGTAGCAATTTATTGGCTAGGTTCTATTACAAATGCTAAATTTAACTCTGGTAACTGAATAACTGTTCTTCCACTTACATCTCTGGGGAAATGGGTAGTTACTCAACAGAGATACACTTATCACTTACAATAGACTAAAGCTCTATATATGATTTTCTCTTTATATTTTGTAGTTACATTTGACCTAAGTATATTTGTGTATACCTAGTTACACTTATCATTATTTTTATTCACTGTTTAACTGGATCTTTAATTTAACAAGTACATCCAATTAAGTAATGTATTGTTGATATTTGATACATTTCTGTGTATAAAAATTTTATATTATTCTGATTTTCTGTGGAGAGACCAGATAAATTGCATTAAGACTATTCAGACATTGTATTTTATCTTTCTTGTCCAGTAGGATGCTTGGAGCATATCCGCTCAGCCATAGAAATGATCATATTCTGACTTATGCTGTCATTTCATATTCTCAGCACCAAAAAACACTGTCTGACAAATTGTCGCGTTATTCTACAATGATCTTCATATCATTACTGCTGGGTTATAGCTAGGTTAGGTGAAAATAATTTGTTTGAGATATATATGAATAACTTGCCTAAAGCACCATGGCCACCTTGATTTGAAGTTGTCATGGTGCCTGCAGTCTGTGAGTGCAGCGTTTTGCTGTTAAATGCTGCGTATGCCTAGTTTAATTCCTGTGCTGCTGTAGGTCAAAATCCTATAATAAATGTTCCAGGCTGGCTAACTTCAATTCTGTGCATATTCTTATTCATATATATGCATTCATAGGCAGAGAGCGTTGAGCTGATACTCTCAGCCAATGAAAGGCTGGCAGGATCGACTTTTGCCCTCTGCAGGTCGTCAGAAACCAGATGTTACTGACTAGAGAGGAGACCAGGAGTCCAGCATTGACCCAAATAAGAGGGCAAGTAATTTGTAAAATAGCTTGCCCCATTACTTGGAAACATGACCAGGGAACAACTGGCATCATAACCATTACAACAGGCTGTAGTGGTCATGATGTTTGCAGTACCCCTTGACCGTCAAGGGTAAAATTAAAATTAGTAGCAGGCTGGGGCTTGTTGTTTTTTAATTCCCTTTTAATAAAACCAATGAGATATCATGTGACAGCAGATTAGTATACTTTATATGTTGTATTTTAGCTTTTCTAACATGGTTTTTCTAATACAGAGCGTGATGAACAGAATGCATGTGGTCAGCATCCCATATGCCCTAATGAAAGTGAATCCTCTCTCCTGGATACAGAAAGTCAGCACTTACAAAGGTAAGTTACCCAGGTTTCAGAGGCCAACAGACGGGTAAAAAAGATTTTATCTGTTCAAGTTGGTTGTGTATGTTGTGCACAATTGTGTGTGTGTGTATAATTATATAAATAATTTATACTGCTGTTCTCTTGTCCTACGACTTTAATTTGGGGTCTTTGTGAAGCTCGTGTGGCTCTGGTGAAATCTCGGGACATGCATTGGTCCCTCCTGGCGCAGAGAGACCAACGGGATGTGAGTCTTAATTCTCTGCGGATGCTGATCGTGGCAGATGGAGCAAATCCATGTAAGCAAGCATAACATCCATAACTTCTGTCCATAAAAGCCTTTTAAAAGAATATACAGCTGCTATTCATGTGTGTTTTAGTCTTTAGGATGCCTGAGAGTCTGTTTTTGGTTACAGGGTCCATATCTTCCTGCGATGCCTTTCTCAATGTCTTCCAGTGTCGAGGTCTAAGGCCTGAAGTAATCTCTCCTTGTGCCAGCTCATCTGAGGCACTCACTGTTTCTATGCGCAGGTGATTTCCTTTTTTTTTCTTCTTTCCCTCCTGGCATATCTGCAAAACCTGTTTATACTGGTATTGTTCAACTTATTTACATTTTTACTTCTTCCCCCCCTCCCCCTTTCTCCTATACTACTACCAATCTATTTATATTTTTCCATGTCTTTCCTAGTCACCTAATATTTACTCTATTTTGCTTCCTTTTTTATTATTCCCCACTTCCAATATTTACTTTTCTGGATTTTCAGACCTCCAGATATGGGAGGTGTGCCCCCTGGAAAAGCAGTCCTGTCCATGAATAGCCTGAGCTATGGCGTCATCCGAGCAGACACTGAAGAGAAGCTCTCTGTACTGACTGTTCAGGATGTAGGACAGGTTCTCCCTGGAGGTAGACAAGTTTTGCTATTTGATGGTTTGTTTGTGTTTTTGCTTTGTTTTTTTTTTGTCTCCATGCAGCTATAACAACATTTTACATGTTGACATTCTAAATGTATCATGTCATCCCATGTTATTCTAATTATTATATGCGTGTGCCTTACAGCTAGCATCTGTGTAGTGAAGGCGGAAGGAGCACCACACTTGTGCAAAACAGATGAGGTCGGAGAGCTGTGCGTTTCATCCCATTCTACAGGGACTGCATACTATGGTCTTCAAGGCATTACAAAGAATGTGTTTGAGGTATAGTGGGAGAGGCATTTACTAGGAACTCTGTTGAGTATTGGTAGGCGAGTCATGTTTTGTACAAATTAATGTAGTTTCACTGTATATGTGACTGAATAATGGAAGATGATATGAACTTGAGGGAAGTGACTGCTTTCTTAATTTCTGTTATAGACGATTCCACTTACTGCCAATGGAGATCCTGTGTCTAACCAGCATTTCACAAGAACTGGGTTACTCGGATTTGTTGGACCAGTGAGTATATTTTAAGCTTTGATTTATCATGTGTTTTACAACCATTACCTGGCCAGTGATGCCATGTGCGATTTTCCAACTGGCAACTGCTGACTATATTTTATTAAGGGTATATTATGATATACCATAACTATTGCTTTTTGCAGGAGCGATTGGTGTTCGTTGTTGGGAAAGTAGATGGACAAATGTGTGTCAGTGGACGCAGACACAGTTGCGATGATGTGGTAGCAACTGCCTTAGCAGTGGAACCAATGAAATTTGTTTACAGAGGCAGGTAAGAAATATTTCTAACCAAAGAGTCCCAGATGTTTAGCATTATCATTGTGTGGACCTAAAGATGCCTTTTGAATTGTCATATTAGGCATTGAGTTGGACCAGCTAGTCCTTGGCAGTCCGATGTGTCTAGAACTGTCAGTTTGTAACAATGAAATTTACTGTATGATAGAGAGAAGGAGAGGGTAACTAGAGGCCACTCACTTTTTCCATTTTAATTGATATGCTATTAATTAATAATTGTGCAATTAGAAAATGCATCCTGAAGAGGGAGAGGTGTTAATATTTTACGAATGCCCTACTCTTCTTGGCAGGATAGCCGTATTTTCGGTTAATGTTCTACATGATGAGAGGATCGTCCTGGTGGCAGAGCAACGCCCAGACTCCTCTGAAGAAGACAGTTTCCAGTGGATGAGCAGAGTTCTGCAGGTAATCTGTCATAACTTTGTCATGTTGTTGTGAACATCAAGGGCTCTAATGAACTAAAAGCAGATTTTCCACTTATTTATTCTAGTATGTGTCAATTCCAATAACTCATTCCCTTCGTACATGCATAACTCTTTCCCCTAAATGTGGTTGGTAATACAGCAGTGATCCTAACCTAAAATATCACTAATTTCTACATTTTGCATTTCCTTAGGCTATAGACAGCATTCATCAGGTAGGAGTTTACTGCCTGGCACTGGTACCTGCAAACACTCTTCCCAAGGCACCTCTGGGAGGCATCCATATCTCTGAAACTAAGCAGCACTTTTTGGAAGGCTCCCTCCATCCTTGCAATGTTTTAATGTGTCCACACACATGCGTCACCAATCTGCCCAAACCACGCCAGAAACAGCCAGGTAAATGAAAAGGGGAGGCACACACGTCCACTTTTCTCAAGATTTGTGAAATATAATCTTCATGCTATGATAAAACACTAGTTTCTTTTAGTGGTCAGAAGCAATAGTCAGTCTTCGTAGCATCTCTCCTCTCCACGTGTTAGCAGTATGTTTATCACTGTGATACATTTTACTTTATATCGTTATTTTTATTGAGTGTTTGTTGCAGACAAATGATGTGTCCATACCTAACAGTCAGACAAATAAGGAATGTCAAGACAACAGTAAATTTTCACATAACTCTGAAGGAGATCAATTTGAAAAGCCCACATTATTGGCCTATTGTGTAATGTCAGCAGGAACTTACATCTGAATGTAACCTATGATAGTAGTAATACAATTCTGTAAAGAAGCACATATTAGTAGGTAACCATATATTATAAATAGTATCAGACAATACAACTAAAAGTAATCTAGAGCAAGTAGCAAAAAGCAAAAGAAAAGCCCATATAAAACCTTTTAGTGTTTGAAATATTTGTATGTAATTGGTATCTAATGATCGGTAACCTGAATCAAAGGCTCTCAGACAAGCAAATACTGTAGGTACACGCCACGTAATACTTGAAAATGAAAGGAAAAGGTTATCACTGAACCACGTTTGTGACTGAAAACAAGGGTGTACCTTTGTTTGATAAATGGGGTTAAATCCACTGATGGTTTAGGACCTAATTACATAAAAAGCTTAGGAATGTGCTTAATTTATCTATCCTTAATCTTACATCATTTTGGCACTATTAAATGAAGGGCATACCTTCAAAAGGATTTATTTTTATTTTATTTTTTTATTTTTTTAAGAACCTTATTATCAAGATTCATTCATTTTCAAGTGCTGCTGCTGTCTTGGTTTAATTTTTCCCATGTTTCCTCACAAGTGGCATTTTCCCATGTTTTTCAAAGATGTTGGCCCAGCCTCTATGATTGTTGGTAATCTGGTAGCAGGAAAAAGGATTGCACAGGCTTGTGGGAGAGACGTGTCTCAACTCGAGGACAATGACCAGGCACGAAAGGTAAAAGACAATTTTGTAAGCCATTTGAGTAGTTTATCCACAAAAAATGTTTTTATAACTTTGTTTCTTTGATCTTCCCAGTTCCTGTATTTAGCAGATGTTTTACAGTGGAGAGCACAAACCACTCCCGAACATCAACTTTTCTTGCTGTTGAATTCTAAGGTAACTGCTAAAGCTAAGTACACTACAGTGTTTCACCCTGTTGATAAGTGCTGGAACATAAAAATGAGGAAGGAATGCAGCCTACTAAAATAAACGAATGGATCGATAGGAGAAGAGGCATGGAGAGTGGTGTACTGGGGAGGGAAAAGTAGATTTTATACACAACCCTGCATTGACACACAAACACACCCCTTTATTCACACACCAATACTCTTGGGGCAGATATTACCTCTGTGAAGACTGTTTGTTTCACATTGCTGTTAAGCATTTCTTGTTTGTTTTCTATAATACATTGTGCTGTTGTCTACATCTCCCTTATGTGCAGGGAACGGTGTGCAGTTCTGCATCATGTTTACAACTACATAAGAAAGCAGAACGTGTAGCTGCTGGTTTGATGGAGAAAGCTCGTCTAAATGTTGGGGATCATGTTGCTTTGGTATACCCTCCAGGTTGGTATTATGAAAGTAACTGTGTTTTGCAATACTTGAGGTTTCTCAGTTTCTGAGTGCGGATTTCTATTGGTCCTGGAGCTTTGCACTGCCCTTTTAATATGGGAGTGTGTTCCCAAACTGTTTAGGTAAGGAGGTTGCCCGTTTTATTCTAAGCATATGTTTTTATTTTTTCTTCTAGGTATTGACTTGATTGCTACATTTTTTGGCTGCCTTTATGCTGGTTGTATACCCATAACAGTTCGACCGCCTCATCCACAAAACCTTACAACCACCCTGCCCACAGTAAAAATGATTGTTGAAGTAAGTGCTTTGTGAGCCCTGTTCATACACATTCTGTTTCTCACCAGGTATACTTGTTTTGTATGTAATGTATGCTGGTCTCCTTGTGCACCACTGTCCCTACATTTACTTGTTAAGCTGCCTTATGTCATCTTGTGCTGAGTCCATGATGTCTGTTGTTTCCATGTGCAGGTCAGTAAGTCATCTTGTATCCTTACCACACAAGCAATAATGCGTCTGCTCAAGTCCAAGGAAGCTGCTGCAGCTGTAGACATCAAAACATGGCCACCTATTCTGGACACTGGTGAGAAGTATAGGCTAGACCTGTATTGGGTGGATTAAGGCCACTTAATTATCCTAAGTGAGGCTATTGAGTGCTTGTACCAGAGTCTACGCCTGAATGCAGTGTTGGCCAAATTATACAGAAAGAGTTAGAAGATACCGGTATTTGGAAGTAGAAAGTGATATATAGACCATAGCCAGGATTTTTTAGAGAGTTATATATAAATCACAGAATCATTCAGATGGCAAAACACAGTATTGTAAGACTCTAGTATGTGTTGAACACAGGGCTTAAAATATGAAATACTATTCTACAAGCCATACCTTAAGTTACTCACCACTGTAAGCCATAGCATGCTCATCAGAGGTGAAGTTTTACTCGCCAGGACTAGATTTTTATTTGCCAGTGGCTAGTGGTCATTGGGAAATTTTGAACAATGGCTAAACAGTTTGTTACTGGATCTATGTGCTTAATGTGTCACCGTATCAGTCGGCGCGTGAAACAGTCTTCCAGAAAACCATTTTGTAGTCTTGTTACTTTCAGTTAACTGGGGCTTGAAACAAAATGTGTTTGTGCAGTTAGGAATATTTGTAAAATAACTGTGTGTGTACATCCCTGCAGAGGACATGCCCAAAAAGAAGATCTCACATGTGTTCAGGCCGCCCTCACCAGAGACCCTCGCTTACTTGGATTTCAGTGTATCTACCACTGGGATACTAGCTGGAGTAAAGGTATGATATCGAAAAAGCAACATCAGTTTATTTTACCAGTTTTCCCATTATAATTGCCCCATTAGCAAAATACTATTTGATAGGTATAAAGTAGTGAAACAATAATGCAAAAAGTATGAACTGGCGCTTCCAAAATATAGAATTAAAAAAAACAATCTTCAACACTTGTGGACACTTTCCCAATATTCCACAAAGTAAATACAAAAACACAATCTGAATATTAGGAAATAGGTCTTTGAGTGAAGCACTTACTAACAAAATACACTCACCACTGTTTGAGCTTAGGGTTCCACCTTAACCATGCAAAAAACAAAGATATACAAAATCGTGTCGTACTGTAAACAATATGGAAAGCACTTAAAGGAACACTGTTGGCACTAGAACAATTTCATCTTATTGAAGTGGTTATAGTGCCTTCTGTCCTATCCCCCCGCCCTTAAACCCTTTATTTTACTAAATGGAAGCTTCAAGCCACGCCTCTGCGCCCTTTGCGTAGGAGAGCCAGGAATTTAACTTCCTGACTCGTATACCATAACATTCTGTGACAGTGCATGTATTCCTAACGCTACAGTGTTGCTTTAAGTTAGCTATACAGCTCACATTTGGTGGAGCACCAAATGATAGGCTCTGATTGTATTGATTCCTGTGGGTTTTAAGGCGGCGTGGCACCTCTGTAGGCGATAAGCCTGATGTCTTCCTTTGAAAGAACAGAAGAGTGTTTTGCGTTGTTTTGTATTTAATAGAAATTGCCACATATGCATAATCTCCCTTTCGTGGATATCTCACAGAGCCAACATTAAGACTCAAAACAACCTTCACCTAGTTTTTCAGATAATTACACTATACCTATATAATTAATTTTGCTTTCCTTTGTAGATGTCTCATTCAGCCTGCAGTGCCTTATGTCGTTCCATTAAGCTGCAGTGTGAGCTATATCCCTCTCGTCAGATTGCCATATGCCTGGATCCATATTGTGGCTTGGGGTTTGCACTTTGGTGCCTCTGCAGGTAATCTGTTCTATTCCTTAGGCCTTCGTAATGATCCAATCACAAGATACCAATGTACCATTCTTTCCACAGTGTGTACTCTGGGCACCAGTCCATTCTAGTTCCACCCCTAGAGTTGGAGACAAATGCATCTCTCTGGTTGAGCGCTGTTAGTCAGTACAAAGTGCGTGTCACTTTCTGCTCTTATTCAGTGATGGAAATGTGCACCCGAGGCCTAGGCACACAAACAGGCACTTTGCGGGTAAGGAACATTCTCTGTTTTTTTTTTTTGTTTGTTTTTTTGTTTCCTTATTTCCTCTGTTCCTATGTTGGTTTTTTTTCACTTCCCTTTTTGATTCACGTTTATCTCACAATGCACCATTGTTGCACTTCCTTTAACTATTTCCATCCTGATTTTTTTTTCCTCACTGCTTATCAGTTTTATAAACTGTCCAGCTATTGATCATGTTTATTACCTTTTCCTACTTCTTTACCTCACCCATTGATTCTGATTCCAGTCACGAGGTGTAAATTTGTCCTGTGTACGCACGTGCATGGTGGTAGCAGAGGAGCGGCCTCGAATCTCGCTCTCTCAGTCCTTCTCAAAGTTGTTCAAGGATCTCGGACTATCCACAAGAGCTGTGAGCACCACGTTTGGCTGCCGTGTCAATGTGGCAATCTGTTTACAGGTGAGTATGTAAACTAGCTTTTGCTTGATTTCCCTTTCCCTCAGACCTGTATGGAGATAGTCATGTGAGTACTGTACGGAAATTGTCATTTTTTTTCCCTTGCATATTCATATCCATTTCTTTCTCTACTTCTGTTTTCTTCCCGCTCTTGCTTTCATCCTGTTTAGTCTCTCACTTCTTTTTGTGGTTCCTCTTTCAGCCCAACAGACTGGGCAAGCTTGCTGATCAGGTATGGTGCCTGCATGTGTGTGCGCTGACATGCTAACCGAAGCGTGCTTTGCTCTAAATACAGCTGGGCAGTGCAGCAGAGGTGTATGTCAGTGCAAGATTGAGAGAATTGGGCTGGTTGTATGGCAGGATTGCAAGTTGGGACTGGGTGTAGTGCAGAGTCAGAAATAAGCTAGCTGTTGTGTACATTTTGTAGGCCAGGAAATGTGAAAGGTAGGAGAATGCTGGGCAGAGGAGGGCGGCTTGTAGTGCAGGTCCCCCCCACACTTGTGCTTGTAAAATTAGTTTGTTCTGCTTATCACCTGCATGGCATTCCCTGCTCATGGTAATGATTCATCATGTTTACATGTGGCAATGAAAGTAACCAATTATTGTTTCCTCTGTCTCAGGGCACTGCAGGCCCAGACCCAACCACTGTGTATGTAGACATGAGAGCTTTGCGCCATGACAGGTAAAAATAGACGACTCCATAACTGCTTTCTTTTTTACTTTTAAAGTTCTTTCTCTAATCGTATGTTTATTATTCAGGGTGCGTCTAGTGGAAAGAGGGTCTCCACACAGTCTTCCTCTAATGGAGTCTGGGAAGGTAACTTTTTTTTGTTGTTGTTGCTAATTCTTTATTTATTTATTTTTTATTTTTTGTACATCTATTTACACATTTATAACAGATGCCATTTTACAGAAGTGATTACTTTTAATGCCAAACATTTTTTTTGGGTGGATAGTAGATTATATATCCTTATTTGCGGATTATCAGTGTCATGTATAAAATATCAGAAGTAATATTTCATTTTATTTTATTTCTGCGTTTGCTCTGGGTATCCGCCTAAAATGGGAGCTATAACGTGTCAAATTTCCACAAGAATTGTTACTCATCTCATTTAAATTGGTCAATAAGTTAATATTAGTGCCAACTAATTTACAATCTTTACTTCTTAATAGATTTTGCCTGGTGTGAAAGTCATCATTGCACACACAGAGACCAAAGGACCCCTTGGTGACTCTCATTTGGGGGAGGTACGTGAGCAATTTTACATGATTGTTTATGTTCATACTATAAGGTTTAGGAATAGTCTTGAACAGCAATGGACAACTTTTAGTACTACAGGGGAAGTGAACTGTTGTTCCTATGATGAACAATCCCAGCAATGTAATCAAAACCACATTCTGTAGTGTTTGTGATGCCATGAGCGCCCTGGTGTGTCGTTGTCCCCGCCCAATGTTTGCAGTCAGTTTGCATATGGTATGACAATCTACCGGAGGTCATTCACTTCCTCCACTGAGAGACAGCAGCTCCCGCTAGGAGTTTCTGTTAGGTCCCTGAGCTAAGCCCTACCATGCAAGGCCAGTTCATTGGCTGATTGATATCGGCTTCCGGCTTTCATGGAGAAGTTTACTAGCAACCGGCAGACACCTAGTAAATTGTCAATGCATTGGCAAAAATATGACTGCTAACATTCGGTGAGGGTTGATGGGGCACTCCTGGCACCATAACCACTACAGTATGCTGTATCTGGTTATGATTCTTAAAGTGTTCCAGGCACCTAACCGTATTCTTAAGTGCTTTAGGAATTCGATGTATGTCTCCCTTGTTCCATCAACTGCTGCTTTAAAAAAAAAAAAAAACAATCCGTGATTAGGACAAACACCTCCCTTCCATCAAGCTGACCACCAGGTGGGATTTCTAGTTCACTCTATTTGAGTGATCATTCAAGCAGCAGTTAGAGCAGGCCTGTCCAACCTGCGGACCCCCAGATGTTGCTGAACTACAACTCCCATGATTCTTTTAATGAAACAGATAGCCAGGGATCATAGGAGTTGTCATTCAAAAACATCTGGGGGGGCCGCAGGTTGGACAGGCCTGAGTTTGAGCATCCATTGTGAAGCATTAGTCGAATACATTCTGTTGTGCAATTGCCACATTTGGTGTGAGCATTTGCAGCAATTACAGTGCATGTACCAATTTCATACAGACCGGAAGGGAGAGTGTTGTCACTGACACTCTCTTGGAGGTGGAACAGAACAGCTGCAAGAAAGGACTTGCCGCTGGAGAAAAGGGTAAGTTAGCATGATGACGTTCTTCATTTATGCAGCAGCCTTGCATGTAGAGGGTTAAAGGACACTCCACATATTATAAGTGAATATCCATTTTTAACGATGGAGTGTTTCTTTAAACTTGATCTGCTGCACTGACTGTCTTATCTCTGTTTTTAAGGTTTGGGTTAGTAGCCCACATAATGCTAATGGCTATTATACAGTGTATGGAGAAGAGGCATTACACGCTGATCATTTCAATGCAAGGCTCAGCTTTGGGGATACACAGACCGTATGGGCACGCACAGGGTACCTTGGATTTCTCCGCCGCACCGAGCTTACAGATGCCAGTGGAGGTAAGCGAGCACGGTTATATTACAGCCACCTTATGACTGAAGAAATGTAATCTAGTCTAAGATTCACGTGATTTGTTAACATGTATATTGTTCCAAAGATTCTCTGATGACTGTATTGTTACTAGTCTCTGTACAGCAATTTGTGGCAAGTGCCACATTAACTAATACCATGTTTTTACACAGAGAGGCATGATGCTTTGTACGTGGTAGGATCTTTGGATGAGACGTTGGAGTTACGGGGTATGAGATACCATCCCATTGACATCGAAACATCTGTGATTCGTTCTCACAAAAACATTTCAGAATGGTGAGTGCATAGTTTTTATACATTCACGTCATTCAAATAAGCATGTTTGTTATGACAGCCTGACATTGTAGCTAGCGATCTTCACACCACTGCATCAGATTCCAAAGTAATTTGAACTGATCCTCCAGGCATCTCCCAAATAAATTGTTTACTTTAGTGGCACTACTTTCCCTGATGCAGTGTTGCATCTAGGAACTGTCTAATGAATATAATTATTTTATATTATAATGCAACTCTAAAGTATAGATAAAGAATAGGAAACCATGAGTTATACATTATCTAGTGCCTGATCACTAAATACATTGCACTTACTGTGGATTACCTGCCTTCCTAGTGCGGTTTTCACATGGACAAACCTGCTGGTGGTGGTTCTGGAGCTCGATGGTCCTGAACAAGAGGCATTGGACTTGGTGGCACTGGTGACTAACGTAGTGTTGGAAGAGCATTACCTGATTGTGGGAGTTGTGGTAATCGTTGATCCAGGTGTCATTCCAATCAACTCACGTGGAGAGAAGCAGCGTATGCATTTGAGAGATGGTTTCCTGGCCGACCAGCTGGATCCTATTTACGTGGCATACAACATGTGAACTGCAAGCATTTGCTTCATGCCTTAACCCCTTATTAACTGGGTGATGTGGGAGTGAAACATAGCTGGGGGATGACACTACTTCCATTCCTAGAGGTGCTGTAATGCTGCTGTCTTCCTTTCCAGGCACTGTCTGGCAGGTGAAAAATCTTCCTCCCATTAACCATAGAGCATAAATGCTTGACATCACAGGTCCAGGGAGGATTGTCTTGTATCGTTGCCATAAGTCTCCTAGATCAGAATGTAACTAGTGAAGTCTTACCTCTTCTTGTGACACTGGATGTAGCATTCCTCACACCCCATTCCAACTGCTGCTCTTTCTGTGCATTATGATATGTTCTGCCTCCTGTGTTGTCGCCTTACAGAGCCCAAATTCATGCAATAATGTGAATCTCTGGTCCTCCTGAAGCTGAGCACATAGTCTTTTTATATACAACGGGGGAGGGTGGACGACCTTCCTCCAAGTCAAGTTGGACTTTTTTTTCCAAAGTGAGAATGTTCACCAGCCCTGAGGGAGCTGCTGCTTCACTTCTCCTCAGTGAACTGAATGTAATTATGTACAGAGGCCATGTAATTTATTTAATGCATCAAGCTAAAGGACATTCTCATTTGGTTCTAAACAGAGAAAGGACCACTTCAATTTTACCACTGTAGTTTTTATAGAAAACAAAAAAGAAAAAACAGAGACAATGCATCAAGCACTCTGGAGCCTGACAATGTTACATGTGATATTACAGAAATGGACAAAAAGCACATTAAACATTTTAAAAACTGCTTGTGTTGTGGTATATCATTCATTAGATTCTGTGCGTCCAAGTTTGAATAAGTTAGATGTTCAATTCCAGTGATAATAAACAGGTCTTGTTTAAAGTAAAGGACACAACAATTAAGATACAGTGCTAAATCGGGGGGCAGCAAACTCTGTAACTTGGGTAAACCTATATCCCAAGATTAACAGTGCAGAATACAGACAAAACAAAACAGGTTGTGCCCAGTGGTTTATAGTAACCATTAGCATATTGAGGTAAAGATCTGTGTATAGATATAGCTGAGATTCAGCCCAGTCCTACTGGCCTTTGTGTTCAGAGCAGTATATTTATTTAATCTCCTCTTTCTTATAGGAAACAGCAATGTAGCATAGTTGCTGCAGGAACTAATGTCATCTCCACATTGGGAATTCCTTGCTTCCAACCTGCCAACAAGATAAAAATGTTATTGAAATTGTTTGTAAAAGTAATGCCAGAGTTAGACTGACCACCCTTTCAATACTTGCTATATCGGGAGTAAGGCTACAATGTATACTTACTATGTGTGCTGCATCTAGTTCTTCATTGGTGATTTTCCAGCTTAGAGTGACAGACATGTGACGTCTCCATATGGGATTTCTGTGAAACACTGCAGTGCCGCTGATCCTGTCTCCTCTCTTTACATGCAGTGGTTCATCTAGCATGAAAAGCGTGTGCTTCCAGTGTGTAAGCCTGAGTAAGGAATATGCGTATTTGCATTTAGTGAGCATGGTTGCTGCCAGCAGTCACACTCTACCCTGTATATTGCTATATGCTGTCATGTTGTCTAATTTTCATAACATTATATCTAAAACACAAACACTATGGACTGCACTACCACATTACTATGTGTAGGCTCTTATTAGAATTCTCAGCATCAATTGCACATGAAAGCTATATTGGTTGGTCTATATTAATCAGTATGTGTATATGATGCTTTTATTAATAATAGAGCTATATTAGTTGGTCTATATTAATCAGTATGTGTATATGATGCTTTTATTAATAGAGCTATATTGGTTGGTCTATATTCATCAGTATGTGTATATGAGGCTTTTATTAATAGAGCTATATTGGTTGGTCTATATTCATCAGTATGTGTATATGATGCTTTTATTAATAGAGCTATATTGGTTGGTCTATATTCATCAGTATGTGTATATGATGCTTTTATTAATAGAGCTATATTGGTTGGTCTATATTCATCAGCATGTGTATATGATGCTTTTATGTGCAATGTGCAGCTGATGCTGAGATTTCTTATAAGAGGGTACCCATAGTGTGTATGTCTAGAGTTTATTATTAGAGGTATTTTCTTATGCAGGAGTAGCAGCACCGTTCTCCCCCTTCCCTTTGTGTTTTGTTTTTTTTGTTCCGCCATTCACACACTCTTCATTACAGAATGTGACTGTAACCAGGGCATACAATTTCCACAAGCCATTGGCTAGTAAAAATTTAGACCTGGCGAATACAAATGTACCACTGGTGAATATCCCATGGACTCTTCAGACTTGCAGTGGTGAGCATTTTTTCAGGTCTGGCTATCAGCATCGAACTTGAAATAAAAATCAGCCCTGTTAGTAATATAGAAAAACAAAAGGAAGCTGGGGCATAAATGCCACCTTTGTTGCAATAAGCACAGAGTAATGCTGACACAGGAAGCCCTTGTGATGTGGATGTCCGGTGACATATAAGGAAAGGCTTGTTATTTCCTAGTTTTGTACTACTGCACTCGTAATGCAGCACATGCAACTCTGGCAGAGCCCATTGGTTACAGATATCTATAGTAAGGTGTACTATGGGGGCTCAGGAGTATTGTACAGTGGGGGGGTCTATTCACTAAACTCCAAACAGCAGCTGAATATTGTTTCAGTTGCCATATGGTAGTGATTCAGCGGTTTCATCCAAAACTTTCCAATTAGAAATTTGTTTGTCACAAAAGACATATTTGGTTATTTGAGCTGTATTTGTATTCCGGTCCCTAAGCTGTTAAGTCTTAATTCTCTCTATACAACAGCAAATTTGGCTACTCATTAAGATCTGAATTGAAAGGGACATTCTAAGCACCAGAACTACTACAGCTTAATGTAGTGGTTTTGGTGAAAAGAGCCTCTTCATTCATCCTCTGATCCTGAAATGGAAAACAAAAACACCGCTAGATGTGCTTCCTAGTATGGTCCTGCAATATTTGTAGGACAGACATCTTGTGTCCACACGCTGTGCATTGAAGACACTATACACTCCCCATTGAGATGCATTGGTATGTTGCATCTCTAAGAGTAGATTCTGATGGGCACAGAGCAGCGCTTGTCGCACATGTGCAGTAGGCCCCCAATGCTTCTGTAAGCATAGGATAGTATTGACTGAGATACTCCGTAATGATGAAGAACCTTTAGAGGAATGTATCACCCAAATTGAGCCAAATGAAAGTGTATGAATTTGATGTAACAAACTTCGCCAAACATTCATGCCACCGCTTGTTTAAGGGCTAGGGCTACTCCTTTTGGAGTTATCTTTGAATAAATAACTGTGTTCCCTCAAGGTGATGTGAAAAACTATGGGAGCATATGTGTTGAATACGTTATTGTGTACCTTTTATACTTACGGGTTGAAAGGTCCAGTATCCAATTCAACCAATCCCTTGTCTTCAATATTGTGGAATTGGACACTGAACCAAAAAGTGAATCCATGAATATTGCCATCCTTTGCTATGTAGAATATGAAGTTGTTGCTCATCCTCTAAAAAAAGACACAATGTGCTGATTTCATGGAATAAAAAAATAAAAAGTTTATAATGTGGAGAATTTCTCACCTCTAGATCTGAAATCTGTACTGTCTTCATATCTATATTAAATAACCTATAGGGTTCAGACAAACACTCCTCTGGCTGCAGCACGTAATCTGGTTTTGGCTTGCAAAGAAATTCTTTCACTGCAAGTGATCTGCAACATATTGTACAGGATGTGAGTATTAAACTGACCTACCAAGATAGAAATTACCCCCCAACTCTGTTTAAGGGAACACTCCAAGTACAATAACCATTACAGTCCGTTGTATAGGTTATAGTGACAGGAATGCCCTTGCACCTTTCTAGAGTAAATAGTCAAACTAAAAAAACAATGGTTTGACAACTTACCTAGTATCTGCCCAGTTTCCATCGTAGCCTACCCTGCTACTGGAAGCTCCTTTTAGGCACTTCTAGTAGCTCCACTGAGCAAAGCACTGCTGTACAGAGCCAACTCAATTATTGAGTGCATCAGGCTAGCAGCCAATGAGCTTGACCCTGCACCGCTAGGCTTAGCTCAGTGAAAGATAGTCTAGCTGCAGAGGATCCCAGGTAAGTAGTCAAACCGTTCTTAAACGGAGTCTCTGTCACAGAGCTAAGCCTGACAGTGCATGGCCATGCTCATTGGCTGAGAGTGCTCAGTGGAACCACTCAGACAATGAGCTGTCCCTGTATGGCAGGACTTCGCTAAATGGAGCTAACAGAAACTCGTTGCAGGAGAGGCATCAGCTCACTCTAGGTACAGTTTAACTACTTACTTCAGGAGGGCACTACTGGCACCATAACCACTACAACTGTCTCCTCTTTGTCCTCTCATCCATTCCAATGCTTTTCATAAAGAAGCATTAGGGATGAGAACCACTTGCATGGCAAGAGCTGTACTCCTCCGGACAAATGATTCTCCCAGCAAAGCATTGAATCTGTTTTCCTATGATAAGCATTCCACATCCTCCTGTATATAGTGATCACCGTGAACATCACAGAACCGAGTATGACTAGATCGTAGGAACAGAAGCACCCTCTAGTGGCTGTCTTTTCAAGGTTTGTAATCCTGCAATGGAAACATTACCAGATCTACAAAATGGCAATGTTTTCCTTTGCAGGACAAAAATGACAAGGCCACTGCACCCAGACCACTTTATTGACAAGAAGTGGTCAGGGTTCCTATAGTGGTTCTTTTAATAAAATTCAATCTTCATTTTCTACTTTTCTTAAAAATGCAAGCCACTGCTCCTGTTTAGGGTTCGTTCTTTGTTATAATTGCAGTTGCAAGGATCAAAATGTAAAGACAATACAGGTGTATTTTGTTTTTCCTTGCCCTCTAATAAAGATTTAATATCTATTCAACTTACTTCAATGGGCTGAAATCCAGCTGGAACACAGAGTCCCAGAACGTTATTTTGCTGTCATATTCTTTGGCTGCACTACACGGCACCAAGTGAATGGACGCTGTGCTAGGCCACATTATCCCATCCTCTTTCAGCCAGATATCACGTGCCATGAGAACCGACTCTAACATGAACTCAAACTGCAGAAACACAGGTAATATTATTATGAGTCTGCACAAGGAAATAAGTACATTTTATACTAGCAATTGAAAGGGTAGACAAGGTTGGTAAGCCATAAAGACAATTAGTGTTGATATGTCTATAAGGAGGTTTAAAATACATCAACAACTAGAATCATACAAGCAAACATGTCCCCATCCATTCTGATACAAGGACATCCACTTTGGTGGGCAGTTCCACTTCTTCTACTCGCTGTTCTATAACATGCACGACCCTAGAGAATCCATTTTTCTCCACCAGTCTACGTGTTTGCTGAGCAATCTCACTTGCTTCCACTGCAAATACCTGGGAGAACAAATCGCTGGTCAGTCACATGCAAGCCATAAATCAGATACTAGTAAAACCATTTAGATCAACATGTCTACAGACTTAAAAATAATTTACCATGCTACGTAAAATGGAATAATACTTACTGCTTCTGGCTGTGCCAGCTTTGCACAAAAAAAACTTATTATCCCGGTTCCACAACCCAGGTCAAGGATACACTTGCCCTGCAATGCAGCACTGTTACTCCTGACAACTTCCTGGTAGGTTTTTGTACGTGGTAGATCGGACAGCATTTCCAAGTGCAGCTTCTACGAGTAAGAAGTAAGGCTTTTTATTTTTTTTCTATTGAGACACAAGGTCCTTACAATGACTTACAAGGTCCCTCACTAAACCAGTGATTTGCAAAATTTAGGTGAAAATGAAAAAAAATCCAACCCTACCTACAATTTGCTCTTACCTGTTACTGGTTTAATTTCTAACAGTCCCGGGTTTAAAGATTAACCATATCAATGCTTCTTATTGAATTTAGTTTTTCAATAGTGTAATCACGTTTATTATATGCTTCCCAGTGCCCTTGACATTAAGGGGTAACTTTAAAAAAAAATAAAGATGAGGGAGAGGATCTGGTAAGTACAACTCCTTAACTACTACTCGCCACACACCAGTGCCACCATACAAGCAGATATGTCACCTTGAGGGTCTTTGCAAAACATACAAAGACCAATATCATATTTGTTTAGTCATTCCATTGTCCTGGAATACTGTGCAGAAATGGACAAGAGCAATGGCCACATCTTGTTGTTTTCAGCCCCACTCTGTGATCTCTTTCAAACATTCTTCTCTCTTCCTTGACCTTTCTCGTCTCTTTCCATCTTCCACCTTGTCCACTTTAATTATGACAGCAATCTTGTGATTTCAACTACACACATTACCTTCCTATTTCCATACCCACCTTTCACAGGAGTGAAAAACATGCCCTTTTATACCCTACTCTCTATTTTTACCCCTAACCCTCTTTCTGACTCTTTCAGCCTTCCCCGTTAGTAAACTTTACAAATACCCTACGTGGGCTTACCAGAGTCTCATAACTTCCGTAATATTCATCATCTTGCCATGGGTCATCCAATTCATCGCTTTCACATAAATGATTGGAAGGCACATAACCATAGCTACCATTGTGCTCCACCCACCACCAATCCTGTGTGGCTACGGTAATAAGGCGCACTTTGTCCCCAGAAGAAAGACTGAGCTTTAAGGGAAAATAAAGAAATAAGGATGTAACAAGGTACATAAATTGCAAAAATAGGAACTGCACTCAATTCACTTAAGACAAGGTGCTTGGCTGAACCTAGGGCCAGCAGAAACCCAGAAGATTAAACCAGTATTAGAAAGGGTCCAGGCACCTTTGTTGGAACATGTGGAAGACTACAACGTTTTGACTCCCAATAGGGTCTTTGTTTTTTGCTGTTTGATAATTATATTCTTTATTTGAAAAGATTGTTCTTTTCATTTTTTTTTCTTTTACATAGTAAGTAATTGAGCAGAACATAAAACTGTACATTATATATGCATAAATTATTATGCTATCTAGCATTTCATAGATGGACAGAGACAATATACAGATACATTTAGTGTGGACAACCAGTAGCCTTACAGAGCGTTGATGTTGTACTTATGGGAATCTTTTTCCCTTCTTTCCCCTTTCCTTTCCTTTTCTCTCCCTTTCCCTTGGCTTGCTCTTTCTTTCTTTCTTTCCCCTTAAAAGAAATTTGCCAATAGATACATGAAATAAAATTGAAAGTATTAGGCTCAACTATATCTAGGTCCCTAACCAGGGAGTCCATCTTTGTTCCATGGCTGAGCCTCCTTGTGCCTGAGAGGAAATACCCTTTTCCATATTATATTGGTATTTAAGTTGAAGTACGATCTGAGAGACCATTTAGGGACCTTTTGCTGCAGTCAAAATCTTGACAGCATTGCTTTTATTGCCATTATGAGTTGTATTATTAGATATCTTCTTGGTGAGGAATATCTAGATAAATTGAAATAAAAAAGAGCGTTCTACATTTAATTTTTATTTTTCACACCCTTCAAGTCAAAGTTAAAAATCCTGGGATGTAAAAGTTCCCCTTTAAAGGGTTACCTCAAGTGCCACCATCACTTCAGTGTTTTGAAGCAGTCATGGTGCAAGGACCCTGTGTTTGGAGTGTTTCAGTATTAAATGTTGCACATACTGAGAAATATATTTTTGCTGCCTGAGGTGTAGCTTGCCCTGAGCATCAGGCAATGAAAGGTACTGGCTAATGTCAATTCTGTGAGTATTCCTTGCATGTAATGCTGTCAGCCAATGAATGCCAGATAGAATCAGTATCTGGCTTGTACAGCACTGCAGAAGATCATACTGGCACCCCACCAGGACACATGTAAGAAGCAGTTTGCCCCCCTCCCCTTTACCAAACAATGGTGGCATTGTACCCCTGGCATCATAACCACTACAGCGGTCAGAAGTGGTTGTGATCTCGGAGTAATCATATAAAGGAACACTCAGGGCATCTAAAGAACTTTATCTCAATGAAGCTGTTACATGCCAGGATTTCCTGGGCACTCTCTTACATTCAGTGATTAAACCATTTACATCCATTCGCTCTGTTCCTCTTCTTCCAGCCAAGTCTTTGGCTTCAATGAGGAAGCCTCTGACTTGGTACATGAGCTATTGCTCTCAGCCTGTTACAGGCTTCCTACTGATATGCTGAGAGCATCAGTTGGTGCTCTGAGCCTGTCATCAGCGCCCAATCTATGGCATCTTCATTAAAGCCAATAACTTGAGCCTCTATTTATTAAGCTTTCCAAATGATTAAATATGGTTGGAAAAAGTTCCAAAATATGTATCTACAAAAGTCACCATTAAAGTCTGTGGGAATTTTTGTAGATAGCGTTTCGAAAGCTTTTTCCTACAGTATCTATTGAAAAGCTTAGGGAATCGAGGCCTTGATCAGAAAAAGAGAGGCAGATCAGATGAGTGGCATCTATACAGCTTTGTGGTTAAACAGTATGTTCAATTTCTTAAGGTAGGGCAGTGTCCAGAACTTTCGGGCACCATAACTTCATTTATGTTTTTATGGTGCCCAGACGGTTCCTATCGGTTAAAAAGTTAGAAGAACAATACACCAAGATGCTGTAATAGATGCACTCTTTAATTTCTTGTAATAAATCACAACAGTTTTTTTTTTTTGTTTTTTTTTATTGCAATGCATTTAGTAGAACAAAACTAATTACTTGGGGCTGGAATTTATGCTATGTTGTCAGTTGTCAATTGAGATATATGTACTACAAAGTACACAGTCAAAAATTCCCAGCAGCATACCTGATTTTCATCTGTAGCAACAAAATCACACATCATAACAAACTCTTCTGATTTCACGTCGGAGCAATCCTCCATATCTTTCTCTATATGGCTTTCCAGATAGCAGGCTCCCAGAGAAGACTCGAAATACTGGCCAGCTGTCAGCTCAACACAATCTAAGTTTACTGCAGGGCTTCCACACTTATGTATTTTTTGGTCAGCACTCATTCCACAAGGCTCTGACTTCTTTGCTCTGCTACCAGCAGGCCCTGTACATGTATCCCTTGTTCTACAACAAACAACTTCTGTGTGTGCCATTCTTGTTCCGCAATCACCTGGTTCTGTGACATCCTCCCTTTTACCGCATTCTACAGCTTCAGTGCCAGCACTGCATGTATTGCAATTCACTGCTTCCTTGTCAGTCTCCCCTTTATTGCAATTCACTGCTTCTGTGTCAGTCTCTCCTTTATTGCAATTCACTGCTTCTGTGCCAGTCTCACCTTTATTGCAATTCACTGCTTCTGTGCCAATCTCACCTTTATTGCAATTCACTGCTTCTGTGTCAGTCTCACCTTTATTGCAATCCACTGCTTCTGTGCCAGTTTCACCTTTATTGCAATTCACTGCTTCTGTGTCAGTCTCACCTTTATTGCAAACCACTGCTTCTGTGCCAGTCTCACCTTTATTGCAATTCACTGCTTCTGTGCCAGTCTCACCTTTATTGCAATTCACTGCTTCTGTGTCAGTCTCACCTTTATTGCAATTCACTGCTTCTGTGTCAATATCCACTTTACTGCAAACCACTGTCTCTGTGCCAATCTCTCTTTTACTGCAATCTAATACCACTGTACTAGTCTCCCTTTTATTGCAATCCACTCCCTCTGCGCCAGTCTCACTTTTACTATAATCTACTATTTGTGTGACAGTCCTTTCACTTGTTCTACAACTAGTCAAATCTGTGCATATCCCTCTATTGCTAAAATCAACTGCCCCTGTGCCTGTCTCCCTTGTTACACATTCTACTTCTTCTGTGCCAGTCTCTGTGTTTCTGCAATCTGCAGTCACTGAAACCATCTCACTTGCTCTACACATAACTACCTCTATGGCTGGCTGCCTTCTTACACAATCAACTGATTTTATGAAGGCAACTGGGTCTGTGACACTCTCCCTTGCTCTGACCACATCAAACTCTGTATCACTCTCCCTCGCTCTGCACACAACTAGTTTTGTGCTTGCATCTCTTGCTCTGCGCACCTTTTGCTCTTTGACAACCTTTCTTGCTCTGCACACATCTGGCTCCATACCCATTTGCACTGCACTATATACATCTTGCTCCATGTACGTATCTCTTGCATTGCACACATTTCGCTCGGTTCCTGTATCCCTTACTCTGCACACATTTAGCTCTGTGCCCATCTCCCGTGTTCTACACACATCTGGTAGCATACTCATCTCCTGTGTCCTGCACACATCTGGTCCAGCATCTGCCCCCCTTGCTCTGTACACATCTGGTTCCATACCTCCCTCCCTTTCTCTGTACATATCTGGCTCCATGCCTGTCTCCCTTTCGGTGTGCTGATCTGGATCTGCATTAATCTGCCTTGATCTATAAACATATGGCTTCATTCCTGTCTCCCTTGGTGTGTGCATATCTGACTCTGCATTAATCTTCCTTGCTCTGAACACATGTGGCTCTGCATTAATTCCCCTTGCTCGGAACACAACTGGTTCTGTATCGGTCTCCCTAGCTCTGCACAGATCTGGCTCAGCATTTAACTCCCTTGCTCTGCATTGTGCAGACTCTGTGCCTGTCTCCCCTGCTCTGCATAGTGCAGACCCTGTGCCTGTCACCCCTGCTCTGCATAGTGCAGACCCTGTGCCTGTCTCCCCTGCTCTGCATAGTGCAGACCCTGTGCCTGTCTCCCCTGCTCTGCATAGTGCAGACCCTGCGCCTGTCTCCCCTGCTCTGCATAGTGCAGACCCTGCGCCTGTCTCCCCTGCTCTGCATAGTGCAGACCCTGCGCCTGTCACCCCTGCTCTGCATAGTGCAGACCCTGCGCCTGTCACCCCTGCTCTGCATAGTGCAGACCCTGCGCCTGTCACCCCTGCTCTGCATAGTGCAGACCCTGCGCCTGTCACCCCTGCTCTGCATAGTGCAGACCCTGCGCCTGTCTCCCCTGCTCTGCATAGTGCAGACCCTGCGCCTGTCTCCCCTGCTGCATGAGTGCAGACCCTGCGCCTGTCACCCCTGCTCTGCAGTGCAGACCCTGCGCCTGTCACCCCTGCTCTGCATAGTGCAGACCCTGCGCCTGTCACCTGCTCTGCATAGTGCAGACCCTGCGCCTGTCTCCCTGCGCCTGTCACCCCTGCTCTGCATAGTGCAGACCCTGCGCCTGTCATGTGCAGACCCTGCGCCTGTCTCCCCTGCTCTGCATAGTGCAGACCCTGCGCCTGTCTCCCCTGCTCTGCATAGTGCAGACCATGCGCCTGTCTCCCCTGCTCTGCATAGTGCAGACCCTGCGCCTGTCTCCCCTGCTCTGCATAGTGCAGACTCTGTGCCTGTCACCCCTGCTCTGCATAGTGCAGACCCTGTGCCTGGTACTGCACCTGCCTCTATAGCTGTGCAATCACCTAGCTCCCCTCTGCCCATATCTCCTCTTGCTCCACCATGAGCTGGACTCCCTCTGCCCATTCCTCTTGCTCTGCACCCAGCTGGACTCCCTCTGCCCCCATCCAGCTCCCCATCGGACTGCTCAGATCTGGCTTCCCCTGACTCCATACCCACTAACCCACTACTCACAGCCAGCTTCCGCTTTCTCAGTACTCTGCTTGGAGGATGACAGCTTCCCACTGCCCTCTGTTGGCCCCTGTAACTCTGCTCCACTCACTGGGACTACAACAAGGGATGTATTGTATTCACAGGGAATACAATACGGTTCATAACTACAACTCCCATTACTTCTGTCCACATTGAGGGAAGATTACAGGCAAACAAATGTAGAGAGAATTGGGTAGCGGCTAGTTCCTATCCAGAAGAAGGACCCTGGTGACATCACCAGACCATGTGACTGCTTGGTCACATGGTACAGAGAGCTACAGGAAGCAGCAAGGCGGGAAATCCAAATGAATGAAATGGACTGAGCTGTGCTGATCTCCTGCTGCTGCTGGTGGGAGAGTTCTGATATAATATTGATTTTAATTTCACAAGACAGCCTGGAAGCTGGAGGTTTGCAATGTATGTAAAGCTGAGCACTGCAGCCATTGCAGAGACTGAACATGGAGACTGAAGAAAAAAGGGATTTTTAAGAGAAGTCACTTTTATTTCATATTTCTATAGGGTTTTTTTTGCCAGATAATTATGCAGCTATGTTAAAACCCGTATTTTAAATCTTTTGTTTTGTCTTTAATTGTAGATATTAATCACTGTCCAACTGTTTTACAGAATACATTGATTATAATGGGACTTTTATATTTTGTCTTTCTTTCTCTCTCTCTCTCTCTGATAGCATGATATATTAACCATTTTTATCCCCGCTGACAGTCAGAGTGTCTCTCTCCCATCCCCTCGGTGTGAGTGTCTCTCTCCCATCCTTTCTGTGTGAGTGGGTCTCTCTCTCTCCCATCCTTTCTGTGTGAGTGGGTCTCTCTCTCTCCCATCCTTTCGGTGTGTGTGTCTCTCTCTCTCCCGTCCCTTCGGTGTGAGTGGGTCTCTCCCGTCCCTTCGGTGTGAGTGGGTCTCTCCCGTCCCTTCGGTGTGAGTGGGTCTCTCCCGTCCCTTCGGTGTGAGTGGGTCTCTCCCGTCCCTTCGGTGTGAGTGGGTCTCTCCCGTCCCTTTGGTGTGAGTGGGTCTCTCCCGTCCCTTTGGTGTGAGTGGGTCTCTCCCGTCCCTTTGGTGTGAGTGGGTCTCTCCCGCCCCTTTGGTGTGAGTGGGTCTCTCCCGTCCCTTTGGTGTGAGTGGGTCTCTCCCGTCCCTTTGGTGTGAGTGGGTCTCTCCCGTCCCTTTGGTGTGAGTGGGTCTCTCCCGTCCCTTTGGTGTGTGTGGGTCTCTCCCGTCCCTTTGGTGTGAGTGGGTCTCTCCCGTCCCTTTGGTGTGAGTGGGTCTCTCCCGTCCCTTTGGTGTGAGTGGGTCTCTCCCGTCCCTTTGGTGTGAGTGGGTCTCTCCCGTCCCTTTGGTGTGAGTGGGTCTCTCTATCCCGTCCCTTCGGTGTGAGTGGGTCTCTCTATCCCGTCCCTTCGGTGTGAGTGGGTCTCTCTCCCTCCCATTAAATGCCATGCGTAGCGTTGCCATGGCAACCAGCGGCAACGCTCACACAGTTTGCGAAAAGAGAGGACATGATGCTACAGGAGGTGCAATATTACACTCCTGGGTCCCTTCTTCACAGGACACTGTATGCTGTGCCACCGGACCACAAGGGACTCCTGTGTGCCCCCACCCTGAAACAGATAAGAGGCAGGGAGGGGGGAAAAATCAACTAAATTAATACAAATATTTAAAAAACTACTGTCCCCTCACACCCCTTATCCAATCCCACTGCACTACATTCACTACACATAAAGACATTGCATCCACCACCCACACACACACAGACACTGCATCCACTATACACAATGCATTTACTACACACACTGTATAACATAATGGATGTGCGCAAAGCTTTTTTTGGGGGGCATGGGGAAGCATTTCATTCTTGGCTCCTTGGGCCGGCCCTGCTCTCTCCCAGTCACTCACAGCGAATATCTCTCTCCCATCCACGCACAGCCAGTGTGTCTCTCTCCCACCCACGCACAGCCAGTGTGTCTCTCTCCCACCCACGCACAGCCAGTGTGTCTCTCTCCCACCCACGCACAGCCAGCGTGTCTCTCTCTCCCACCCACGCACAGCCGGCGAGTGTCTCTCTATCCCACGCACAGCCGGCGAGTGTCTCTCTCTCCCACCCACGCACAGCCGGCGTGTGTCTCTCTCTCCCACCCACGCACAGCCGGCGTGTGTCTCTCTCTCTCCCACCCACGCACAGCCGGCGTGTGTCTCTCTCTCTCTCCCACCCACGCACAGCCGGCGTGTGTCTCTCTCTCTCTCCCACCCACGCACAGCCGGCGTGTGTCTCTCTCTCTCCCACCCACGCACAGCCGGCGTGTGTCTCTCTCCCACCCACGCACAGCCGGCGAGTGTCTCTCTCTCTCTCTCTCCCACCCACGCACAGCCGGCGTGTCTCTCTCCCACGCACAGCCAGCGTGTCTCTCTCTCCCACCAACGGACTGCCAGCGTGCTTCTCTCTCCCACCCACGCACAGCCGGCGGGCGTCTCTCTCCCACCCACGCACAGCCAGTGTGTGTCTATCCCACGTGTTCCCCTCCTGCAAATCATTTCATGTAGCGTGGCCAAGAAACTGCAGTAGAGACTCTTCTGTATCCTGTACCCAGTCTAACAGGAAGTGCTCCCAGACAGAGTAGTGGATACAGAGATTCTCCACCACACTACAAGTAGGTAAGCTGGCACTGTAGAAGACACACGGGACTGAGGGTGAACAAAAAGACACAAAGTGGGGCAGGGGTGGCAAAGAGATACACAGGGGCCAGATCGCTATGGCGACTAGGAATTTTCGCATGGCACTTGGGTATTTGTCAGTGCGTTCAGGGGGCTGGGGGGAAATGGAGGCTGCGGCGAAGGAGCTGTGATCTTTTTGCTCTGCTGTGATGCTGGAAGCCGGCCTGCGAAGAGACAGAGCTACCCCACACTGGACCTGAGGGAAAGGAACGTAGGGATGCTGGGTGCCATTAAATAAAAAAACTAGTAATTTGTGAGTGTGCGAGAGAATGTGTGTGTGTGTGTGCCAGTATTATTATTATTATTATGAGAGACCATACAAAGGAGTCTGATTCAGAAAATGTCCAAAATTTATTAAACAGAACACTGCTTATAAATCTTATGCAATAAGGGGGGTCTAGTGGGAGTATCATTAATAACCAATCAAATATTGACAACTATTAACTAACAACATGGAAAGGTTGTGCAGATAGCATAAAATATGCAACAAATTGATTCTAAGTTTATATAGGGGGCATTACTAGACATGGTGTTCTTAGAATAGGAGGGTGTAGCGATAGGGTCTTACTAGAAGAGGGGGAATAAAGATGGTCATGTGCCATACTACGTATGTGACGTCCTTTCTTTTTTTTGAATTTGACAATTTTTATTTAGCCATGCAGCTGTGTTACAATTGTGCTGGAAGTTTGGATATCCTGATCATGATTACATACATGGTATGGTGATTTGGTAACATCAGGGTAAACCTTCCAATATTACTTAACAACTTTCGGTACATGAATCCTGCAGCTGCACGTCTCAAATATTTTTGTAGAGAAAGTATAGTTATAGGGGGGTATAGAAAGGGGGAGACAGAGAGAGGGAGGGGTGGCAGGGAGGTGCATCAGGGGGGGTTTCGTGGAGGGAGACCCCTAGGGTTCCCAGGTGGTTTGGTAGGGGTTCTTGTATAATGGAGAGCTGGTGGGCGGCAGGTTTCTTCTGCCTCTCGGATCTTGATCTTTCGTGGTCCCAGACCGGGGCTCCCCAGTCCTCCGCCACGGATTTCGCCTTTGTCCGCTGGTAGTCATTGTGTTGCGGTATTGTCAGTTTGGTTTAGGTATCTATTCCACAGTAGTTGCGCCTTAGCTAATGCGGGCCTCGGGCCAAATTGTATGTGACGTCCTTTCAATGTACAAGGTTATTACTCTTATGATTCAGCCGAACATAAATTAACCACTTCATTAAGCTGTAGTGGTTCTGGGGCCTATAGTGTCCCTTTAAGAATTATATTTTTGTTGTTGAAAAAATAGCTTTGTTAGTTTTAGAAAAAACAACAACCTGACTCCTAATTAACTGCGGATTAAGTCCACATAGTAGCAGGTGTGGTTTGTGAAATAGGAGCCCAGCCATAAGATGCTGCCTACAAAGTATTGTATAGTGGACATGTCCAAAGGTGATGTGAACTAGCACAGCTGTGTATTGTCCTAAAAGCAAGGTAGAATATCCAAAAAATGGTCAATAACTGCATTTTTCTCCTGCTAGATGTTTAAAGACTACACAGTTTAAGGTGGGAGGGCACTATGAGTCCAGGGTAGATGGAAGAATATTGAATAAATAAAATTTTAAAAATTAACAATTTTTCAATTATATTTCTAGCCTTTCAAAGCATGGCAAGCAGATGTGAGTAGTAAACACAGTACCATATACCCATTCCGCTTTACAAAGTGTCAGATAAAATAAACCAGTTTTTTTTTATTTTTCACAATCTTCAGCTAACATGTCCTTATCAAAGTGTATGAAAATGCCCATAAAACAATCACAAGTCACTACAGCCAACTGACAACAAGCTACCATAGCCCTTGCAAAATAAGCTACAAAATGGCCCACCCCAGCCTATAAATGGCAAACCATTGCAAAAGATGATTTGGGGATTTTTTTTTTTTTTTTATAAATTCTTTATTTTTGAGTCTTCAAAAGAAGAGTTTTTTTTTTGTTTTTTTTTTTTTTTTTTTTGTAACGTTATGGGGTACAGAAAGGAAAAAGGGGTGCAACATGTTACAATTATATTGGTTACATTTGTACTCATTAATATATCCCTGTTTACATTAATTGTTTCATTTGTCCAACATGTAACTCCTGTTGCCCTGGGTCTGGAAGGGTCGGGTGGGTAAGGTGGATGGGGGTGTCCCCTCTGTTTGGCGTAACCACCGTTTACCCTGAGTTTAGGGAATGGGCCCTAGGCGATAGGTTTTGGTGTTGCGCTGTGAGGCTCAAACCTGGCCTTCGCCTAGTTCATGGGCCTTGTGAGGTGCCATTGTCGTACTCTGTCTGTTGCGTTGTACTGTCTCTGTCCTCTGGGGGTGAGGTGGTGCCTCTGGGGTCGGGGGTTTAGGGAAGATTTGGGGATTTTTTAAATCTGTAAAACATACGGTTGACTGGGAAAAAGTTAATACTTGAGTAGGAGATGGTGTACCCCAGTTGTTGCAGAAAATGGCACTAAGTTTTACAAACGTTCTACAAAATTTTTAAAGAC